TTATGCCCATCCAGATGGCGATTATGCCATTTGCTGTACTTCCTTTTCCTGGCCAGCCAGGGTATGTCACCCCCTCGTCGCCCATGGGAGTGACGGTTCACAACATTTGTGTAGTGAGCCACTAACCCTCGCCTCCAAATTGCTGGATTTAGAGTCCACGTGCATAGCCATCGCCACTCGGATAAAACAATCAACTTAAAAGTATCTCTGTGTTGTATCTCCTTTTGTGGGCTGTTTTCTCACATGGGGTCAGGGACCGCTCTGCTCGAGTTATGAATCGCCACTTCATCTCAAGACATGACGCCCATGGCATAAATGGAATGAAACGTTGCAAAAGACACAAGAAGATATAGATTTTTTAAAATTCAGGACAGGTCAGAGGTACTTAGCCCTTTGGCTTGAACACAGGGACATACACATTCTGGACAAGTTCAAATCCCATTCAAGCGTCGACTCTTGAATTGGATTTGAACTTCTTAATACGTAGAGAACTTCACAACAATTGTTTGGACCGGCTCACCGCCCGGCAGCCTTCCAGCTTGCCTGCGGTTCCCACTCGGCGATTGTGAGATTCACTTTGTGTGAGGGCCGTATTATACGAGCACCGTGTGATTTTGCGAGCACTGCGATTCTAATCCCGCACCTCCGATGAGTATGGTTTGGCTACGTACGGTGCGAAAGAAGTTCAACATATATAGAACGAACGAATTGAGAATTTTTTTTTTTACTCCGAATACAATTTGACATCATGGTGCTGTGTGGCAGATTTTCCTCGCCACATCCTTAAGCTGTGATTGGCTCGCAAATGGGAGCGGGGCGCCTGTCCCGCTAATCCCACCGTGCAGCAGAGCACTCCGAGTACCGAAAATCACCTGTGAAGGGTAATTCAAACTATCAACTTAAAAACAAACTATCAACTATTATTTATTTTATCAGGCAATGCCCACTGAGCTGCCATATAGATCTTTTTCAGAAGTGACCCAGCCACAAACGAAGTGGCTTGTCACATGGAAATGTATCGCAGCCAAATACTCTAAATACCAGGTGAGGTAGTTGACATTTTGCCACCATGGCATCTAACCTTTACCCCTCCCTGCTTACGTCCCTTGCGGAGGCTGCTGAGAGGCGGAGTGCTGAGAGGTGGGGAGAGACAAGTGGCGGAGAGACGAGTGGACATTGGAGCGCTGTGCTGCGAGCAGCTGCCACCTCGTGAGATGTGACCCACAGGTGGCCCAGGAGGGGGGAGGGGGTTGCGTAACGCGGCTCCCCGCGTGGAGTGGTGGCACAGCTTGCACTCGGCGCCGCACGAGCGTCCTGCATTACGCAAGAAGTGCAAGAGGCTTCTGTGCAGGATGCTCCTCATCTCACCCCTCGATCTGTTTGTATTGCCCTTTAGTTTAGCGTAACCCGATCGAGTGCTCACGTACGCACGGAGGTTTGGCTTCGAGGGCGGAGTCTGCGATGGCCGTGTCGGAAACACTTGAGCAGCGTCGATAAGATCCTGGGTTTCAGATGCCCGTGATATTTAAATTGGGTTAAAATCCAGTGTAGGCGTTTTGTGGGTTCTGCCTGGTCAAATGACAGCCGCTCACAGCGCAACGCTCTGATGCCCACTCGTTGTACCGTTCTCTACATAAGCACCACCATCCGCAGCAATTCTTTACGTTTGGCATCTTCCCGCAGGGTCACGGAGACGTGTGCAGTGTGTGGCTGGCCATTCACGATGGCACAGAAATGTTGCAATATTAAGTTGCAACCCAAAAAATTAATCTGTTGAAGATGTTTTCCTGGGATCTGTGTATTCTGGGCTGCGCAACGCACGTTTGCTGACCCACCCATGACTGGACATCCGTGAAAAAGAGCTTCATAGCTAATTCCTCCTGCAGACTAAATAAAGATTCTGATTCTGAGAAGTATGAAGCGTCGGTAATGAAGAAGTCGACTTGCTTAACACTAATTCACAACAAGAGTAGGATCATCGTGTGCTGGCGTCATGGTCCATGTTTGCCAAAGTTGACTAAAAAATTACTCGCAAATGACTCATTTGGAATATGCACAGCAATCGCCGCGAAACGTTGGCAGGGCCCGACCTACAATAACTCGATGAGGCCGTCCTGCGTAAAATAAGTGTTGGTAAAAATAATGACGATGGGGTCCAGGAATATCATATTCTATGGTTCTTTCGGTAAAGTCACGTACATATAAAAAATAATAACAATAAAATATAAAAATGAAATAAAGTGATTAAAAATAAAAAGAACATCACAACGTTTCGATCACAACACAAGCAGTCGTCGTCAGGAACAGGGGAATATCGTTCGGTCTCTCATGTTTGAGCACACCCGTTACCGCACCAGAGTGATTTCACTGTGGCATCATTCCATCGCATATTAATGTCATTGCAGTGATGCTAAACCCTGTTTTTTTAATTAACAAAACTTGTAACCCATGTTAGAGAACTAACAGGAGTTACATGGCGCTGTGTCCGTCCAGGGTTATCTGAGAGGCAAAATTCTACTTCTTGGTGTTATCTGCCACCAATCTCCATTGACTGTTCAAGTCCTGGAACAATGCTTCTTTGCATCGTGACTTGACACTATGTTTAATCTATAAAAATAGTAATAGTACATTTGAATGTTTTTTTTATTGATACGCAACCCTTTGTAAATCCACTAATGGATAGGGGGGGGGGGGTGTTTGACCATACAATGGTCAGTGCGGGTTGACGAAGTTCAGGTGTCACTCGCCACTGATGTTAGCCGTGAATGGGTCGTCTGATTCGGAGTGCAATGCGCTGGCCACTGTGCCACCTTTCCAACCTACTCATGGCCAAGTTACAAGCTGACCTGACCGAGAGCATTTACCTGGGTGGGGATAGAGTCACCTAGCTTCTTGGTGTTACTCTGATAGACTCCAATTCATGTTCCCCAAACCTCATCCAGTTCCGGATTTCCTTGTCAGGCTGGTCCTCTTCATTCACATGTAAATCCTATCCCATGCATGTTAGCCACGGTCCACTGACCGGCATGGTTCAGCTGAAACGTCTCGTTTCTAATGAATGAGAAGAACCACTGTGGTGGGTGGGGAGTCAGATTGTGATTTATTGGACTGAGTTGATGGCCAAAAACATCTGTAATTGATTATTGATGTTGACGTATAGGAGAACATGCAATTTTTTTTTACTGCTGGAGCCACCCTGGCTCGGGTTTATTTTTATTTAAACGCAATTGCTGAGCACAGGGCCCCATGGACGGGTTGTGCTTTTTCTGTAGGATTTTATTGTTTACGTATGTGATGTTCAAATTTGTGTACAATGAATTTTAGGTGTATCTTGTAATTTTATTGTTTGTTACGGTTTACCCTGTGAGCCAATGGCTCACAGGGTAAATCCTAATCAATTCAACTGAAACCCATGGCCCAAAACCTCAAGTGGCCGAACACAAAACGGCACGGGTATTAGAGTTGTAATGGATGAGGGTTAACACGTTTTTTTGCATCGAGCCAAGGTTACGGTGAGAGCCTGTGGCGTTTAATAGGCTAGGAACGAGTGAACTGACGCAGTTCAGAGTCACAATCGGATGAGTTTGTGTTTTATTTGGATTGAACCTTCTCACTGGTTCAGTATAATTGGCATCGTTTGTTAGAAGGCAACATTTGCATGTGGTTTGCAAAACACCGTTAATGGTCTCTGCTTGCACACGCGTATTTCTAAATGTGGAGGGGAAAAACGGAGGACCCGGAGAAAAATACACGCAACCATTGGGTGAACATACAAACTCCAATTATATAGGCATCCGGGTCTGGATCAAACCCACAACCGACTGTATACCAGGCGTGGTAGTTAGCATCTTGCCACCCTTCTAAATGGACGTGTGTTTTTCCAGTGGGCCTTCGCGTCGATCGTGCCTGGTGTGTGGTCTGAATGTTAGCACTGGGAAGACAAAGGTTGCTTGGTGTGGTGCTGTCCACACCACGTCGTCATGTGCTGTGCTTTGCCTTAACCTAAGTACACAATAACCAATTAATTACAAACTTCCAACACCACTTGCCCTGACAGTTTGCGTTGACTCTGCGGGGTGGTACGTCATGTCTTGTTGTGTATGCGTGTGCTTGCTTGCTTGCGTGCATGCGTGCGCGTGTTCGTATGTGTGACACTCGGGTATCTGAGGTGTGTGCCCCATTCAAAACAATGTACAGAACATTAAACACGTAAATCGTCGTGGGAAGTGTGGGTGGTCCATCTTCTCGCCACCCTGGCTCATTAACCATGATACATGGGTCTGTCCCTTGAATCTACTTCCACCGAGCCTTCGCCAATTCTTGTGGCCTTAAAGAGCCACCTCGTCTGGCACAAGTGCAGTAGTGATTTTGCCACCACATCAAGGAAGATCGTGATTGTGTTTGCTGTTAACAAATAATCAGTGGCATGTCCAGATCAATATTTTTACATTTGCAGCCCTTACAGTGAGAAGCGACCCATCCTGTGTCTGAGAACGGTCCTGGAAGATGTTATCACAGAATGAGTTTGTTCTGACGCCACTTCATGAGGCTACTTTATCAACGTTCAGGTCACATCATTTACATGTCCTGCAAAGAGTGTACATCACACGCTGATGTAACCAAAATGTGTAATATCCTCAGCTCTAAGAAGCCACATTTCTGTGGAAAGACAAATTTAACATCGTGGATTTCATCTTGTTCAACAATAGGAAACTACTACGAGACAATCAAAATCTTCACTTAAGAATGTCGTTTAACCACAAGTGGCTGGAACCTGCATTCAAACCCAGAACCTCTGTGGTGGTGTCCAGACCTGGGGTCACTTATAATTACAAACACAGCAGCATTGTTAACTGAAATTGCGGATATAATTAGACACAATTACGCTTGGAAATGACCCCAAACACAGCTGCAATACGGGGACCCGGAACGAGCCCCCTGTCCCACCTGATCACCGCGTGTGCTTGCGTGTGTGTCTGTTGTCGTCGTTCTCCCTGTAGTTGTCGGTACCAAACGTGGGGCCCGAGCCTCCCGGCCACCAGCGTCATCATCACCTTCCACAACGAGGCGCGCTCCACCCTGCTCCGCACCGTCGTCAGGTACTGACACCACTCACCCGCTTGCTCACTCACTTGCTCGCTCGCTCGCCTGCCTGCTCGCTGACTCACTCGCCCACGCTCGCCCACGCGACCTCACCTCCTCGGCTTGTGGTGTTTACGAAATTTATTTACGAAATGAGCGATGGAAAAAAAATTGTCAATTTTTTTTCCATCAATGATTACTATGAGTGGACGAAAATCTTCAAGCGTGTGCCAATGGCTGAAACTCCCCACTAAGACCGACACATGACCGACAAGTAAGAGACGCAGTTAACGAGTCTGATTGAAAACGCAGACTTATCATGTTTATTTTCCAGTGGATTTTGTACCCATTTTACCCACCCGAGAGGGGTGGTAATCTTATGACATATGGCTATGGGATAATGGTGATTTCAGGAAATAAACCTCACATTTGGAGCTCAGCAGCTCTGGCAATTGGATGTATGCATGTAAGTTAAACTTCTTTCGCACCGTACGGAGCCAACCGTGCTAATCGGAGGTGCGGGGAAATGACAACAAAATTAACACAAAAAGTATTTCTAACGAAGTTAGTTTTCAATCGAGATTTACAAGTGCATAGCTCAAGTGGCTTCCTAATATCTGAAAGATGAACGATCCGGACGGCCGCAGAAGCCCATCTTTGTCCGATGACTAGCCAAAAAGTATTTGGCACCGGTGTTTTGCATCATGGCCATGGTTTTGAGCTGTATCCCAGCCCAACTCCCATCCTACTTATCTCGCCTGCTATGCAGGAGGTCGTTGGTTCGATTCCAACCTTGATGCCTGTGTATTTGGAGTTTTCAAGTTCTACCTGTAGTTGCATGGATTTTTTCTCAGGTCCTCTGGTTTTTTTCCCCCCACATTTATAATCAATGTGCGTTCAGAATATTTGGCGAATATAAATCTCCACACGATGATAAGCCACATTTTGTTGAGCTATCATTTCTGACAGCCAGGTCGCTTCTGAAAAAAGAGCTTACATAGCCCAGCGTGGCCTTACCTGGTAAAATAAAACAATAGTTTAGTTTTTGTTGAATCGACTCACCCTTGCCTGGTCCCGTCTTCTCTTCCCCCACGATGCTCCAGTGTCCTCAACAAGAGTCCCGCACACCTCATCCGCGAGATCATCCTTGTGGACGACTACAGCGATGACCGTGAGTAGTAGCCAGCGGTCCGGCACTAGTTTCACTGCTCCCCTTGTTCTCACCTAGCTGCAAGCACCCCGACACTCTTGGCAAAGTGGCCCAGAAATATCTTGTCCTCCTTGGCGGCTTGCGCCATCGTTGGCGGTGATAGACATCATTGGCGCGCTTTGGATGAAAGGGGAACGTTTGCAAACATGTGAATTGGGTCCCAAGTCTGTATTTGCGTGTTTTCGTGTGCGTTGTGTGGTCGTTTCGTAGTGTGTAGACTGTGCTATGTGTGTGTGTTTTGTGCATGTGTATTTCATGCTAGTGTTGTGCATTTGAAGAATGTGTTTTGTCTGTGTGGTTATTGTGTGTATGCTTATGCTTATCATCTGTTGGTGTTGGTGTGTGTGCTTAGTGTTTTTAGTTTGTGTGTAGGCTGTATGGAGGTCTTTGTTTTGTATGTCGCTGGGTTCGTAGTGTAGCGCGCCAACCGCACTGCACTACGAACCCGGGGACCCGAGTTCGATTCCCGCTCCCGTGCAACATCAGTGACGATTATCTGAACCGGTCCTGTGCCTCCCCAAGGTCGACTCAGCCTCAAATGAGTACCTGGTGCAGTGTGTAAACATCGCCACTGGGGAGACAAAGGTGGCCGGGCATGGTGCTGGTCACCCGTCTGCTCATGTGCCGTGCAGTCCTTCATAGGTGCTCGCTAATAGCACTTGCCCCTAAAGTCTGTTGAGGCTATAAGATGGAGGATCTTTGTCTTTGTGTGTATGCTGTGATTGTGTCTGTTGATTGTATGTAAAAATTATCTGGGTGTGTGTGAGTGTGTATATGTGTTGTATGTGTATATGTGTTGTATGTGTATATGTGTTGTGTGTATGTGTTGTTGTATGTATGTATGTATGCATGCATGCAGAATGTGTGTGTGTCTTTGTTTTGTTTGCACTTAACTGGGTTTAATTCCTGGCCTTGTGCAAAACACAAAGACGTGGTGCACGATAAACAAACAATTCCGCCAGCTCCATGGATTATCATGACATGGGGGGCTCGGATTCAGAGCCGAGATCATCTTTCATGTTTTCACCGCCTCGTTCGTGTCGTATCTCGTTTCTTTCGTCTCACGTGTACACTCCCATTCGCTCTAGAACTCAAATTTTACATTATTTATCCATAATAGAGGTTTTTGGGTTAGATCGCGTAAATATGTAAATGTGTCGTTTAAACCCGCCACCACCCGACACAGCCAACTAGTAAGGGTTGTCACAAAAACCTCGATTATGGATGATATTGGTCGCGAAAGCCTGCGTGTTAAACTTTACATGATCAAATTGCGGATGTTCCGTGTAAATTGTAAGCGATTCATCCTTACACACACACACGACCGCATGCGTGAATCGTGAACCGGACAATGAGTTTTAATTGCTTAATCTATTAATCGTCACGTGCTTTAGCAAGAAACCCTCGGCTCTCTTAAACGCAACTCAGCCTGTAATGAACACGTGCTGCACTTGGTGCTGTCAACGTTGGCAAGGAAGGAGACAGGAAGATGGCCAGGTGCGCGTAGTGGTGATTCCGCCGTCACCTTGTGTGCTGTCCTCAGGTGACCCCCCCCAACAGCACGTGACCCAACAGTCGTGAAGCAATGAGGAACATCTTTCTCCATTCATGTGTAGCACGGCAGCGGGGGGGGGGGGGGGGGGGGGCTTTATTTAGCTCATTGAGAATAATAAGCAGTCGGCCTGGCTTCCAAACGCACAATAGCTTGGTCTGTCTTGTGACCTCCCATCAGTGACCCTCTCTCTCTACTCATAATGCCTTTTTATCCCATGATCTACAGTCAGCAAGCCACGCGGTCTCCATATGAAGAAAGAAAGCCTAGTATTTGCATTATGATGATTTTACTGCCACTTAGTGGTCAATGGCTGCTATTATTTGTGTGTGTGCACATGTCTTTGGAGTGGGGAGCGGTAGTGTAGTGGATAGCGCGCTGCGCTATGAACCTGGTGATCCGAGTTCGATTCCCGCTCACGGCCAACATCGGTGATGAATACCTGAACCAATCCTGGGCCTCCCCTAGGTCACCTAAGCCTCAAATGGATTACTGATGCGATGTGTAGTATTGCCACTGGGGAGACGAAGGCAGCCGGGCATGGTGCTGACCACCCACCCCCTCGTGTGCCGTGCCGGCCTTCATAGGTGCTCGCTAACAGCACTTTTCCCAACAGTCTCTTACGGCTATAGGGGAGTTCTTTGTCTTTAGAGTGGTGGCACAGTAGTTAGCGCACTGCACTACGAGCCTGCATTAAATTCCTGGTCACCACAATCGCAGTGGTGATTGGTATATCAGCATAGGACTCCCGTAGGCCGACTCGTCCTCAATCGAATATTGAGACTCGACTACGCTGTCGTGGGTAGACAAATAATTACCGTAAAATACGGAGAAGAAGATAGTGTTTGGCAAATGTATAGGAGGTGAAATTAACCTTATGGCGGGACCCTGGGGTCCCATAAGCCCCCGGCTTTCGCAAGTGTTGTCTTGTTAAACTATGCCTTTAAAACTGAAAACTACTTACCTGCAGTACCTCTATTTAAATACACTATCGAAAACATAATTTACACCCCTCTGTCAATCATCGTGTTTCTCAGTGTCGATTTGTAAACAGATCATAAAATAATACGCGTTTTCAATACGCTGTTCATATTGTAACAAGCCTTTATACCAATGTTACTCTGCAGAGTAGTGGGTCGCCACTCCTCTTATCCGCATTGATACGAGCGGTATGTGGGGACTATGATTTAACCGCAAAAAACACCTATCTGCACAGATGCATACGGACAAGAGAAGTCTTATCAAACAGGAGGAATTAACGGTGCAACGCGTCTTATCTGTTAAATATCTGCAGGTAATAGGATTGTCATCGATTGATCCTGCCTGCAGACATTGGTAGGTCACGAATAATAATGAAGATAAGAGAGTAGTTTCACTGTATTGTGCATACCGTGATGACAAATAAAGGACCTAAGTCGTGTAGGCAGTTTGAGCAGCTTTGGATAAGACTTATGATCCTGCCCATACCCAAGCATGGAGTGCATTCGCTTGTACAGCTCTTGTGCGCATTCGTCCTCGCTGCTGCGCTTGGACGACATGACAACAGAATGATCCGCGCCAGGTGGGTCGCGGCGTTTATGTGCACGGTGGGACGGGGTCGCCAAAAATAAATAAATTATTTTCGATTTTGACTTCCGTTTATTCGGGCCCCCGGGGTCCCCCCATAAGGTTCAATTGTTGGCAAAGAATTATTGATACTCGTGATCACATTAGAGTGGTCCCCACTGCCAATGGGGACAGTAGCCATTCTTAGCTCGTGAATAGGTCAGTTGTTGATGTGCTTTGCCGACAATGTTTACAAACGGCGGGCGCATCTCATGAGCCACTTGGTGACGGAACAGCATGTGGCTGTTGTGTATTCTGTCTGGATGAACAATACGACACAACCGTCGTTCACCACCACCACCGCTGAGTGGCGTTGAATCTCACCACGCGGTCTGTGTCAGGCTTGGTGCATGGCAGAGTTACATGTGGTTGCTCCGCAACTCACTCATTGGAGGTCACGGGGACAGACCTAAGGTGTTGTGGTTGAATCGGTGAATTCCTACTGATATTAAATAATTGAACCAACTCATGCACTGTGGATAGATCGTTGAAATCACACTAATCAGATGTCCTAAGAAATATTCGTATGTGCTTGAACTTCTTTCACACCGTACATAGCCAACTGCTATTTGTAGGTGCGGATAGAGAGGCGAAGCCTGACCGATTGAAGGTCTCGCCGATAGCATGTAATGGGACAGACATAGGAGTTGTTGGTGCGGTGGAGAACTCTCGCTGGTCATAGAACTCACCCATATATGGTAGGTGAAGTGGTTGAAGCCTTACTCATAGGGATTACGGTACATGACCTACCTATTTTTATGGCGTGGCTAACGTGGTGGTGACTCATTGATTAAATACTCTTGAGAGTAAAACATGTTTTTCTTTCACCGCTGCTGTACGTTGAAGACTGTGGCTGAACGAGGCTGTCGGGTGGGGGGGGGGACTGTCAGAGCAGCAGATTCCCTGCCGGCACAAAACTCCCATCGACGCCGTCGCTAAATGAGGCCGACTCGAGCATAATTTTAGCCCTGCAGGCACATCTGATGCCAACGTTTGATATGCGATGGAGAGGTTTTAAAATATATACATCTTCTTTCTCCGAAAGCTACGTCTCCTTTACATGGTCGGATGGTCAGCTCACATTCGGGGGACTGTAATTCGATTTTGTGTTTTACATTTTCACAACTGTTGAGTCTTGGCAGTTGGCGAGCCGGCCTTGTGACTCGGAGGGAACTTGCAATGGCCGTGTGAAAGTGTGGCGCTGGTAATGCTGTGATTGTTCTGCGCTTGAATTAGGGCAGCCACTGTGTTAATAAAATTTGCACCAAGCGTCATCAAACCACAGGGCGCACGGCATGTGTAACTTGCGGAATGTCAGAATGACTTTGTGACCGAGGGTTGGGGCAATGAGCCAGTTCTGGCATCATGGCTGCTAGTGATTTGCCATCTGTGGGTGTCGCAATAATACCAATTACAATTATCATGAGAATAGGTTTTCCCCTTTTTTCTGGCAACAAAACAGGTGTTGAGATGTTAAAACACCAAACTGAAACCTTTTACAAGGAATCATGTCTGCATTAACCACAATTCTTGTGGTCAGAATGCAAAAAGAACGTACTCTGATAATATATGCATTGTCTTTGAAACTGATTGGTCCACACCAGAGACAGCTTTCTTTTTGCCTAGTCTCAAAACAGGGTTAGAAAAGGCGTACAGCACAAAGACAATGCACAATCAGAGTAATGAGAGGTCAAGGTGAGCAGCTACATCATGGGACCTCCTTTGCCAGTACCACAATATGAGAATAGGTTTTCCCATTTTTTCTGGCAACAAAAATTGTTTTTGTTTGCATCCTGACCACAAGTATTGTGGTTAATGCAGACATGATTCCTTGTAAACGGTTTCAGTTTGGTGTTTTAACATCTCAACACCTGTTTTGTTGCCAGAAAAACGGGAAAAACCTATTCTTATATTGTAGTACTGTCAAAGGAGGTCCCATGATACAAGAATCATGCCATCTATTTTTGAATATGGGCTGTCACCGTCCATATTTTGTATTAACATTCAGGAATTCGGGTTGACAGTCCTAGCTGGGTCTATAGACTGAGAGTCCTGTATTCGAATGTGTGCTCGACAGCGTGAATTAATGTTAAGCTTATGGGAGAAAAAAGGAAAAGCTCTACACATATAAAAGAATGACACTTAACACTCCCTTCTCTTGGCTGCCTCTCACAGCCACATGCCGGCAACACCTGGTGCCCACCCATTCAAGAACTAATCAGGCTAAACTCTTGCTTACTGAGATCTGATTAAGAGAGTTGATGGCATGGTGGCCAGATGTTAACTACCATGCCTGGTATGCAGGAGGTCGTGCGTTCGATCCCGACTCTGGTGCCTGCTGTATATTTGGAGTTTGCGTGTCTCTCTCTCTTCCCGTGGTCGCGTGGATTTTTCTCCGGGTCTTTCGGTTTTTCCCTCCACATTTATAAACACGCGTTTAGAGTATTTGGCCGCTAGAATTTTCCCACGTGTTAAGCCACTTCGTTGAGCTATCAATAGTGGCCAGGTGGCTTATGAAAAAGAGCTATAGAGCTCAGTGGGCCTTACCTGGTAATATAAGAACTTTAGTTTTGTAGTTTAGTTAGAATTGAGAAATTCTGCATCAGACAGAGAACACGCGAGGCCATATCACCCTGCCAGGCTCTCTAGTCTGCTATGTGTGGAGCAGGATTACTGATAGAGCAGCAGTGTCCAGGATGTGAAACCACGCACATAATTAGAACTGCTTTTGTGTTTAGTATATTGTCTTACCTCTACACCTCCGATTTGCACGGTTGGCTACGTACGGTGCGAAAGAAGTTCAACCTACATACGAACAACCAAACACAACATGGAGAAACGTTTTAATTTCTATCGGCTTCTTAGGCCTACGCCCTCTCTGCCAGTGTCCATGCTTTATCAACATTTAGCTGCCGTTAAATTTACACAACGATTTAGCACCCAACTGTTCTCATAATGTTTTTCTTCACACCAGCTGGCTGGTAATAGCTGTTCTAATGTGCCACATTTACACACATGCACACAGTTTTTTTTATGGATGATATAATCAGCGACGAGCATGCAAATATACATAACGTGTGTGTATTGGGGAGCGGTGGCACAGTGGTTAGTGCACTGCGCTGCAAACCTGGTGACCAGAGTTCGATTCCGACTCACGGCCAACACCACAATTATCTGACGATTATCTGAACCGGTCCTGGGCCTCCCCGAGGTTGATTCAGACTCAAATGAGTACCTGATGCGATGTCTAAACATCGCCACTCGGGAGACAAAGGCAGCCGGGCGTGGTGTTGGCTACCCACCCCCCTCATGTCCTGTGCCAGCCATCATAGGTGCTCGTTAACAGCACTTGCCCCAATAGTCTGTTAAGGCTATATGGGAAATCTTTGTCTTTGTTGGGATGTGTGCATCTCGTATGTATGTGTGCCAGTGTGAGTACATGTGTGTGAGTGGCATTTAATCGTATTTGGTGTATGCACGTGTTTTATGGTTGTGTATGTGCTGTGTGTGGGTAGCGGTTGCGTGGTTGTTGATGCCATGTGCTCCAAACCTTAAGACCCAAGTTCGATTCCTGACTGGCTATCATCAGTGGTGGTTATCTGCACTCGGTTCTGGGCTTCCTCTAGATCGACTCAACCTGAAATTAATGCCTGAGGTCAGCCACACCACCTCCTCGTGCACCGTGCTGTCCTTCATAGGTGCTCGCTAACAGCACTTGCTCTAGAAGTTCGTGTAGACTCTACGGGTGGGGGGGGGGGGGTCTTTGAGCTCTGCGTCTGTAATTCTTGTTTACGTATGTGAGAGTAAGTATGTGTGTATATGGGAGTTCCTTGTCTTTGTGATTGATTAAGTGTGAGCGGTGTGTCATTGTGTGTTGTCACGTGCGTGTGTGTGTGCGCCGACAATCAATTGCGCGATTGCATTGCCGTGTTTGCGCTTTTGTTTCAGCCGAAGATGGGAAGCTGTTGGCAAAAATCGAAAAGGTGAAGACGATAAGAAACGAGAAGCGTGAAGGTCAGTGCCTCCTAACGTCAAACACCCAGCGCGTTGAGCCACTCTCTACCTCCCAGGGACGAAGAGCAAGGTCAAGAGTTCATCTTGGCCGGTGCCGTTGAGGCCGTCGCACCTCGCCAACGGCCGATGGACAAGTTGCCACTTGCTCATGCGCAGCCCCTGCGGTCTGGAATACCCCGGCCACTCCACAACCGACAAAAAACAACTCCCGTCATTTCATTATTTTAGAGGCCTTTTTATTCATCCAGGCATACGCTGAAAAGGAGGTGATCACTTTCTGGACATTGGACCGATTGGTCCAAATGAGTCGTTAACTTTTTGGCCCCACACCACCGCCCCCCCCTCCTCCCCCTCCTCTGAAGGTTTCCTGGCTTCGTTGGGAAGTTAGGACTGTGGTTTGGGACGTGTAGTCGACCTTTGTTGTGTATGATAAATAATAATAAGTTTTACCCTTTCTGGCAATAAAACAGGTGGTGTTAAGATGTTCAAACAACAAATAGAAACATTTTGCAATGAGTGAAGTCTGCATTAACTACACGTACTTGTGGTGAACATGCAAACAAACATGCTCTGATAATATAAGCATTGTCTTTGAAACTGTTTGGCCTACGCTAGATACAGCCTTCTTCATGACCTAGTCTAACCAGTGTCAGACTAGAGAACACCAAAAGGTGAAACAGTGCATACCAGTGGATGACTTTATTGCCCTGGTCGATGTAGCGCTTAAGGGTTTGGGACACATCGCTGCAGACGTGACAAGATCTGAAATCGCTGCAACCCTCAAAAGCGCTAAGATACCAGTCAGCAACATCAGTAAGGAGGAGCGTTTCGAGTTATCTCAATTGGAAAAAGAGGGACGATGTCGTCATCCTCTCACCTGACAAGGGCAATGCCACGGTCATCATGGACAAAACCGTGTATAATAACAAAATTCAGGACCTACTTAATGATGGTAGCGTGGGACGTTTTTGCTAGTATCAAATTATGAAAAATAATAATAGGTTTTACCATTTCTGGTAATAAAACAGTGTTTGAACATCTTAACACCTGTTTTATTGCCTGAAAGGGTAAAACCTTTTATTATTTATCAAGCTTTTTTGTTGTTTATGCTTTTGATGTTGGTGCCATTTCTTAATTTGTTTATCTATTTTTTATTTTGCTTGCTTGTAGGGTTTTCATTTGCTTGGTAGTGGCTGTAAATGGAATTTGGTCCTTATATATTATTAATGGTACAGCATTATGGGATACTATTAGCATGATTAACACTATAAAAATGTAAAGTACTACAGTAAAACCTTGGATTGCGAGTAACTTGGTCTGTGAGTATTTTGCAAGACGAGCAAAATGTTTAAATAAATATTAATTTGATAAACGAGCGAGGTCTTGCAATACAAGTAGTACGTGTATACGTTCTGTCTGCCGAGTGTCACGTGATCACAACTGATACACGAGTGCTTTGATATACGAGTGCTTTGGATTACAAACACGTTTCCGGAACGAATTATGCTCGCAATCCAAGGTTTTACTGTATTAAGTATTTTGCGGTCTCCTACCCAACTGCCTCTCGATATTTCACCATGTTTACCATCAGCCACAGCGCATGAGTAGACTGCACAGACCTTGTAATTCTGGGGGACATTGAATCGGCATGTCAAATTTAGTTTGGCAATTGGCTTTTTGGGTTCGGCCGAATTTCTGTTTCGTATTTAAATTGTAAATTTAGTTACGAGAATTGTTCTTCAACTTACCGTTGTGAGCTTAAACCGTAATATTTGGCGCATTAAGCGGGTGGTTGCAGGGTTTTCACGCACAAATGTGGCACAGCTCATTACGTGGCCTAATCCACGAATCACTGGTGACTGAAACCACGGGGAAAGACCCAGAGCCAGATGGGTGGGATTCATTGAGTATTTGGTGTGTTGAGCTGGCGGTGAAAAACTCCACATGCCCATTGTGTTAGCCCGGACCATTGTATTGGAACAACCACTGTTGAATTTTGTTTGCATTTTGATCACAAGTGTTGTGGTTAATTCAAACATGATCCCTTGTAAAAAGGTGTCAGTTTTGTTGCCAGATAAAAGGGTAAAAACCTATTACTATAACCACTGTTGACTTTGCCCACAAGGGGAATGTTCATTTTATCAACCCGACGGGGACGATGGGTTGAGTTGAGACCCAACAAATTGTTTTACTTATGTTTAAGAGACACTGCTACAGCCCCAAAGGAAAGGTTTACACAAACACGGAGTTCTGTAGAGGCCTAGCTAGTCTTAGTACTCTGGTTCTTTCGGTAAAGTCACGTAGATAGAAAATTTATAGATCACGACGTTTCGAACGCAACACAAGCAACCGTCATCAGGTGAAACAAACACAGCAGGAAAACTGCTGACGTAGGAGAAAGAGCTGCTGCAACAAGAGGTTATATAGGATTTTGGTGGGCCCAACCCAAGGGTAAGTTGGCGGAGCTAGAGAAGGAATTTGTACGTAAATGTAAATGTAAGAGATTAGCATGTCAATGTGAGATGGCTCCAGCAACCGGGGGTTGTGCCAATAAGAAGATTAGTATGTCAATGTCAGAGAGCCGGGCAACAGGAACAAAAACCCGCAAGAGCAAGAGATACACATGGAGAGAGACACACACAGAGAGAGAGACACAAAGCAACACACACAGAGGGACAACCCACAAACAGAGAGGGACATCCACATAAAGAGAAAGCCTCAATACTTCAGAGAATATACGACATGCCGCTTGAAGCAAGTCGGACAATTGCCATTGAGCGGAATCACGAGGTGTGTGAATCTCTCTCGTGGTGGCATCGCAGAGAGGCAAGATTGACTTGGGTGACCTGGGGCGGTGGTGGGTCATCATCGCAGCCAAATCACGGGGAACAAAAAAAAAACTCTACAAGACCCTTCCTGACCCGGATCTTCCCATTGTCGACTCAACCTCAAATATGAGTACCTGGTGTGGTGTGTAAACATCGCCATTAGGGGACAAAGGTGGCCGGGCGTGGTGCTGGCCACCCACCACCTCGTGCGCCGTGCCGGTCTTCGTAGGTGCTTGTTTAACAGCACTTTATCTTTGTTTGTGTGGTGTGTGTGCGTACGTGTGTGTGCTTGCCCAGGTTTGATGCGATCGCGAGTGCGGGGAGCCGACATCGCGGAGAGCGCCATCCTCACCTTCCTGGACAGTCACTGCGAGTGCAATGAACACTGGCTGGAGCCGCTGCTCGAGAGAGTGGCCGAGGTGCAGTTTGTGTGTGTGCGCGCGTACGTGTGTGTGTGTACGCGCGTACGTACATGTGGGGAGCGGTAGCGTAGCTATTAGCACGCTGCGCTACGAACCCAGCGACCTGAGTTAGATTCCCGCTCACAGACAACACCAATGACGTTTATTTGAGCTGGTCTTGGGCCTCCCCTAGGTTGACTCAGCCCCAATTGAGTACCTGGAGCGATGTGTAAAAACATTGGCACTAGGGAGACAAAGGTGGCCGGGTATGGTGCTGGCCACACACCACCACCTCGTGTGCCGTTCCGGCCTTCATAGGTGCTCGCTAACTGCACTTTCCCCAAAAGTGTGTTAAGGATGTACGGGGGGATATTTATCTTATGTAAATATTCAGGTGGAGAGTGGTGGCACAGTAGTTCGCGTGCTGTGCTACAAACCCGTCGACCTGAGTTAAATTCCCGCTCATGGCCAACACCAGTGATAATTATCTAAACCATTCCTGAGCCTCCACTAGGTCGACTCGGCCTCAAATGAGTACCTTGGGCGGTGTGTAAACATCGCCACCAGGAAAACAAAGGTGGCCGGGTGTTGTGTTGGCCACCTACCAATTGTTGAAGTGTCTGCTCATGCACAAACAATTGAATGGCTACATATTTGTGCGGAAAATTTTAACTTACTTGAGCCAGAACGACTGTGGTAAGTTCATCGAACAACTCCTTTGGTCGGGCGACTCCAGACAATGAGAAGTTAATATGTAGGAAAATTTACGGTGTCGCCAACTACTGTGCAAAACCCCTGTCACAACCTTAAATCAATTGACCGATAGGGCATTTATTGTTTATTACGTAATGGATTTTTTTTATTGTTGGAAGCATTTCCTGTTAGTAGTTGCATACATTGATCAAAAGATGAACACTTAAGAGTGCCTTCTTACTCACACTTCAGAAGGCAGCACTCCTCTGTTGGTGTGGATCCCAAAAAATTATTTTGACGGAGGCCGACTCATCTGCTCAACCTCCACCGTTGACTTCTCACAGAGTGGCATCGAACCTAAGATAATGATACACTGAGTCTGACTGCCCCCCCCCCCCATCCGCCATCAGGATTTGAACCTTCAGATTGAGATCAATCCTCTCAACTGATGCGCTGCCTAGTCTGTTATGAATACACCGCTCGTGTGCACGTGTGTGTGTGTGTGTGCGTATGTATATTTAGGTTGCAAATGAAAGCTGCGGGTCACTAAGTCCGGCTATATTAAACTGGCTTCCGGAAGCACCATGTCACATCAGCGGGACTTAATCTGCTTATACATTGGGCCGTGTTTTAATCTCTGCCCACCTCAGCCCTGCACCGCGTAAGCTTCTTGGCCGATCCGAGTGAGCATTAGCTCACTTGAAAGGTCTCTCTGTCTAATTAGAATGGGACCCACGGTTGATGGCCCCATACGACCTGCCCTCAACCCCATTAAATGCTAAAAATGTGATGTTTTTCTGGTCAGAGGTCACCGATTGATGAACTTTCAGTGATCTCAATCTGGCATAAAAATAACGGCGATGATGATGTGCAAATTTTGACCATCTAATGACTTCACGTTCGCCATTTAGCAATTTAATTGCGAAACCTGGACAATATGCCTTGCTTTTATAATGTCACGGTAGGAGCTGGATGTTTTAATAATATATCAGCAGGGGACACTGAGGCAAATGAAGAGAGACATCTCAAAGACATCACTTGCAGAAGTGATCGTTATTCAATTGACAGTAATTAGAGCGATAATTACACCAGCCATGCTTCGTGCTCTGTAAAACGCCGCATTAAATTAATCAAACACACGGCACTGAAGGCGAGTAAGACACCCAGAAGGAGTCAGGTGACCTGGGCTTAAAGTCAAAGGCAATTTGGAACATCTTTCAGCTCAAACTAGCATTGCAGTGTTGCTTGTTTGCTAGCGGCGCTGATCGAGCGGTGGAAATTCCACGTTCCACGAGGCATTCGGCAGTCACAGCACAACTACTGTTGACGTTCTAAGATGTTTGAGTTACGAAAAAAGAAGATATCTTTGCGCACAGATGTTTCCATCAAAAATCGACAATGTACTTGGTGGAGAATCTTATTTTCCCAGATTAAGGCTCGGATTGGAAATCATGAGAGTAAAGTGTCTTAGAAACTTGTAACCACACCCCAAAACAAACCAGACTCAGCCTCACGAGGAGCAGCTGTTGACCCGTGAATTTGGAGGGAGCCTTGTGCATGTGTGTGACTCAACCTAGGGCTGAGTGCCATCATCGGCAAACATTGACTTTTGGCGGTATTCGTTAGCCCTTTTACGCAAAAATGTAAAAAAGGGCTGGGGCAGATGTATTTTTTTTAACAAAGACACGGGGGGAAATTATTGCAATGTTCCCTTTCGCATCCATTTGCAACCCAGACGATGTGTCATCTGTGGTCGGTGGTTAGGTGTGTGGGATGTTTTTCCTGAGTAGAACAGCACTCGCTTGTGTGAGCCATAACTCTGCTTTTAAATGAAACACAAAGCTGGCTTAGGACGCTCACTTGGCCATGTTAGTGGCGCTGAACCAGAACGGGCTCAAGCAAGCTACTGCTGTCCCACTCCTCCTAGGGTTCAAACTGGGTTACAGCCACCTCTTGAGTAAGCCACATTCTCAAGCGTAGCGAGCTGAGTCTCGGCCAGATTACCAACAACTACATAAAGCACCCCCGTAATGTAAAGCATTTAGTTATTTTTTTTAACTCAAACCAACCGATCACAACTCTTGAGCGTTCTCAGTATAAATATGTTCGGTGATCGACATGAGGTGGACGATTCTTTGCGAAGCGTGAAGGAATCTCACCTGGTATTATGCGAGGGGAGGCTTGTTGACGCGACAGAGGCCGCCCTCAGAAATAGTTTGGTGATGTCAACTTCAGTGGGCTATTCCCGAACGTGACAGTATGCTCTGCTAATTAGAGATAGATTTTTGCTCACCTCGTGATGGCACGGCTTCAATAACACAGCTGGGATATGTTGGAGGAAACAACAATAATGTAGTCAACTATCAATTACCCAGTATAATGGGGTGCAGGGCTGTCCCAGATACGCCAAAAAACGGATAAAGTAAAACATATGTAAATTAGGCTATGTAAATGTACGTATTGCTTACTATGTAGAAAGGGGACGTAGAATGCGGTGCCTTTATTATTTATATAACAAATTAACTTACCGCCGTGTTTGTGGTCACGTGAGCACCGACCCTTAACGAGTGAGGAGCAGCTATTATCGCAACCAGCTGTGATGCATAACAAGGCATGGAAGAGCACGGTCAGTCCGCGGGCCTGACAATCCACCCACGGATAATCGAGAAGAGACCCTACAGCACGTGCGCAACACACTCAAACACACAACCGCGAGTCAAGCAAATCTAACGGAGGTTTTTCACCCATGTGCGTGCGCGGCGGTGGCACAGGACCGGACCCGGGTCGTGTGTCCCATCATCGACGTCATAAACATGGACAACTTCCAGTACGTGGGCGCCTCCGCTGACCTCAAGGGAGGTGAGCGGTGACGGCAGAGGTGGCGGTGGCGACGTAGAGTGGCCCCCCTCGCAGAGGGGCTGGAACCCGCGTTACACCGGCTCTGTCGTTTCGCGAGAGAACGAGGGGAGGAGAGACCACGCGTAGCAGGCATCGAGGGAGTATGGAACTCTTTCCAGTGTTCAGTTTCCCCCCCTTGGGAAGTATTTTGTTCGCGGTGCGGAAAGTTTATGGGTTAAGGAAAAAAATCAATTTGCATATTTTTCAAATTGTCCTCCCTTTGCTTCTGATTAGTTTATCCAAGTGTTGGGCAGTCACCGCATTACAGACGGTAATGGAGCTAAATGTAAATAGTGGATTTTTGTTTTGTTAAGAAAAGGAATCTGCCGAGGCACCGCACCCCTGAGTTAGCCCACTGTTTTGAGAACACCTTGCGTTTTGTTACGTTTCATGGGTCACGGTTTGATTCAAGAATCTGTTTGGGCTTTTTTGGAGTTTAAAGGTTCACGTGAACTGATTACTTAAAAAATACGTAAAGATTATTACACACACAAATCAATTCACGTATTGTGAGATAAAATGTGTATGTTAATGAATCCGAATATTTATACTGGAGGAATTCTGATGACCTATAAAGATATTTTTCACAGATATTAATTCACCGTCACAGCCCTAGCATGTAGTACACACACGGATGCCTCCGTTTCCCCCACAACGCATGCCCCACAGCCTCCTGGCATGCGGTTGCACATGCACACGCTCTGCATCAAAACTGTAATCAATAATTACTATGCGCCGCCACTGCACGCTCAAATGTAGCGTATACATTTCATACCATGCACGATTGGGCACATTTGGCTCACCGGTTACTTGTAGGGTTATGTTTGGGATACAGACAAAAAAAATGGGCACCGCAGCATTTTTGAATATTTGGCTTGCTATGAATTTCCACGTGATAAGCCACTCTGTTGAGCTATCATGTGTGACCAGATCGCTTCTGAAAAATAAGTTAATAGCACGGTGGGCTTTCTTTACCTGGTAAAATAAAAAGTTTAGTTGAATTTTTAAAGTGATTTCCTACCTTCCCTTTACTTTGCATTCCTATTGTGCTTTTGTATTGATTGTTGTTGTAACTTTTTGACCTCCCCCTATTGGACATCTGTGACAAAGAGCTTTGTAGATCATCGGGTTCCTCCACTATAAATTAAGATTCTGATTCGGTGACCACCGCCGACGTTGCATTGGTAGGCTTCGAGTGGAACCTGGTGTTCAAGTGGGACTACCTGACCCCGGAGCAGAGGAAAGCCCGGCAGACAACACCGACTTCCCCTATCCGGTACAAGCGGCAGCTGCACCAAAGACAAAGATCCCGCGTGTAGCCTGTAACAGACTGTTGGGGCAAGTGCTGTTAGCGAGCACCTACGAAGGACTGCACGGCACATGAGGAGACGGGTGACCAGCACCACACCTGGTCACATTTGCATCCCCAGTGGCAATATTTGCACACTGCACCAATAACTAATTTGAGGCTGAGTCGACCTTGGGGAGGCCCAGGTTCAGATAATCGTCACTGGTGTTGGCCGTGAGTGAGAATCGTACCCGGGTCGCCAGGTTCGTAGTGCAGCGCGCCAACTGCTCCACTATCGCTCACCACACACCACACACCGTGTCCCACACACCGTGTACCACACACCCCACTCTACGTAACCGTGCAGCATTACCCACTGCACAGTATTCCCTACACTGCACCGCTTGTAACAGACTGCACCGTGCACTGTATACAGTACGCTCCACGTACCACTCCCCACACACCTCTTGCCGTGCACCGCTCACCACAAAGCCGGCACAGCTCATTCCACTCCTCAAATTTCAGTTGCCATGCATTATGCATGAGTAGTCAGTTGCATAAAACACATTAAGTGATTTCGCCCCTTCAGTTACACTGATTTACATGGGAAAAATTAAGGAAGATTCCGCTTCACATGTTTTATGCAACCCGCCACAAGGCCTTTGCTCCGACAGTATAAAAAAACTAAACGGGGGATCTTTGTGTTCGTATGCGTGCGTCTGTGTGATCTGCAGGACGCCTATGATTGCTGGGGGTCTGTTCGTGATGGAAAAAGCTTACTTTGAGGAGCTTGGGAAGTATGACATGATGATGGACATCTGGGGCGGCGAAAACCTTGGTGGGTAAACGCGTTCATAAGATGTTGGTGGACAGAAAGAGATGGAGTAGTGGATAAGAGTTAGATGTGAAAATGTGTGGGGAGTTGGAGTTGTCCATTATTTAACCAATTTCTGTTCGGCTTGGCAGCACACATCACGCCTGTGATAGGTGCCTTCTCTGAGTATGGGAGGGTACTCAGCCTGGAGGAATTTAGCCAACAGGAACTACGCCAAGGGTTCGAGTAATAAAAAAAAATACTACAGTGGTACCCCGGAGATCAAACTTAATTCGTTCCAGAAGGCCATTCGAACACCGAATTGTTCGAGTTCTGGTGCGTTCGATCTCCGAGGTTCTACTGTATATATTTACTTATTGGGTGATCTACGTATAGATCCCCCCCCCCCTAGTTTGTAATGACCACTGGAATATCATCTGCAGTCATCTCAGTCAGTCAACCGTTAGCACCTTGGTCTGTCCTGCGACCTGCCAGCAAGCCTCCCCCACTTAATGAGTGCACCTAGCCACCTAGTTTAGAGTATTTGGCTGCGATACATTTCCACTTGATAAGTGACTTTGTTGAGCTATCATTTATGGCCAGGTCGCTTCTGAAAACGATCTATATAGCTCAGTGGGCCTTACCTGGTGAAATAAAAATAGTTTAGTTTAAATAGTTCAGTTTAGCCTGGCACAAGTGCTGCGGGGACGTCACCGTCACTAAGTGGTGAGCGGCGGCTATCGTTGCGTGCTCTATATTTACGTGTATGCGTGTGTGCGCACACTGTGTGTGTGTGCGTGCACGCTCCGCGCCACGCGCAGAGATTTCATTCCGCGTGTGGCAGTGCGGTGGGTCTCTGGAAATCATCCCGTGCAGCCGCGTGGGCCACGTCTTCCGGAAGCAGCACCCCTACTCGTTCCCCGGCGGCAGTGGCACCGTGTTCGCCAGGTAACCAACACCCACAGCCTTGGCTGGCTCCAGCGTGCTGCGACTAAAGCAGCCTGTGCTCAGCAACTGCATCAACAACAAAAAAGACTCGCTGCTAGATGAGGGCCCTCTCCACGCCCGTGTGGGTTGTGAGTGTTATTTGACCATACTTCACCATGCTGGTCTATACGGGTTGGTGAAGGCGGGAATCTGTGTATGTGGGACTTCTTTCGCACCGTACATAGCCAACCTTGCTAAGCCAACCGTGCTAATCCGAGATGCGGGGGAAGTACAATAAACATGTGAGCATACATCATTGGATGTTGGTATACTATTCTTTGGTTATTTTGGTAAAGTCTCGTCGATAGAAGAAAAATCATAATAAAAATAAAGTGAATAAAATCATTTTAAAAAACACAACGTTTTAATCACAACACAAGCGGTCTTCAGGAAAAAGGGGGTTAACCTCTAAAGGCAAACTGTTTATAAAGATTTAAAATGGGCGTAGCCCAAGTGTCAGCAGCATGGGCAGGGCAGCTAATGTTAATGTAAGTGATGGTAGTAATGGGCAACGACGGCGCTGGTGGTGGGTTTCCAACAATTAAAGGGCTGCCAGGTAAAGGTTTAACATTGGCGTAGCTCAGGTGTAGCAGCATGGACGGGGCAGCTAATGTTAATGTAAGTGATGGTAGTAGTGGGCAATAGCGACGCTGGTGGCGGGTTCCACCAATTAAAGGGCTGCCAGGTAATCGTTGCACCTCGCTTTACACAATCACACTGTTGACGGTGGAGGTTGCTGCTAGAGGTGATGGTAGTAGTGGGTAATGATGGTACTGGTGGTGGGCTTCCACCAATTAAAGGGAAACATAACAGCCAGTTATGGCTTTGAATGGTTGATAACGTCCATCCAGTAATTGCTGAGTTTGTACCCATCTTCTCGGTTGAAATTGTGTCTGTCGGTATATATGGATGGCTTCATGAACTTATCTTTGTTGATAGCCAGTGGGTTTGCAAAGTACCTTCGTCTTGGAGAAATACATTCCATGTGAGCCAGCCGCATTAAAATAATGATCAGCCACGGCAGAAGTATTGGTCCTACCGTGTTTCAAATCTGCCTTATGCTCACGAACACGGTCCGAGACACGTCGCTTAGTTTGCCCAATGTAACTGCTGCCGCAGATACAGCTTAGTTTGTAGACGCCAGGATATTGCATGCCAGGGATCTTGTCCTTCACAGATGGGATCAGATCACGAATTTTATGTACTGTGTTAAATCAGACCTGGATCTTGTATTTGTTCATGATTTTGTAAATATGTTTGATTACCCCTGCTATGTATGGCAAGGTGATGGTTTTGATTGGATCCTCAGATGGCTCCTTTCTCACGGTTGGGGTGATGGCTTTGCGGATTGTGTAGTCAGAGTATCCATTCATCTTGAGGGCTTGGCATACGAGTTTGAGTGTTCATGGTTAGAGATACATTGAGCTCGCTGGTGTAGAGTTATAATGAGGGAATTCTTCTGGGATGGATGGTGGTAGGAGTCAGGTTTTAGGTAGGCATCTGTATGGGTTGCTTTCCTGTAGACAGAATGGCTCATTGAGCCATTTAGTCTCTTTTTAATTAGGACATCTTATAAAGGTAGCTTGCAATCCTTTTCTACCTCCGTGGTAAATTTGATGGTGGGGTGTATGGCATTGATGTGGTTGAGGAATTGGTTCAGAGCCGGTCGGCCATGTGGCCAGATGACAAATGTGTCATCGACGTACCTCTCCCAGAAGGACGGGCGTAGAGTGGATGCCTGGATGGTGCCCATCTCAAAATTTTTCATGAAAATATTGGCTACAACCGGAGGTAAGGGAGAACCCATTGGGGTGCCTTCAATTTGTTTGTAGAATGTTTCATTCCAGGTGAAGTATGTATTGGTGAGGCAGTGTCTGACCAGGGCCGGTACATCAGCATTCAATCCTTGTTGGACCAAATCTTCAATGATTGCAACTTCGGTGAACAGAGAAACTACATAGAAACTAACTAGCAATTCACCTGCAGACAGTCAGATATCCTTTATTGACTATACCAGGTGAGCTGAGTTAAGTACAGAAGAGGTGGTCTTACCAGTGGTATACCGCCCTCTGCTGATGACGGAGAGTATTACGGTATCGACTCTGGCAGCATATCTGAACGATATCCCATCATGGATGGGTTTTTGGGCACTTTAGTTTTCCATTTGAAGACTGAAATAAAAATGAGGACAAATTTCCCCAAACAGGATTCTGCTGAAGATGATTCAGTTAATTAGCACAAAGGGGGGGCGACAAGCACCCACTCGCACCCACCAAGTGTGCAATGCGTCCGCGTGTACCGTGATGACGACATTGTCATTAAAACGTTCTCGGTTCCTGTTGAGCATCAGGTGGACGCGTCCCTCTGTTTGACGCGTTCGCCAATGACACCGCCCTAAAGAAGAGAACTAGTGCAGTCCCGTTCTCCTCTCACGCCGCGTGTTGTTTTCATACCGTGAATTGGATACAACAAATGTATTAGGGAACACGTCTTTATAATGCGGATGACAATTGGATATAACGCGATCGAGCGAATGGAACTACGCCGCGCGAGTAGGAATAAGCGGTTGTACGGCTGCCTAGGCGTAGCATCATCGCACGAGGCATTGGGATGCTGCTGGATGCTTCTAGATGCTACCCACTCGCCTCAGTCTTTGTTCAGCCTGCGTACGCATCCCACGTGTTATCGCGGACTGTGCTATTATTTATTATAACATGATTTGTCCACAAAGAGCTGTTCTTCAGCTACCACGTCATTGGAGAACAGACTCCATCTTTTGGGGCAATGTTAGCGATGAAAGTGGAAGTGGTTGTTTGTTGTCTGTGCTTGTGCACCACTGTCGACGACAGCACCACAAAGTCTTTCGTTCTTGCAATGAAAATGTAACTTCATGCCTGAACATGAAATCAAAGTGAAACACCACGCTTATCAATTTGGGGTGGTGGGGGGGGGGACACTGGGGGGCAGTGCAACTCCCAGGAGGGTTGTGACAGGCAATCGGTGGAGGGGGGGGTCGTTTTCTCCCTTGTTCTGTAAGAAGCAGTACAGCAAGTAGGTTATTACATATCTTTGTTTATACGTTTCTCACGGCAGCTCTTGACGCGCTCCGCATCTGCGTGATGTAACGGAGGAACGTAAGCGGGCCGCCGGTGAGACAAAAACCATGCCCACTGGTCTCTTACGCAGTTGCCGAGTTTCCACGGCTCACCCTCTTCACGCTCCTCTACCCCCTCTCTCTCTGACGAGGAACTGGGGCATGTTGACGGCCACCCCATGAAACACAAGGGCTTCGCGTAAGCAACGAGCAATACCCAGTTGTCATTCGTGGCTTTGATGACCAGGGCGACCGAGCGCGATGCGGCCCCTCATCCCCTATCCTCTCGCCCCTCCGCTGTCGCACGCGGAACGTTTTTTTTTTGTCGCAGGAACACGCGGAGAGCGGCCGAGGTATGGATGGACGAGTACAAGAACTTCTACTACGCGGCGGTGCCCTCTGCGAGGAGCGTCTCCTTTGGAAAGTAAACAGCCCCATGTTTCGACTCCTTCTCAACTGGGGCGTAACGCGGGGGGGGGGGGGGGGGTTAATTGACTGACAGCGGCGTGCGACGTGGGTCCGGCATGCGGTCGCTGCTGCTGACAGTTAATGTAATGTTCCACGCACGCCAGATTTAGTGGTCACCATTCCGGGTTATTTGAACGTGCATAAATCTAGGGTGATTTGTCATCATTGCGCCGTTGTTTTAGGTGACCGCTGTACCCGCTTGGCTCAAGATTCGAATTTTTTTAGCATAGAATTTACGACTGACGATTATTTTCGAGCTGTGCGGTGGCAGCGAGAAGCCGAACACCTGCCTTGCTTCACTATCCCTGCATTAGAAGCTGTAGATTCGCAGGGTTAAAGTAAGCCGTCTACGTTTATCGTCCAGGTTATTAACAAATAACTCTGCTGCTGTGTGTTTAAAGCATTCAGGGCCGGTTGGAGCTCCGAGAGAAGCTGAAATGCAAGCCCTTCAAGTGGTACCTGGATAATGTCTACCCTGAGCTCAGGTCTCAAGCACACACAAACACACGCACAAACATTTCCCCGTCAAGCCTTGCAGGCTATCGGGGTAATCACTGTTAGCGAACATCTGTTACAAACCTGCACTGCGTGCAAGCGGACGGTTTTGCCGAGTGTGAGGATAATTTTTATCGCGTTGAGCAAGAGGCCCACAGGTGGAACCTTGTGGGATGCCACGGCGGAGGGGTCTCGCACAAAGCTAGGCCTTGTGTAGAAACGTCGAGGGAGCGGTTTGAGAGGTGGGAGCAGAACCCAGGAGAGAAGTGTGATGGGCGTGAACAAGCTGATGACGTTCATCGCCTCTGCTGTGTCTGTCGCTGCCCTCTGACCCCCCCAGGGTTCCGGATAAGCAGGACGTGGCGTTCGGGGCGTTGCAGCAGGGAGCCAACTGCCTGGACACCATGGGCCACTTCGCCGACGGCACCGTGGGGGTCTACGAGTGCCACAACGCTGGCGGCAACCAGGCGAGTCTCCAGGGCCAGCCACAGGGCCCCTGGGGTAGAGAGCAGACGGGGCGGGAGACCACCTGATGGCGACCAGGTGGCTTGACGTTGTGGGCTGTGTGTGTGTGTGTGTGCGCGCATGCAACAGGAATGGGCCTTCACCAAGGAGAAGTCATTGAAGCACATTGATCTGTGCTTGACGGTGACCGACCGCATACCTGGAGGCCTCCTCAAGCTCCAGGTTTGCAGGGAGAATGACAGCCGACAGGTGAGGGTCAACCCCCACACACCCTTGCAACAACAGCTGCCTCTGTGAGTCCCTGGCATTAGCTGTCCATCATCATCATCATTTCCACTTGTAACACGCACAGTTTTCGCTCACTCTCCTTGAGAGCATGTCTCAGAGGCGCGAGGAGGAACCACAGATGAGCGGGAAAGGCAGCCACGGAATGAGTCGGTACCAGAAATTCCCCAAGCTCTGTGGTCCTCTATATATGAGGGTGTTCTCGGCCAATTAATGAGTCTGCATGTGGGAGAAAACCCACGTGAGGGGAAAAAAGCACTATTCCAAACAGCGAGATGTTAACTATTTCACTTGGTATGCATGGGGTCGTGGGTTCGATCCCAACCCTGATGCCTTTAAATTTGGAGTGTATACATGTTCTCCCCCGCAGTCACTTGCATTGTTCTCCGGGTCCTCTGGTTCTTCCCTCCACATTTAGAAAAATGCGTTTAGAGTATTTGGCTGCGATAAATGGTCACACGATAAGCCACTTCGTTGAGCTATAATTTGTGGCCAGGTCGCTTCTGAAAAAGAGCCATATAGCTCAATGGGCTTTACCTGGTAAAATAAATAAACTCCTTAAAAAAAGTTTTTTAAACAACGGTTTTATTTTAAAGTGCACTAAAAAGTAAATAACTCGATTGGACAGGGGAAGTGGTCGACATCTTTGGTGACAAGAGACACGTGGCGTCTGCTTCTTGGGCGAGGCGATTCCAGAGTTTAGGGGCCGCGGCGTTTTTGACCTGCCCACATAAATATTTAATTAATAAGCCGCCCATAAAAAAATGATCTGAGTACGTGTGCAAAATTTGGAATTCGTTGGACAACAGGAAGTAGCCTAAATTTTGATTATAAGATTTGACCACGACAAACATAGGAGTCAAGTTAAATAAACCGTTGAAAAAGACCTTTAAATAGTTTTTACACGCTTTTATTTAACTCACTCTGTTGTTGTCGTATCCTCAAATCTTGTAACTCTATTTTAACCCACTTCCCAATGTGGTATCGACTGCAAACTTGGTATACTTATATCATTAAGAATTAAAAAAAACATATTTTTAAACCATCTTTTTTATATGTTATATTTCGGCTTGGGTCTAATTGTTCACGCTCAAATGACGTTGGCTGTAAATCACCACAGTCCCTTACGTTATGGCAAGCCTCAGGGCCACTTCCTGGAGTCGTGGAGTTCTGCCATTACTCTTACGGTACATTTCGTTAAAGCGTGTTTTTTAAAAGTATTTTTAAATATTCACGTGAGTCCCCATTTTTGCTGTACTGCCATCTCCTGGCGAGCCAGGGCATGACACATTGACGCGCCACTGCTGAATTACAGGCGTGCTTCCAACGTTGGGCCAGCTGTCATTGAGCTGTCTGGGTGATTAAAAATGGCCTTGTCAAAACGTGATGAAACAGCCACTTGTGCGAATCTTATTGTGTTGATCATAGCCGAGAAAGTTAGCCCATAGTAAACTTGAACAGTTAATTAGTTGCCGCTTCAGTTGGTATATTCCTATAAATAAATTGTTGATCCATGCTTGATTCATCTCAACGTTCCAGTGGTGCTCTTGTTATTACACGATGAGACGGAAATTTCCGCTTAACTCTCGCAGCGAGCGGTGCCGTCGCCTTGTCAGAGCCTGAGAAGACTTGATCACATCACTTCTTCAGCAGCCCCTCTTGTGCCCACACCTGCTGCGCACGTCCGTATCCACCCCCTAACCCTTCCACCTCTACCGTCCTCTCAAACCCCTTGTGCAGAAATGGGAGCAAATAGAAAACAACAGCAAGCTGAGGCACGTGGGCACAAACCTGTGCCTTGACAGCAAGAACGCCAAGGCGGGTGGCCTCACCGTGGAGGTGTGCAGCCCCTCCATCACGCAGCAGTGGAAGTTTACGCTCAACCTCAACCAGTAACCAGTGGCTTTGAATTGTAAGGGGCTCGGGGAAGCGGCCGCTTCCATCAAAATTTTCCGCCATTTGCCAAAATCGCCATATTCCTCCCCCCAACGGTCGTGGCGCAGCTCACTCGACCGTGTGCGATTCCGTCCCGTGTGGCCCGTGGTTCAATATCGCCTTTGTTTAACGTTTATTGTAATTGTTTTTGCACAAATTGTAAATAATCTCGGTTTCGTGCAAGCTGAATGAGGGAGAATCTGCTCGGAAACTAACCCCCGTGTGACTGCGACATTACGAGCTGCGGCCGGATCTCGGCTGCACCTGGAGGTGTTTCACTTTAAACCACTCGTTTTACTCCATTGTACAGTTGCTTCTTGCGTACCGCCCAATTTGTGTGCCACGTCTCGGGGCCACGGTGCCCTCTCCCGTACGCGGTGTTCGTGCCGCGCCTGCGTGCACGGTAAATATCCCAGCGTGCCACGTGTCCCTGTGTGTAACTGTTTGTCACACCCAATTTACCCCGGCATGGCCTGGTGAGCTGAGCTTGGATTGAGCGGAATTTTTTTTCGTCACGTTGCTTGCAGCAGCACCCTTACTACAATTCAACCACTGCTGGCAACGCCTCACGTCCACCTCCCTCCACAGCCCTGTTTTTATACTGTACATACACACACGTGCACTCATATGTCCATGTGTACAAACACATAGCATCTCTTTGACTTATGGGCCAATAAATCAATGCAAAGCCCTGTATTATGTGCTTAACGTGCAACACATTGCAGTGGCCGAGTGTACATTACAAGAAGCAGCATAATCAAAGTCAACGTGAATTGTAAAATGACTCTATTTTGGTTAAATTTTATTTTTATTGAGGTAAGGAGCAGGACTGCAGTTCGCTCTTTGGGAAGCTGTTAGTCATATAACAAATGCGCATGCAGTCGCCCAGTGTACTATAAGAACACCTACAATACAGCACATCTCCATTCTCCGCTGCTTTGCATTCATGTATTGACCCATAAGACACTTTTAATTTGATCCTTTAGAAATCCACGAAAGCCGTATTTCTGCCAATGTTGAGCAATTTAGCTTGTGACAGTTCAGTAGTGGCACCTGCACCCGTTTCTCAAGCTGACCCCCCATACACGTGCAATTGTGATCTGCTTTGAACAAAGGTCACGTCCCTTTGACTCTGCTGCATGGCGCAAGGGCAGGCTGACCAGTCGCACGCATGCATTTGTGACCCCATGGGGTTAGCCTTAACCAATTGAACGCACCATTACACTTAGAAAGGATAGTGCGGCGTCCATGCGAGCGTTGCTTTTGATTTGTCGATTGAACGCCCATGTGATCACGAATGCTCCTTTCCACTTGATGGGGGGAGGGGGGCACTTGACCACTCATTTAAAAACACAAAATGTTTCGCTATATTTCATTCGGGATTTGCGAGACATTACAAACCGTGTCCGATTTTCCAAAGATTCAACATCAGAAATGCATTGCGAGGTTTGTTCAATCACGATCCATGCTTACAGTGATTGCAAGCCCCTGTGTTTGTTAGAAAATTCATACCAACCGAGTCAAAAAGCCAATTCTGTTTCTGTTGAGCGGTTCAAAACACGTCTCACTTAAATCGACCCGCTGAAAACCATGTGCTAATTCTGCCGAAAACTCGCCGCGCTTTCCGCTTACTTCTAAAGATCTTTCAAAGTGTCTATGCTATAGAGGGTGGCTTGCCAAATTAAGGAAACTTACATCTTCGCCGAAATCTTACACTAAGTTCCTGTCTTAAGGGGGTTTTTAAGCATTGTGCTTTTTGCTCTGACTGTACGTGTGTGTCATTTTTTGCGTGTTATTTTTTTTCAATGTACTCTTTATTTTTTCATGAAGTGGCTTACGAGAACAAAACTCTTTAGACTAGCTTTAAACTCTAATCCGGCAGCAAAATGTTTTTTTTGGGTGCAAGTTTGAATGGGATTGTAAATTGATTTTGGAATGCCACGCCCTGACGTTTGTGGGTTACCTGTTGAGAATATACCACTCTTCTACCACTCACTCGACTTTTTTTTGTCATTACGCAATGCATTTTTAATTCCCGGTGAGAATCCACGGAATGTCATTACAAAGGATGTGTTTAATTTTCTTTGTGCCGTCCGTTTCAATTTTTTTTCACACAAATTCCGAGCACAGGTCCAATTGCCCAAAATATCACGTGGCCGGCAACAAGCAGCACGATGTGAAGTTGCTTACACTTTCTGTGCAGTATTCCTGGATTGTGAGATGTTTATTGGTCATTGTCGCCACCTGCAGGAGAGTCTTGTGCCACTACGCGTATCAAACCCACTGCTGGCACAGGCACGGTCTTCAGAGAGTTTTGAGCAGGCAAAGGTGCCCACTCTAGCCAACCTTTACTATGGAATGACTCTCTCCCAACAATGTTACTTGTCTGCACACCATTCAGTGTGGACAAAGCTATCGAGCCAACTACAGTATGTTCACATGCACATTGATTTTGATTAATGCGTTTCAAGTTAGCTTAATCCAGAACTTGAGTTTAATCCATTAAATGTCACGATCAGAATGTTGATTGAAATTAATTGAATTAGAATAGTTAATTTCTAGTTTTTTTGGTTCTGAGTTGCATAGTTATGACAATGTAGCTATGGTGGTCTATGAGGGTGTTTTCCACTCAACTCTCCCCCGACCTAAGTATTTCCAGTGGGGGGGGGGGGGGGTCTCTCACAACATGGAGAGTCCTGCTTCCCGTGAAAAATGACCACGCCTGGCCCATTGCGAGTGGCGCCACCTTCGCAGTTCGTACCACACGCACCACCCGAGGCCATCGCAACGCACACTCTCAGCCCAACAAGCGGCAATGCTTTCCTGTAGGAGGCAGGAGGAGATGGCTCTCGCTGCTTTCGAGTTTTGTCGCTTGTCTCGGCCGACACGATCCATTCAACTTTGCGCTTCGGCCTCATGGCCACGTGACCACAGAACCGCCTCCACTTCAAGCACCATTTCGAGTTCTGAGACCCTAAACAGCAGGATGCTAATAAAGCACAGGCTGTATTTTGAAGGGACAAGCCTTCAAGATTTCTTTACTATCTCTACGAGACCCTCTGCAAAAGCAAATGAAAGAAGAATTAAGCAAACCCAATGAAGCCTTCCACTCTTCACGAAATGTAATCCAAGGATTTCATCTCCATGTTATTTTGACGTGGCTATGGTGTGTCCCAGGTCCTAGGAAGAGAGCTCCCAGGCCGTCCTGGGTTGGTCGATTGGATCAACACACACAGTTCAATAGCACCCATACTTTTGTCACGTTGGCTATACGACCCTGGCTGCACCAGACTCCCCAAATAAATCCTTTGTGGAGTTATGTTGTCCATATCTATCGAGACACCATCGAATCCTCGTGGGCACTGCCAAGATGGGAGATTCCCCCTCATCTTTGATTTCTTTATTTGAGGGGGGGGGGGATTGAACGTGGGACAAATCATTTGATGGTTCGATTAACAAAGATAGCAAGCACATAATTAAACTAAGCCTGTAAAGTTCAGTGTCTCCTAGCACAACTTGCTCTGTATTCTTCCCTTCGCTAGCGATGGAAATTCCACATTCCCATGGTGATGTTGCAGGCTTTTCATAGAATGACCACTGTGCAATTTACGCAAAATTGTGCTCGTTATACTTGCAACACGATCGTGAAAACACATCTGGATTTGAAAAATTACACCCAGAGTAATAAGCAAACATGATTACAATCTCATTTTCCATTGTTTATCATCCCATATGCACATGCTGCCATAATAGCCTCCCCTCCATTGATTATGAGAATGTCAAACAATGTTGGAGGTATGTTTTTGTTCATAATGAATGTCATCTCTATGTGAATGGGATTGTAAGAATGGACTACGACAATGCTAGTTGCCAGCAGCTGGCCGAGGCTGTATGTGGTAATGTATTGTAACAGCGGTTTGCATCAGAGCGCAAGCGTAAATGTAATAATGTGAACATCTTTAAAGAGTTTTATTTGCGATTTGAACAACAGACGAAGAATTGGATGTTCTTGGGCATAAAACATTATTGTTCGCATATTGAATGCAAACAACACTGGAAGCGAACGCGGTGCATGGATACGTCATGGATATGCTACAGTTAAATGTTTACAAGTGCTGTCCAAACAGAGGTGTTGGCCTGAGATGGTGCCAGTGGATAACACACGGTTTAAACATCTGACAAATGTTAAGATTTCTTGGTGGTATAGTGCTGCCTGGTTAGGGTTAATACAAATGTGTAATTTTAACCCCCGATTATAATTATTGCCAATATTCTGTCCGTGCTGTTTAAGTTTGTTTTCGATTGAAATGAAGGAATTTTGATTTTTTTATATATATATGCTTTTATTTCTGCCTTTTATAGTAATGTTTTGGTGTTTCTAAAAGTCCATCTGCCTTCCGGAAAACGTGGGAGTTTATAGACACGTATAAACAAACCATTATAAGTTATATATTTTTAAAGTTATTAAATACAGAATAAACTTACGAAGTTTTTTTTGGCATACTGTGGAAGGTCGTGAGATTACCTTTGCAGTTGCGGCCAACCCAAGATTCGCAAGCACACCCGTCCGTACTCGCCGCATGGAGAGGAGTTTTACTCCTTGCACAATGCACACTAAAATTATGCATGTCAGTACAGTAGTGGGACTCTTCTTGCTCAAACGAACCACGCTCCTAAATTAGGCCATCAACTTCGGCATGAAAGTGATGAAGGTCAGCGCCGTGGTGTTTGTGTATTTCGTTTCAAAATGTTTTCGTGTATTTTAAAATGGTTTATATTTAATACATCGCAACCTTTAGGATCTGAAACACCGCTGTAGGTGCAACATGCATTTTTTTATTGTCAAGGTTTGCAACCACTGCACTTCTGTGACTCGCCTGGGCCATAAGGCCATGTACCCACTTGGCCTCCACGTGGTTGGTAAACACATTTTTCACAGGTTTAGGCCCATGCAAGCAAGTGTGTACAGGGACGTGATTGTTCAGTGATTAGGAGGTCGTTGAAAAGTTATTTGTTCCACACTAGAGACACGGCCAATATGTCATGCAGATGCCCACGGCGGTGTGTGTCTCAAAGCTAGACCAAATGCTTTAATTGAGCTTGATTATGAATTTCGTAGCACGGTTCATCAACATTGTGGTCAGTCTGATCGAGCTGCGGCCATGGGAACGCGAGGGTGGGAAGATGGTCACCATTGAGAGAGATGTTCGTGGAATGGGCGCACAGTGCATCTCGCTATGAGTGACCGCAAAACGATTTGGTGATATATTTACGGCTACCCCACTACAATAATAGGGATCATTGACACAGAAAACAACGTCTTTTAACTCCTCTGATACACTTGGTCCAACATAGCCGGTGTGATTTCCTTACAACTTTCAATGACATGTAAGCTGAGGTCATTGATATCTCGCGGATTTGTTGTGACCCCCCCCCCCCCACAAGAAGAAACAAACTAATAAACCAGCGGAGTGATGTCACTCAAACGCGGGAGCCCACGTAATTATTCCACCTCAACCAAACAATACGCGGATATTTCAAGTCCGGAGTCTCGTAAGAAACCAGTAACGGAATTTATAAACGTGATCACGTGTATCAAAAAGTGGCACCCTTGTACGGGATCCACGTATGGATTGCGGGCATGGATGTACCTTTTTACCTTGTAAAGGGTGCTTCTGGATCCTACTAACACGGCTGTAACCTGCATTACGAGCATAAAAACGAGACAAACCCGTCGGGGTCGATTCACACGTGAATAGAACGATCTTCCCGGCAATGTGTGTTTGGGTGTCTGTCTGTTTTGTTTTACATTGTTGACTTATGTGGTTGTTAACGATGGTGTTGTTCGCTTTATGCCTCATTTGGGGGGTGGTGGTAGGCACCCGGACTTGGAAAAGTTTTAAATAAAGCAAAAAAAAAACCCCTGGGCAGATCCCATCTGGCAAGTTTCACTGGAGACGACTTGCTCCTATAATAATAATGGGAGAGAACTTTTATAGACAGAACATTACATAATACAGAACACAATAATGTTGCTGCGTCCGTTTTTTGTATGTACATATGAACACAACGCGTGGGTGTATGAGATGACTGGAAAAGGTAATTTAAACATTTTTCAGCCAAAAAGTTTTAATTCGGGCTCGGGATACCGACCAATTGAGTTAAGAATGAGTTGAGGTTTATTGAAACATCTAACACAATGTGTTCCAGTGTCAATTTTCATCTTAATTGGCACTGCCAGGCTGTGTATAACATCTTTCGTGACACGTGGTAGTTTGTAATCCAAAGCATTATAACATGGACAGCACATCGCGAGGTGTGTCATGCAACTGGATCGATTGTGTTGCTAACATTTAAAATATTTCTGATATGTGCTCTTAGTTTGCAAAGGGTATGAAATTTCAATGTTGGATTTTTCATTGAAAAAATAGAGTATTTTCCATTATTAATACATTGGGTTGTCGCCTATATGTATATACATTTTTGTTTTACAATACAAATGTATAATAAAATAATCTTCTGTTCCTTTTGCTTCTTGTAACTTTCTGACGTGCCCCGACTGAACATCTGTGAAAGAGGTTTGTAGCTCATCAGATTCCTCCGGTATAAATAATGATTCTAATTCTCGGTCTTTGTAAAGAGTACTTAGTATACATTCCTTCATGAATGCACATGTATAGAATATACTTCAGTACTGTATTTTAAATGTAATGTTTAGTATTCCGTGGGGACATTTTGTCCACGTTTTTCTTCCAATTATAAACAAAATTTTCGTCCGGCTGCTTGTGTTGCACTTACCCCTTAGGATGCCTTTCCATCTTTCTGGTTATTTCTCTTCAGTTGCTAACTCATGAAAGGGCCAGGCTGCATTTGTTCTTGAGTAGGTGATGGCAGTGCTGGACGCGACACACGAGGCCCTCACCACTCGACTTCAATCCGGCACCTCAAGCATCTTCGCCGCACGAAACCTGGGCCTAGAGCAGGGGTACCCAAACGAAGTAACAAGAAGATATTTTTTTCGAATTCGGTAAAAAAAACTGGACTCCCATGGTAATCTGGACTCCCGCCTTAAGACATTTTTGTCATTGAAAGGCATATTCTTCCTGATTAAACTGGCTCTGTGTTTTGGGAGTGTTGAAGGGGTATTTGTTCCTAAAACCTGATATAATCCTGCGTGCTTATATCAGGTTTTAGAATTGCATTAGTTCTTTACTTGCTTGCTTTTAGCTCCGTGGAGCGCCTTGTGACCTCTGGGTGAAACGTGCTTCGTAAGTATAAATTATTATTCATTTTATTATTATGGTAAACTGGCCTTCCATGGTAAACTGAACTCTCATGGTAAACTGGGCTCCAATGCTCAACTGGACTTCCATGCTAAACTGGACTCCCCTAGTAAACTGGACTCCCATGGAAAACTAGACTCCAATGCTCATCTAGACTTCCATGGTAAACTGGACTCCCCTACTCAACTGGACTCCCCTACTCAACTGGACTTCCATGGTAAACTGGACTCCCATGTCCAGCTGCACTTTCATGGCAAACTGGACTCCTATTGTAAATTGGATTTCCATGGTAAACTGGACTCCCGCCTTAAGACATATTTTTATTCACAAGCCTTTTATTCTGATTAAATGGGTTATGTGTTTTTGGAGTGTTTATACCTTTAGTTAAGTCATGAACCTGCACGCTTATATTAGGTTTTAGAATTGCACGAGTTATTTACTTGCTTGCTTTTAGCTCTGAGCAGCGCCTTGCGATCTCTGGGTGAAACGTGCTTCCAAAGTGTAAATTATTATTAATTTGTACTATGGTAAACTGGACTTCCATGCATAATAGAGGCCTTTTGGGTTAGATCGCGTAAATATATAAACGTGTCATTAAAACCCGCCACCACCCGGTAAAGGCACGTAGGTAGAAATAAAATAAAAACAAATCACGACATTTCGATCGCAACACAAGCAATCCTCATCAGGTGGAGAGAACAACTGCCGTGGCAAGAGGTTATATAGGTAAGAAAGGGGGGCGGAGCAGGGGGGGACAGAGAGAGAGGGGAGGTAGTGGGGGGGTAGTGGGGGGGCTAGGGGAAGAGGATGTGAGGCTGGGGGGGGGGAGGAATGGGCGGGGCTAGAAGTGGGAAGCTGGGTGAGGACACGGGGGGTGGGGGGGGAACAGAAAAAAGGTGCTAGTCGACCGGCGGGTACGATGGAAACAACCACCACCAGCTAAGGCATTACCTGGTTAATAACATCTTTCCAATGATTGTTCAATTTGTATCCATCTTCTCGGTTGAAGTTATGTCTGTTTATTTACTTGCTTGCTTTTAGCTCTGTGCAACACCTTGCGACCTCCGGGTGAAACGCGCTTCATAAGTGGACATGATTCATTTTTATTATTATGGTAAACCGGACTCCAATGCTAAACTGCATTTCCATAGGAAACTGGACTCCCATGGTCAACTGGCCTTCTAGGATAAACTGAACTTCCAGGATAAACTGGACTTCCATGGTAAACTGAACTCCCATGCTCAACTGGACTTCCATGGTCAACTGGCCTTCTAGGATAAACTGGACTTCCATGGTAAATTGGACTTCCATGGTAAACTGGACTCCCATGGTAAACTGAACTTCTATGGTAAACTGGACTTCTAGGATAAACTGGACTTCCATGGTAAATTGGACTCCCATGGTAATCTGGACTTCTATGGTAAACTGAACTCCCATGGTAAACTGGACTCCCATGTTCAACTGGACGACTTCCATGGACAGGGGTCGGCACCCAAAATAACAAGAGGAGACATTTATTTCAAATTCGGTAAGAAAAAACACCCTCAATATTTCACGAGCCCGCAATGTAGCCATTAAAGAGCTGCATGCTGCTACGGAGCTACAGGTTGCCGACCCCTGGACTCGAGGGAAATAATTTGGACCTGGTATCACCTCGAGTTTGTAATGTTACTGTGCTCAGGTGCTTGTCACTGCCACTTGTATCGCTTTGAGATGCTGTTGCATGTGTAGTGAGTCCAACCGAGTCGCAGACGTTATCTTGGGAGCAAGACGTTTTATTGAACTATTAGCACAACATCCTCCAAGCTATTGACACAACATACTCTCGGGTGGTGACCACCCAACTCCCCACGCTACGGCGGAACTAGACACGGTTCCAATATCCTGGTCCGGACCACAAGCTGGGTCCCGGACCGCGTGGCTGGAGGCTTCCTCAAGCTTGACGTGGATCTCCTGCCTCTCCAACAGTAAGAACCCCGAGCCCCTCTCAGAGCCCCCTTATATCGGGCCGGGCTGGCGCTGGCTCCGCCTCTCGCCCCGCCCACCTCGATCTCTCTTGCCCTTGCCCGAAGGCTCCCGAGAGTTCTTCTCGGACCACGTGACCATCCATTGTCCCCCTCCACCGGTGGCCCCCTCCAGCATCATCCGGTCACATGTCCCCAGGTCAGCCAGAGTATCTAGCCCCCAACGTAACCCCAGCTGGCTAACAGTCTCTTGCTCTCTCAACGGGAGCCCGCACCGCACGCTGTGCGTGGTGCCACCGCACTTAACCAGCGCTCCCCCAAGCCCCCTCTAGGGCTGGTACTCCACCCCGTGTCCGGGGTGGACACAACAGGAGACATCCCGCCGTGGCCTCACAGGCCCGGCACCCCACACAGTGACATTCACAGTCACTACACATATACGCGCGAAGTAAAACTGATCTTAATTATTAAGTAAATGCTAATATAATTCTTGGATTGAGGTATCACAATGAATGGCCTGACAATGGTACCGTATTGCAAAGTCTTGTTCAACTCTCAGTAAAACAGTTCCATACGGCGGAGGGTAATGCGGAATGGCCAGTTTAAGTGCTAAGGTTTAATTTTGGAAAGTTGTATCTATAATTATAGATTTGAAGCTTTCGTGACTGCAAGGATTCATATTCTTAGGTTTTTTCGGTAAAGTCACGTAGATAAAAAAAAAATTAATAAAAATAAAATAAAAATCACGACGTTTCGGAGGCAACACAAGCTTCCGTCTTCAGGTGGAACCGTCACAGCACGATAGCTGTATCAAGTAAGAGGACTTACTTTTTTATTTTATTTTACTTTTATTAATTTAATTTTTTTATCTACGTGACTTTACCGAAAAAACCTAAGAATTTGTGTCTAAACCCCATTTTCTTGGCCCGTATTAAACGTCACTTTTAATGTTCAACGTGTTTTTAAATAAACGTCTTTAAACATAACAGTATTGTAAGGGAACAATTGCCTATCGTCGTCGCTTGGCAGTTGCTGTATTTCATCATAAAATTTCGTGGCGTTCCAATTGTGCTATTGTCTCTCGTTACCAGGGAAATACGAGCGTGCATTGTATGGCATTTAATTTTCTTGACACTTTCAATGCAGCATAGCGTGCAGTATTATTATTGGACTGGAAACCTTTCAGAGGAGGCATTTTTTGTTTTTACCAAAATAGTTCTGAGACCCGCATCGCACGCAAAGCTCATTGTTGACAAATACAGAAGATGACACATTTTGGCTGAAATAAACTAAATAGGTGATGGAATAACTTGCTTCTAAGTACTCCCCCCTAAGTTATCCTTCAATAACACAGTTTGTCCATTTTGTCACCAGGACAACCAAAGTGACCTATTCCCTGCCGTATTTAATCAATTATCTTTACGTTTTAAGATATTTTTTTTACAGCTGCCCGCAAGGGAGGCAGCCAAAGAGTCACGTGGGGGCAGCCAAAGAGTCACGTGGGGAGCAGCCAAAGAGTCACGTGGGGGCAGCCAAAGAATCACGTGTGGGCAGCCAAAGAGTCACGTGGGGGGCAGCCAGAGTCACGAGGAGGGGCAGCCAAAGAGTCACGTGGGGGCAGCCAAAGAATCACGTGGGGGGCAGTTAAAGAGTCACGTGAGGGCAGCCAAAGAGTCACGTTGGGGGCAGCCGAAGAGTCACGAGGGGGGCAGCCAAAGAGTCACGTGGGGGGCAGCCAAAGAGTCACGTGGGGGGCAGCCAAAGAGTCACGTGGGGGGCAGCCAAAGAGTCACGAGGGGAGCAGCCAAAGAGTCACGTGGGGGGCAGCCAAAGAGTCACGAGGGGAGCAGCCAAAGAGTCACGTGGGGGGCAGCCAAAGAGTCACGAGGGGAGCAGCCAAAGAGTCACGTGGGGGGCAGCCAAAGAGTCACGTGGGGGGCAGTCAAAGAGTCACGAGGGGGGCAGCCAAAGAGTCACGTGGGGGGCAGCCAAAGAGTCACGTGGGGGGCAGCCAAAGAGTCACGAGGGGAGCAGCCAAAGAGTCACGTGGGGGGCAGTCAAAGAGTCACGTGGGGGGCAAAGAGTCACGTGGGGGGCAGCCAAAGAGTCACGTGGGGGGCAGCCAAAGAGTCACGAGGGGGGCAGTCAAAGAGTCACGTGGGGGGCAGTCAAAGAGTCACGTGGGGGGCAGTCAAAGAGTCACGTGGGGGGCAGCCAAAGAGTCACGAGGGGGGCAGCCAAAGAGTCACGAGGGGGGCAGTCAAAGAGTCACGTGGGGGGCAGTCAAAGAGTCACGTGGGGGGCAGTCAAAGAGTCACGTGGGGGGGGGGCAGCCAAAGAGTCACGAGGGGGGCAGCCAAAGAGTCACGTGGGGGGCAGCCAAAGAGTCACGTGGGGGGCAGTCAAAGAGTCACGTGGGGGGCAGCCAAAGAGTCACGAGGGGGGCAGCCAAAGAGTCACGAGGGGGGCAGCCAAAGAGTCACGAGGGGGGCAGCCAAAGAGTCACGTGGGGGGGGGGCAGCCAAAGAGTCACGTGGGGGGCAGCCAAAGAGTCACGTAGGGGGCAGTCAAAGAGTCACGAGGGGGGCAGCCAAAGAGTCACGTGGGGGGCAGCCAAAGAGTCACGAGGGGGGCAGCCAAAGAGTCACGTGGGGGCAGCCAAAGAGTCACGTGGGGAGCAGTCAAAGAGTCACGTGGGGGGCAGCCAAAGAGTCACGTGGGGGAGCAGCCAAAGAGTCACATGGGGGGCAGTCAAAGAGTCACGTGGGGGCAGCCAAAGAGTCACGTGGGGGGCAGTCAAAGAGTCACGTGGGGGCAGCCAAAGAGTCACGTGGGGGGCAGCCAAAGAGTCACGTGGGGGGCAGCCAAAGAGTCACGTGGGGGAGCAGCCAAAGAGTCACGTGGGGGGCAGCCAAAGAGTCACGTGGGGGGCAGTCAAAGAGTCACGTATGGGCAGCCAAAGAGTCACGTGGGGGGGCAGTCAAAGAGTCACGTGGGGGGCAGCCAAAGAGTCACGTGGGGGGCAGCCAAAGAGTCACGTGGGGGGCAGTCAAAGAGTCACGTGGGGGGCAGCCAAAGAGTCACGTGGGGGAGCAGCCAAAGAGTCACGTGGGGGGCAGCCAAAGAGTCACGTGGGGGGCAGTCAAAGAGTCACGTGGGGGCAGCCAAAGAGTAACGTGGGGGAGCAGCCAAAGAGTCACGTGGGGGGCAGCCAAAGAGTCACGTGGGGGGCAGCCAAAGAGTCACGTGGGGGGCAGTCAAAGAGTCACGTGGGGGCAGCCAAAGAGTAACGTGGGGGAGCAGCCAAAGAGTCACGTGGGGGGCAGCCAAAGAGTCACGAGGGGGGCAGCCAAAGAGTCACGTGAGCGGTGGGGAGCAGTCAGAGCCGCAAGGGGGCAGCGCTTTCGCTGCCCCATTCCTCCAAGGGCTGTGATTGGTCAGCAGCGCGCCATTGTCAACGTCTTCCGGAAGAGCGCAGCCGATGTTCGCGTGGCGTCTTCCAACCACGGCAGGGCTCTCTCTCTCTCTGCTCGTCGAGCGGCAACGCGGTGCACCGCTAACTTCTCATTCCGGAAGATCCTTTAATGAGAAGAAGAGCCCAGAATAAAACAGCACCAACGCGTGTCGGTGGCGGCTTTAACGCTGTAACCCCCGACCCCCCATATCTTCCGGAAGATGAAAGCCCACGTTACCGAAAGAAGCACTGCAAGAAGATCAAAATATATTTTGTAATATTAAAAAATATCTTCTTGGTTCTTTCGGTAAAGTCACGTAGAAGGGAAGTAATAAAATAATAAAAATAAAACATAATATATTATTATATTATTATATTTTATTATGTTTTATTTTTATTATTTTATTACTTCCCTTCTACGTGACTTTACCGAAAGAACCAAGAAGATGAATCCCTGCAGTCACGAAAGCTTTAAATCGAAAATTAAAAAATATCTTGTGGAAGATTTAAAAAATAACTTATTCTGGAGGATTAAAATATCTTTTGGAATATAAAAAAATCTGGAATATTAAAATAAAAATTCTGGAAGATACAAAATGTACTTCTAGAAGATAAAAAATTATGTTCTGGAAGAAAAACTTCAGGAAGATAAAATGTTCTGGAACGTAAAAAAACAAATGTGAAAGACAAAACCCTAATTCTGGAAGATAAAATAAAATCAAACTTCTTCCAGAAGACGAAATCCTCTTCCGGAAGAGCGCGCGCCGATTCATCGCCAGTGGGCGGAGCTCGCGAGCGCGAGACAAAACGAGAAGCGGGCGTCCTATTGGTCAATTTCTCCCGTGTTCGTGACGCGCGCGCGCCGTCGACCAATGGCGCGGCGCCTTGCGGGCGCGGGCGACCAATGGGCGAGCGAGCCGAGCGCGGGGCTCGCGCCGTCCGCTCGGCGGCCATTTTGTCTCCGTGCGTCAATTCGGGCGCGCAAATGGTCGCCGACTTTTAGCGACTAAATCATCCGCGGCAGAGAAACCCCCGAGCGAAACGCAGCAGAGCCACTTTACCTCACCCCGACTTCAATCGTGGTTACGCGTCGAACGTGCTTAAAAGTTGCAACGACTCTAAAAAAAAAAAATCATTTAAACGAAAAAAAAATCCCCGTAAATTTCTCGGCGGCGGCGGCGGCACCACCAACAACAACCACTACCACCACCACCACCATGAGCTCCATCAACGTGAAGAAGCTGAAGGTGAACGAGCTGAAGGAGGAGCTGCAGCGCCGCGGCCTCGAGACCAGAGGCCTCAAGGCCGACCTCCAGGAGCGGCTGCAGACGGCGCTCGACTCGGAGCCTCCCGCCGCCGACTTCGCCTCCGATGACCTCGAAGACGGCGGCGGCAGCAATGGAGGAGGTGGTGGAGGAGGTGGTGGGGCACATGGCGAGGAGGAAGGTGCTGGAGGAGGAGGGGGAGACGACGACGTGGACGACTCGATCCTGCTGGAGGGAGACGACGAGGCCGGTGGCGTGGCGGGGGAGGAGGATGGGGACGAGGGAATTCCCGTGGACGATGGCGCGCTGCTCGTGGCCACCACCAGCGACGAGGAGACGTCCAACCACGCGGCGAAAGACGAATCGGACGAGGAGGAGGAGGAGGATGATAAGGTAGACGACGACAACGACGAGGGGCCGATGGAGCAGCAGGAGCCATCGCGACAGGAGGAGGAGGAGGGACACGCGGAGAAGAAGCATCAGCAGGAGGAGGAGGAGGAGAATGGATCGGGAGGTGGAGGAAAATGCACGGCCCCCGAGACAGGTCTGGCGTTGTCGATTGTTTACACCGAGAGGATCGATTATAATTGTAGTTATAGCAGCTATTGTTCTGATTTAAACTACACTCTTGTGTTGTGATTGCAGCAAATTGCGTGCCGTGCGATGATGATGAAATGCAGCTACGATAGGTGGTGGTTGATGGAGGAGGTCGCGGGTGGTTTTGTTGATGGGTGTAATTTAGGTTTAGTAGTAATTGGCTTTGCTAATTATACTAAATTGTGTGTATGGATATGTTTGTGTTGGTGACAGTGGTGGTGGTGTAGATGCTAGTAATGGTGAGCAATAGTGTAACTGTTATCGTGCGATTTGCCATGAACGCAACTGGTTTTGGGCCGCCCCTAGGACGACTCGGCATAAAATGGGTACAGTGTAAACATCGCCACGAGGGAGACAAAGGCGGCCGGGCGTGGCGCTGACTCCTCGTTACGTGTCGGCCTTCATAGTTGCTCGTTAACAACATCACTCCTATCGTCACAGACTACACGGGGCGATCTTTGTGGATCTAGTAGCTTGGTTATAGGTCATGGAAGTGGCAAGCGTATTGATGAGGATCGTGTGAAGGTGAACTTGGTGGTGGTGAGTGTGGTGATATGGGGTGCTGTGTTGGTGTGGAGCCTTCTGTGGTGATCTGGTGTGGTGATGAAGGAGCTCGGATTATTGGCGCAGTTGTCGATGGATTTTAGGCGTTGAAGAGGAAGCCACGTGGGTTTCTCGATTGGATCGATGATGCTCACGGTAACAGTGGTCCAAGCGTTATTATGTAGGGGGCATATTTATTTTAATGTGGTTCAACGTGCTTCTGATGAGCTTAACATTTATTATAGGAACATACAATTGCAAGGCTCAATGGATTGTTTAAAATGTATAATACTAAGCACGTGTCTTGTGGGCCGGTTATGTAAAGCGCCGCAAGGCACGATCCTTTGTTTATATACTCGGCAGACTTAACGTGTTCTGTCAGGTTTAAGTAGTCAGCAAATGGTCTCGGGTTCGTTATCTTGATTAGTTGCTGTCCCCCCCCCCCCCCCCCTTAGCGAGTCTTGTTAATAATATACCATACGATCTTAACTCGGATAAACTGCAGTGAAGGAAAGTGGACGAGAAGTCGTTGCTGGCTTACAATCACAAACTTAAATCAACTACTTGACAGAATAAACCAACGCAATCTCCCGCTATTACAGCACAAAGACCGGCGGGGCAGAATGTTGGGTGGGGGAAGGGGCATCGCTTTGTTGGTGAATGCCGCGTGATGGAGGGGCAGGAGGAGGAGGTTGGTGAAGGCTTTTGTCAGAAGCAGCAGCAAGCACACCATCAGCAACGCACCCCGGGATCTTGCTCATCATGGCTCCACGCACGTGGTCCCGCCATTGTTCATTGCAAACACAGCCAACAAAAAACACGTGGCCCATTGGCTTGTCTTGCTCAACGCGCGGGGTTTACGTTAAAGTTATTATGTATTGTTCCGCTTGTTAAGAGCTGTCTATAATATTGGGGTCCCTTAATGGAGGCAAAATTGTTACGCAATTTAAAGACATCTTAATGAGGGCGTTTGCTTTACGGCAGAATTTGGCCTCGCCCAGAATAATTCGTTGCTCCGTTGCACTTTTTGAATGCTTTTGAATTGCGAATTGTGTCTCTTTGTAATTGTATCGCTGTTGTGTATTGATTGAGATGGGGGGGGGGAGTTGTAATACAGTGCTAGGGTGCTGCGTGTGTGATGTACAGTGTGAGATGTTGACTGAGCGAATGTATATGGGTCCTCCTGTGTCAACGTGGTTTGTTCTCGACTGTGTTTTTTTATGACCGGTATATTAATGTAGTGTAGCTCCTGTGTTCACGAGCACACGCATTGTGCTAAACTTCGTACACAATTCGTGGGCTTTGTTTACACATCTCACTTTTTTGGCTGCTTGAGTTATAGAAATGGAACGCAAGACTTGGCTACGAAACCTTCGGCACTGGTTTTTATAGGGGCCCGTCCATAAATGACGTCACGCACCTAGGGGGGGGGGGGGGTGAGACATTTGTGACGATGTGTGATGGGGGGAGGGTTGAGAAATGAGACGTCACATCAAAATGCGCAACTTTAAATAAATATAGACAACACGTTCTACTTAATTAAATGTACTTTTTTATATAAATGTTTTTTCTTACAACATCAGAGTGCAGCGCCACATTAAATACGCACTACAATAGTTTAAAGCGATTTGAAGCATGTTTTTTTTGGGGGGGGGGCAGAGCTTTGTGACGTCATTTGAGGGGGGTCTGACTTTTTGTGACGAGGGGTGGGTCAAAAATCGTCCAAAATCGCGTGATGTGATTTATGGACGGCCCCATAGGGAAATACGTTTTGTTTCCAATGTGTCATTCAATTCTAGATTTGAAGCTTCATTCAATTACCTATTCATAGAATATTACCACAGTGGTCCGAAAGTATGACTTTTAGAATTGTCTATTACACTCCGTAGTGTCTGACAAACTGCGAATATTATTATTTTTATTGTTGAAGTAGTCTGTACTGCTGGGGTTATCTTTATGCAGGGTGCCACGGTGGCGAGATAATAACTACCTCTCCAGGTAAACAGGTGGTCGTGGGTTCAATCTCAAGCCTGACACCTGCTGTATATGAAGTTTGAATGCTATCCCCGTGGTCGCGTGGATTTTTCTCCGGGTCCTCCCGCGTTTTCTTCCATTTAAAATCAACGTCATGTGTTTTAGAGTATTTGGCTTCTATACGTTTGTAAGTGTCTTGTAAAATCACTGTCGGACACGTTACAGGTCACCTGCTTACTCTTTATTACTCTATTCTTGCACCAGTTGTAGGCACTCCTCTGTCTATACGGTCACTTGTTGATTAACGTCCCTTATCTGCTTTACACCTCGCTACCCTGCCTGCGGCTGCTCTTCCTCACAGCAGCTCTCGCTCTCGGTAGCTCCGCACACAGCAGCGCTCGCACAGAGCTTGCACACAGCAGCGCTCATACAGAGGCTTGTACACAGCAGCGCTCACACAGAGACTTGTACACAGCAGCGCTCACACAGAGCTTGCACACAGCAGCGCTCATACAGAGGCTTGTACACAGCAGCCCTCACACAGAGGCTTGTACACAGCAGCGCTCATACAGAGGCTTGTACACAGCAGCGCTCACACAGAGGCTTGTACACAGCAGCGCTCACACAGAGGCTTGTACACAGCAGCGCTCATACAGAGGCTTGTACACAGCAGCCCTCACACAGAGGCTTGTACACAGCAGTGCTCATACAGAGGCTTGTACACAGCAGCGCTCAAACAGAGGCTTGCACACAGCAGCGCTCAAACAGAGGCTTGTACACAGCAGCGCTCAAACAGAGGCTTGCACACAGCAGCGCTCATACAGAGGCTTGCACACAGCAGCGCTCACACAGAGGCTTGCACACAGCAGCGCTCACACAGAGGCTTGCACACAGCAGCGCTCACACAGAGGCTTGCACACAGCTTCCCTCACTCTGCACCGCTGCCCTCGCCTACGTTCCCTCAGACCCACTCACTCGTCCGATCCGGGCGGGGGGATCAATCATCACCCGCCCGGCGACTCGTGAGGGTTGAGGTCCGTCCCTGGCTTGAGCGGCAGCGGCGAGATTTCTTTACCTTGGTCCCAGCAACCCGAACTCCCGCTCCGCTCTCACGCGCCTCCTCATATCCTCCCAATTATCCAGTTCCTGCCTTGTGTCTCTTTAGGGCCAGACAGGCGCTAGCGCCTGTCTAGGCGCTAGCGCCTGTCTAGCGCCTGTCTGGCATCAATCACCCCTTATCGTACGTCTCTCTGGCAACACCTCCGGTGTCAGCGTGCAACCCCGGCCGACCCCGTCTGCACCCGATTCTCCCCTTAATGAGGTGCAACGTAAGGTTGCACGCACCTGCCTGCCCTCAGTTGCCCTTGGCCAACAGTGCGCACCGCGTATTTTACCACACTACACAGTTACACATGATAAGCCATGTTCGTTGAGCTGTCATTTTTGGCCAGGTCACTTCTGAAAAAAGAGCTATGTAGCTCAGTGGGCCTTACCTGGTAAAAGTAAATAGTTTAGTTGGGTTAAGTGTGCAAAGTAAAAAAATAACAAATCTAATCACTGGTAACATGCTTCGTGCATTTTTTAAACGTTGCAGGCGAGCAGGAGGCTGTGAACGCGCCCGAAGTCGCCGTGAAGGTGGAGAAAGACACGGCAGCGGAGGGGGCGGGAGAAGGCGCAGTAGCAGCGGCGGCGAGCGCGGAGGCCGGCGCGAAAGTCGAAGCCGTGAAGAACGAGGCAGATGAAAGCAACGACGGCGCCCGCGGACGCAAGCGCGGGCACGAGGAGGCGTTGGCCAATGCTGCGACCTACGAGTACAAAGATGAAGCCTCTGACCGGTGGGTGTTCTTGCAGTGTGTGTGCGCCGCTTCGTTTGTTCATAATTAACTGTATGCTTTTAAGACCACTGCAAATTGAAGGTTGTCAGTTTTAAGCAGTCGATGGTTCATTCTTCCCAATCCGCCTTTGGGTTCATTAAAATCGGCACCACTTTCTGTAACTTTTGATTGTGGTTTGACCTTAACGTGACTGCTGTTTGTGGAATGTAGATTTTATGCCACTGGCTCATGCCAAACATTGGATGGCCATGTGCCATGATTATCGAAACAAAGCAGATCTGAAACTGTTTATGCTTGGTAACAAACAATATGATTGCTTACCATCTTATTGGCACTGTAAGTTTAGAGAACCGATGAGTTTCAACCAAATTCCTTGTAAATGTAGGGGATTTCCGCAGCAATCGATGTCTACAGTGCGGAAACTAATATGCAGAGACAGTTCAAACATTTTGAGAGTTGCATGTTTATGCTTTTAACAATACACTGATCAGACAGCCAAACCTGTTTTTATTTGTCTTATCAGAGTATTGTTTGCTGGTTGTTGAATTATCTCTACTGCTTGTCGATTGAACTTTGAACAAATATGTCCACGTAATTGTTAGCAACATGCATTGTAAAACAATTGTATTTGGGTGTGGCTCTTTGGAGCCATTGTGCCTGGCTTAGAGTCAATGAAAATGGTTAAGGGGTTGAGCCTTTGCCGTTTGTTATGGTGAAAAATGTTCTTTCAATTGCATGTGTCTGTTGCAAAACTAATGATGCAGCTCCGTTTTCTCTCAACCTCTGGTGTAAATTAAGGTATGTATTGAGTGAATTTGGTGTGTTCACGCAGAAAATCAATGCAGCCTCCATTAGAGGATGAAGATGAAGACATCGATGAGACCTTGGTTGTCTTGGACACCTGTAAGTACACCTTTGATCGTCGTTTAAATATCATTGTTGTAACATTCTGACCCTCCCCGACTGGACATCTGTGAAAAAGAGCTTTATAGCTTTCGATTTAAAGCTTTCGTGACTGCAGGGATTCATCTTCTTGGTTCTTTCGGTAAAGTCACGTAGAAGGGAAGTAATAAAATAATAAAAATAAAACATAATAAAACAATTCTCACAACGTTTCGGCCACAACGCAAGCAGCCGTCCTCAGGTGAAGGACCTGAGGACGGCTGCTTGCGTTGTGGCCGAAACGTCGTGAGAATTGTTTTATTATGTTTTATTTTTATTATTTTATTACTTCCCTTCTACGTGACTTTACCGAAAGCTTTATAGCTTATCGGATTCCTCCAGTATGAACAAATAGTCTGATTCTGATTTATTTAGCACCATTCTAATCTGCCTTTTTACATTTGTGATGATCACAATTAAGACATGCAATTGAACCAGTGTAATGGTAAGATTTCTTCTTTCAGATAACTCAGATCTGCACTTCAAGGTGACTCGCGACCGATACAGTGGTTTTCCACTGACCTTCGAGGGATTTGCCTACCTGTGGTCGGGTGCCCGGGCGACCTTTGGCGTGATCAAGGAGAAAGTTGGCTTTGAGATGAAGGTACAAGTCAAAATAAAGTTGTTTTTTAACCAGCTGAGAACTCAAGAGACCCAGAAGGGTTATGTAATTATTTGCGCCCATTCTGATCCACGTTACTTTTCATGTTTTTGAAGTACATGGTAACAGTCTTATTTTGTAGGTGCATTCTTAAATGCTCTAATCGTTCACAAGCAATTAGCTAATCGTTCTTAAATTATTAACACGATTGGCTACGTACAGTTTGAAAGAAGTTTAACATGCATACATGTGCAATGTAGGATTATTAATCCCCCAAGCATTTGCAATAACTGATATTAGCTGTTGTCGGGAATTGAATTTAGGTTGATGGCTTCAAAGTACACTTTACTAACCTCTGCCACCACTTTAACCTTCGTTAAATAAAGTATATAAAATAATCCAAATGGGCTTACATCTGGTCCAAATGAATGATTTGATGACGTTTGCTTCGCGGGGAAACCTATCAAGTAAAATGCATATACAGTATTAGAATGTCATTAAAATAACGGGTTTAAAAACCTATCTCTGTGTGCTAACAGCTAGTCACATACAGGACATTAAACAGTAATGCATCTCATTGGCCTTTCATAGTTAAATACATAACATGATGAAATATTTAATTGCATGTGGTCTCATAGTTCAATAAACGACATTAAATAATGACATATTTTGTGTAAATTACGGCTTGAAGAAAAATGTATCTTAGGCCCTCGCCTGTGAATAAAGTAGATGAAGAAATATTGATTCTCACTAGGCCATGACCTCATTCTTATTAAATAATGTGAATGCATCATCTCAGTGGCCTCACCTGGCTCATTTAAGAACGTAAATATCAACTGCCCTCTTAGAATAAAGGACATCACTGTACACTAGAGCAGGGGTGGCCAGCTGGCATCTCCCGAACTGCACGAGGCTCTTTAAATCTACCACATGCGGCTCTATCAAAGGGGCATAATGTAGAACATACTATCACAGTAGCAAAAAATAATGAATGTTTCCCGTGCTGTGCCGAAAACTGTCAATATATACAATTAAATACACGCTTGGCTCTTTGCAGAAGCCCATGGGTACGTTTTGACTCTGTCTGTTACAGGTTGGCCACCCCTGCTGATATAAGATGATAGAATATTTTTGGACAAAAAATCATCAAATGTAGTCATGCGCTGCCTTGTGGATAAAGTGTGACATTGCACGTCATGAATCGTGACCAAGTGTGTGGGATATGTTGCAACGTTACTATGGCTTATGTGACTTGGGTTTTGGAGAGGAAAACAAAACCACAAATCACCCTGTCCGCAGGATTCACCGGTTACCTGCATTTGCGTGCTCCTTGTGTCCTCATTTTTTTTTTCAGGTGACTGAGAAGATTACCGTGAAGCACCTGCCGGCTTCGGAGCCCTGCCCCCACGTCGTTCGCGTTGGCTGGTCTCTGGACAGTTGCAGCACTCAGCTAGGTCTGTGGCAGATTTTATTATGAAGCTTCGTGGCATTGGCTCTTGATTTTTGCTTCTATTTTGGTGTTGGCATGGCTGAATGGCACTTTGAAATGTCTTAGGGTGGCTCCACATTGCGATGGGGCTGCCAGGATGAGATGTTAACTACATTGCCTGGTATAGAGGAGGGCGTAGGTTCGATCACGACCCTTGACGCCTGCTGTATATTTGGAGTTTGCATGTTCTCTCTACATATGGTCGTGTGGATTTTTGTCCGGGTCCCTCCGGTTTTTCTGCTATAAATATACTCATGGTAAGCCACTTCGTTGGGCTATAACTTATGTCCAGGTCACTTGTAAAAAAGGGCTATATAGCCCAGTAGGCCGTACCTGGTAAAATAAAAAAATAGTTTAGTTTTTAACGAAAAGTTTTAATTTTTAAACACTGCTTAACTTGATTTTAACTAAAGGATTATGCAACCCAAAAACCAAGTAGCTTTGTAGATACCTAGGCTCTGTCTTGACATGAATAATGATAACAGAATTATTCAAATCGTTATTAGGCATCCTGTCATTTCACTTGTCACTGCATTGGCATTAAACTATTGTAACTGTGCCACAACATTGTCATAATAAGATCCTCAGCCTTGACTTAAGTTCTATTTAACGAAGCTTAAAACTTTTGTGGAACTGCACAATATATATAGGTATCTTATGTCATCGATTACGATTCATGTAAATAATATGCTCTTAAAATCGGATGAGTGAATCAACAGTATTAGCGAGCCAGAAAAATTAAGAATAATGCAAATGAGATGGTAAAATGAGACCTTAAAGAATCAATTCTGCGATCAAATTTTTGCTGCATTGTAAACATTTATTGCGAGGAGGGGTAAATCAAGGTGCCTAGTTATAATTTAATTACACTCCTTCAATGTTAACAGCTTGAATGCCTGTTTAACAGTTATATCAATCTTAAGTTGCATAAATATTATTTTGGTTGTGCTGTTTCTGTGTTATCGTACAGGAGAGGAAAAGTTTTCTTACGGCTATGGAGGCTCTGCAAAGAAATCTGTCGACTGCAAGTTTGACGACTACGGAGAGGAGTTCAGTGAGGGCGACGTCATCGGATGTTTTGTTGTAAGTGTCTCAGATGTTTGGTGTTGTTGGATTTTGCCACGGTGTGGTGTTGTTGAAATCTCAAAGTTACACTTGGCGACTTCGTCATTAGTTTGCTCCATTTTCCCTATCTTAATGTCATGAATACATCGTCAAATTTTCAAGTTTATCAGTAGATGCAAATGTGAGCGATTGTGTATGGAATTATCTGATTATTTGTAATTGTATTACCTTTGCCAGCATTTTTATAAATGTGGGTTAAAGTCCCATTAATTGTTAGCTTGCACTCAGACTTCCAAATCCTAGGGTGGCAGCTCTTCCTGACTACTAGTTTTCTTCCAATATAAAATGTTCTTTTGGTATGTAAAAGTTGAGAACCTTTGGTCTGTATTATCACCATTTACATAACCTAATTTCTTTGAAACAACAGTAATTAAAAGCGCTCTTAAAATTCCTCCTAATTTTGTGGTCTGATCATGTGTTGTGCTTTTCCTCTGATGGCCACTAATTGTTATTTACTATTGATCATAATGCCTTGACAAATGCTTCTGTTATGATATGTGTTTTGTGGTTCAGCGCTATACACACAGCCATAAACGATCTTATGATTATCTTCATGATGTGCTCTCAAGTGTAATTTCTTTCATCCCCTTCCTTGCAGAACTTTGAGGGTGAGGAAGTGGAGCTGTCGCATTCTAAAAACGGCAAGGACCTGGGGGTGGCTTTTAAGATCAACAAGGAGGAGCTGGCTGGGCGCCCACTCTTCCCTCACATCCTCACCAAGAATTGCTCCATGGAGTTCAACTTTGGACAGAGGGAAGAGCCATTCTTCCCACTGCCCGAGGGCTTCGTGTTCATCCAGGAGGTGCCCCTGGATAAGAGGATCCGTGGCACTGTGGGGCCCAAGACCAAGGCCGATTGCGAGGTGACCCGCTGACGTGGGATGGTGCTGACGAGGGCAGAGCTAAAATCTTTTTAGGCAGAGGCTTCTCTATCCAGCACCCAAATCAGGCGTATGCAAGGTGCAGTGCTTTGATATGCATTTTATTTGAGAATGAAAAAAATAGGAAAATCTGTGGGGACTAGTTTTTCAAAATATTGCCATAAGCAGCAGTACGGATGTGTGAGGCTTTACTTAATGATGCCATGGCATTTTATAGTTGGGCATCATTAATCCAGTTGCCTTTATATGGTATCTTCCATACTCCAGGTAACTTATTTCACGTATGTGTATATAGATATTTAGGCTCGCTGGTCTTATCCTGAAACGGCAATGAAAAAGCACCAGGCGAGGCAGCTATCACATCTGCCTCACTGAAGACGGCCGCTTGTGTTGCGACCGAAACATTTTTCTTTTATATTTTTTCTGCGTGACGTTACCAAAAGAACCAGAGAGTATGAGGGGGTGTCTAACACGCCCCCTCAGTGAGGCCACGCCCCCCTCTCTGTGAATCTGGCTCTGACACTAGCCAGTGCCTCCCCAGCCATTGACCTCACTGCACGTCACTGAGCTGCAATGCAGTTAAGCTGGTGCTATACTATGACACTAATGTAGAAACGATTTCATAAATTCAAACAGTTGACTACCTGCAGGAGAGAAACTGGTCCTGTGAAAACTGCACTGCCTCGGGTAGACCGTTAGTATGACAGTGTTTAAGAGCAATAGCTCCTCAATGCAATTATGTGCATGCATCAAAAGCATAGGCTACACCTGTATTTATTGATAGTCAATTCGCTTGGTAATTCAAAAGTGGTATGGTACTACATGCATTTGCATCATTATTACAAAACCATGCACACCCAATACAATGAATCAAAGTACCAGCCATCAACTTCCCATTGTCAAGATATATTGAATTGGGCTGCACCTGCATGAGGGACAATGACTTCCTCCAACTGTTCCCATTTTGCTCATTGGAGATCCCCTTGCATAACGTGCAAACCTCATTTACAGAATTTAGTGTCTTATCATGGTGTCTTTCACCTTGTGACACGAATTAACTCGTATAAACAAGGTGAAATTTTGACATTGCAGTCTTCCTCTATATGCAGCAGCCGCAGCGAAGATGCAGATAACTTACTCTTTGCTTCTTTCGGTAAAGTCACGCTTGTGTTGCGCCCGAAACGTCGGGATTTATTTTCTACCTACGTGACTTTACCGAAAGTACCAAAGATTATGGATTCCTGCAGTCACGAAAGCTTCAAATCAAGATGCAGATCACCTGTTTTGGCAAGCACTTGACACTTTCCTGACTGTTGTATGCGTTGCAGGTGTTGATGATGGTGGGGTTGCCAGGCGTTGGCAAATCAACATGGGCCGAAAAGCACTGCCGCGATAATCCTGAAAAGAAGTACAACATTATGGGTACCAACAACATCATGGAGAAGATGAAGGTAAACTCATAGGTCTTAGTACATGCTACTAATAATTATACGTGCCATTTGCTACCTCACATCTTATGACCTTGACTTTTATATTGTGGAGTAGACCTATAGGATTTTGTGATTATTTAGAGTGCCGTAAAAAGATGTGTATTGAAGCCAGTGCATTTTTCTGGAACTGGCTGATTTGTCATTCATCCAGAAAAGTAGATGCATGAAATGTTTAAAGTTGACTTATCTCTTGAAGTAGTCTTTAATTTAGGGTACTTGTAAATGTAAAGTATATTGTCGCAATTCTGGTTTTCTTTTAAGAATAATTCATGAACACAACACCTTTTATGCAGATCTGACAATGCAGTAGAATACTCTGCTTTTAACTGTTAAAATTGATATCCTTGGTGTATTTAAGTTATATGGAAGTAATGTAAAGATGTTGTCACGAATATGTGACCTGCTTTCGCACCTCCGATTAGCACGGTTGGCTGCGTACAGTGCAAAATAAGCTCAACACACACATTACTGCTTTATGTGGTTCCTTTTAAAATGAATATTCTCCCCCCCCCCCCCCCCCCGTGTGTAGATCATGGGGCTCCGCCGGCAGCGCAACTACGCGGGCCGCTGGGACGTTCTCATCCAAGAGGCAACGCACTGCCTCAACCGCCTGCTGCAGATCGCTGCCCGCAAACGGCGTAACTACATCCTGGACCAGGTAGGCCCGCGCGCGTTCGTGCGGGCCACACACTGTCTAGCGCCTGAGATTCATGCCAAACGTCGTCAGCTATCTGCAAGTGGGGGTGGGTTCGCTTGGTAGCGCTTGGCAGGAGCCTCGGTGTCGATTGGATTTCCATTGAGGATGACATCTCATTGCAACGTGATAGCATTGTTCCGTGGTACTGCTGCGGGGAGGGGTAGAATGATTTTAGCACAATTGCGCAACAGGGTATGTGGCATTAGGATTTTGGTTGCTGGCTAAGGATGTTAATGGTTTCTCTTTTGATGTGACAATGTTATCACCTTCACAGTGAAGTGGAGTGTATTTTTTCCAAGTTTAAGGCCAGTAATAGAATATGTATAGCAAACATCAATCGGTTAGACATATTATTTGTGTGGACATCCTCCATTAAGACATCGTGCAATTTTCTTCACAGTCCACTGATATTTCATATTTTGTAAGCACGAGGACACTTTGAGTGGTATTGCTAAATATAGCATCATCATGCAGTTTCAGCCAATGGCTATCCAGTGAACTCCTCCTGGCTGATGTTGTTGTTAAGCCTCGCAGACCCTCATACGCCTGGTTAAAGCACTGCACAAGCTGCCCAGCCTTTTGTATTCATCTTTATTGAAACTTTAAATGAAGTGTCATGTATTTAGACGCTTATATTTCTGTTAGCTAGTCTTGTCATGCATTCTTAGACGAAGTGTTCCCCTGTGTCATATTACGCATATCGAATATGGCTGCGCTTATTTGAATAGAAGACAAAGCTAAACGTTTAATGGCAGTTTAGAAAAAAGTGTTCTTGGCATATTATGCAATCAACTGACGGCTAGAAACATTGCCCAATTGTGAGAGGAGGGGATGTATCTGTGGCTTTAAATTGCTGGGCATTGAATGTACTGTGTGTTAACCGGTTTGCAGAGGGCTTGGGAACTACTGCTTTGTTTGCCCCCTTAATGTCTGTTAATGATATGGACCATGTGGCCATGTAGGATGTTTGCTTGTATGTTCAACTTGTTTCGCACCAAACGTAGCCAACCATGCGAATCGGAGGATTGTGTTGTGACAGGGTAGAGATTGCGTTTCGTAGTTGCCTTGATATTTTCACGTTACAGGTTTATATATTTTGACTTGCCTGACTGTACTTGAGGTTTGCTTCTTGTTCTGTGCTTGCAACGCAATGTTTTAATAGTGCACACGCGATGAACTGAAATGCATTGGCGTCGCCGAGTAACGCAAATGAACTTTTGACACGCTGCCATGTTGTAAATGTTTCGCGCGGGAACGTGACGCGTTGGCGCATCGCTGTAACACGCGGCACTTAGTACGTACAGTTCCTAAATGGACTGAGAACAAGTCGAGCGACGTTAAATGCTGATGGCGTAAAGTAAATGCACCGCTGGTGAGTAAAGGAAGCCTGCTACTTGGTAACATTGAATTTAACAAAAACGCTCGTAGGTGATGGGCAGACTGTGTTGTCTTGTTAAATGTAAGTACAAGGTAAGAGCTGACTAACAGTTACGTTTTCAGTGCCAGCAAGATGGGCCATAAGGTAAGTGTGAGTCCTTAGTTGTGCTGCAAAGGGAAGGGGTGAGTATAGGAGGTAAGTCATTTTTGATACTTTATTATAACCCCGGCTCTTGAATATGTAGGATTTGCAAGTGGAACCAGGTAAGTACACTCATTATCCATCCCTGAACTTTCCTTCATTCTCTTTTCGTGTTTTATCCCTAGGTAGATGTAGTGATTGAATGCAGTGGGAATGCGCTCATGTTTCCATTTCGAACTTGAGATGGTTTAACATCCGTGGTCTTTTTTAGTACTTTTTTATGCAATTATCCTGTGTAGGGTCTCTCAATGTCCATATAATGGTTAGCCTGTGGTTGTTTTGCTTAAGATGTAGGTAATCAAATATAATCAAATATAAATGGCATACTTTGGATTATTATTTAGTACTGAAACATGTTTTCAGCTTGGTGGACATGTCTGGTTATGTATGCAGATTATAGTGTTCCTTTCTGGGACGATGACAAAGTAATGACAGAGTCATGGTCCCAGCCAACATAGGCGATGGAAGCACTTTATCTGTAGTTAATCTGTGTGCGTTGCTCTACTTTTCAATCTAGATTAAAATGCATAACATATGCATTGGATGCATGTCAAACTTGATAGAATTAAAAAAATTCCTTGAACATGACTTAAAGTAGCAGACCTTTATATTCACGTTGGCGATGATGCCGTTAATGTTCTAAATTGTGGTTTTTATGAACATTTAAATTAGCACCTCCGATTAGCACTTTTGGTTATGTACATGTGAGAGAAGTTCAACATACATACATGAATGTTACTTGCGTAGATTTTTTTTGTTCCTTCCAGAAATTATGTAGATATAAATAGCATTACAGAGACGAATTAGGAAAGCACCTGCCAAACAACATGAACTCCACAATTTGTGGCATCTAAAAATACATAAAATCTCAGCGAAACTAATTAAACTAAAAGACTTTTATTTTCCCAGGTAAGGCCCACTGCAGTTATATAGCTTTTTCAGAAGTGACCTTGGCTATGATAGCTCAACGAAGTGGATTATCAAGTGGAAATTTATAGCAGCCAAGTACACTAAATGCCTGTTTCTAAACTGCACCCTCCTCCCTACTGGGGGACCATCCACACGAGCCCCAGTGCGGCAACCCTACACATGCACATGGCAAAGGGCGGGGGGATGTGGGGGTTTACAGTCACTCATGCGTCACTCAGGTCGTGAATCGATTATACATTTTTTTTATCTTTTTTAAATCAATCAATTACCAATTTCGTACACAGTAGAATCGTATTGTAATCCAGTGACGACTGAACCGATTGGCAAGTATGAATGACATGGGTCTGTTCACATGTCACTGGTCAGTGACAGCCATCATAGGGTACCAGGGATGGGACTTATTAGAATACCAGGTAAGGCCCACGGAGCTATACAGGTCATTTTTAGAAGGCAACATGGCTATCACAAATCATAGCTCAACGAAGTGACTAATCACGTGGAAACTTATAGCAGCCAAATACTCTAAACGCACGTTGATTCTAAATGTGGAAGGAAAAACCGGAGGACCCGGAGAAAAATCCTACACGACCATAGGGGGAACAAGCAAACTCCAAATATGCAGTAGGCGTTCGGATCAGGATCAAACCCACGACCTCCTGTATACCAGATGAGGTAATTAGCATCTCCCAGCCACCGTGATAATGATGAGAACGACACGCAAACTCGCAAGTAATACAGCAGGCGTCCGGGTCGGGATCGAATCCATGACCTCCTTCATACCAGATGAGGTAGTTCACATCTCGACACTGCGGCACTAAATTGAGGGGGGTAGCGTTTATGGTCATGGTGGAAGTTCAGCATACTGAAAGGTAGTAATAATTACTGAAGTCTAATTACAAACATTCCACTATCTCAAAATATTTAGTTTCAATATTTCAAAATTTATAGGCAAACATTCTTACTTTAGTTCAATCTATCTATTTCAGTTTAATCCGGGTCACCGTGATACTGAAGAAAATTTGGCAGGCCGATTCCTAAACCTATGGATGAAATGCCCCAGACAAATGTAGATGATTAAAGCTGATAGGCAAGGGTTTAAAACCAGGAATCGCACTCATTATTATTAAACCAAAGAAAGAGTAATCCAAGAAACGGACAAAATCTCAATAAATGGGCCAATAATACAGTTTGTTAGTTTCAGTTTTTTTGTATATCGTAAAATAAATGGTGGCAGCCCTCGTAAAGCACAAGGATGACTAAGGTGTCCCAAGTGCATTCAATCACAATTCCGTACAGCAGATGAAAGTGATTTATAATTGCGAGTACACGTGATTTCCCCCCCCCCTGCACCTACGACCTAATTGGTTCCTCGACGACGGTCGCAAGTCGAGACGTCGTAAGTCAAACCCTTATTTCCCTTAGGTGCAATGTTATATATTAGGGTTCTGTTCCTGGAAACTCATTACATACCATAAAAATACCAAAAATTACCACGAAAATAAATGAAAAAAACCTAACTTTCACAAACATAAAAAAACACATTTGAAAATCTGCGTGTGCATCACATTTCAGCACCATTAGGCACATGACAATCACAGACTCATTGCCAATCAACTCGACGTCGTTAGCAAGTCGTTAGGCAGTCATAGATACAGGTTTTGATCAGTTACTGTGGGGGTCTTGCTGACTATGAGAAAGGTTGTCATAAGTAGAAGGTCGTAAGTCGGGGGTTACCTGTCCGTAAGCACACGCTGTATCCGGCCGCTGCACAAAGTGGTTTTCGTTTTTGAGAAATGTATTTGTCTTTGGTAGCCTTTTTGGATTTATCCAAATTCCAGCTTACTCGAGTCCGGCATCAAGAAGTTTTTTTAGGCAAGTAACATTTTGGTGTCCAAAATGTTGTGTTATACCCTTACTTATGTCACGTCCTACCCTACGCTGGCCATTGTTTCAAAGGCTCTTAATTTAGAAACGGCATTCGGCGGTCTTGTTAAACTGAAAGATCACTGCATATAATAATGATGATCACTGCATATACTTGGTTGGGTACTTTTATCGTTCTCATTTGAACCATTTCCCATTCCGAGACGTCTGCTAGTTGCAGAGTGGGTGTCTCCATGACGTCTGAATCTCGGAACGAGCAAGTGGCTCTGCGTTAATTTTATTTAGAGAGGCGTTGTAGCGCCGTTGTTTTTCAATACATTGTACTCGCCTCGGAGAACTGTCGCAACACGATCGCACTCTACGATAGCTGGCGCCAAACTGCCAGGCCCTCCCACATGGCCTTGTGGGAGGGGAGTGAGTTTTGGTACGGATAGTTATTTGCGTTTTCTTCTCGTTTTGATGACAGACGCGTACATCATCGGAACGGGTTCAAATAGCATCGTTTGTTTAAACAGGTACACAACATCAAAGTCCTGTCTACATGATTTAATGTGAATAGAATCTCATACAGGAAATTTGACAGCTCCTGCTGAACAACTTAAGCTCATCAATTCATGTTAATTCTGGCTTCTAAAAATAGTCAGAATCAGAATATTTATACCGGAGGAATCCGATGAGCTATAAAATATCGTTTTCACGGATGTCCAGTTGGAGTGGAAAAAACGAGATGGTGCAAAGTACAGAAAAAGCAAACAAATCACCCACAACATACAAATCAAACTAAACCATCCCCACATCCGACTAGGCGAAGGCCACTGAGGTATTAACTTATTTTTCAGAAGCTACCTGGCCACAAATGATAGCTTAACAAAATAGCCTTAAATAAAAGGTGACATGCACGCTTGGTTGGCATAGGTAATTTTATAGAAGTTTTCTCCGTATTTTAAACATGTCCTTGAGATGCCATTAGTGTTTTTCTGCTGCTTTAAGTTAAGCAATCAATTAATTTCGGATAGAACCCCAGAAATTGTTGATGTACTGATATGTGACAGAGTCATGGTCCCAGGCAACATAGGCGATGGAAGCACTTTATCTGTAGCTATGACACCTTTGGTGATATCTCTTTGGAATCGGCTGAGAGGCTGTTGAGATGCAGTATCGTTTGGAAAGGGTGTAGCAGCTGCATCTGTTGTTGAATGTACCTAATTTTGGATTACATTGTCATAATAGTATTGATTTGAGGGCGGTTTCCAGGATTGACGTGTTTTCGTGAATATCGTTTGTTGGTTGTCTGAAGGGCACTTAGTCTGGAGCACTGGCTGAGTGCAGGTGGTGGGATTGATCTTAATCCTGCTGAGACCACAGTTGCACATACTACATGTGTTTAGGAGCAAGGATTAGACATGTTCTGTGGTGTACTATGGTTTGAAAGTGTTCACATTTACTGTGTCACCTGGATATTAATAGCATGGCTGAGACATTTTGAGTTGTCAATTGTTTTAATCAGATTTTGAAATACTTCACACATCTTAAGGTAAATGTCCTTTGCCTTCACATGCATTTAGTCGACTATAACCAGAGAATGAACAAACTTAGTAGGGTGCTGTGGATGCTCTTGTCTTTGTAAAAATGCATTTTGGAGATCCATGTTTTTGCGTGGTACAGAATGGTTACTACACCTGTTGAGGCATTGTGTTTTTTCAAGGCAGTTTATAGCAATAATAGTATTAGACGTGAATGCCCTGCTTTCCTTAGCCTATGTTTTCTTAAACCTCCACACACATAGAAGACTTTAGCTCTTACAAAGAAGGGGGCAGGTGCAGGCTGAAAATGCATTGCCAGTGTAGGACTGGCTATCAGAATAGAAAACATCTATCGCTAGTGCCTGTTTAGTGCTCTCCTTCCAGATCACCTTAGGCGCCTATATCTGGTTCAGATGGAAGCGCCCATCGACATCTTATCTGTGGCCAGGTGAGTGTGGGCTAGGGAGAGACAACTGCTGTGATGCGCCCGCTTTGCCGTTGATGCTGATCGTTGTAAGATGTCCAAAACCTGTCTGCGCTTATGTCGTCATTGCAGGCAGGCGGCTTCGGGCATCGCACGGCAGACCAAAACCAAACCCCAGTAACTGAATTAATGTCTCTTACATTCTTCTTTCTCGCCGTTGATAGACAAATGTTTATGGATCAGCCCAGAGGCGAAAAATGCGTCCTTTTGAAGGTTTTCAACGCAAGGCTATTGTAATTTGTCCTACGGATGAGGACTTAAAAGACCGCTCAAAAAAGCGCACTGTCGAGGAAGGCAAGGAGGTCCCAGATTCTGCTGTATTAGAGATGAAAGGTAGGTCCCTGGACAACACTGCTAAAGCAAGTTGGAAGGGAAAAAAACACAAGTGCCATCATTTTTGTTTTGTTTTTTTATCACTTGCACCAAACAGCCTCTCCTTAAAAAAACGCTTCCTCTTTCCCCCCACTTCTGCTACTTTGATATCTTACCCTGCAATTTGCTCTTGAATATTTATTTTGTAAAGGTAATGACTTTTTAATTCCCTTCCCCTCCTTTGTATTTATTTTTAAATTAATGCCAGTATCCCTGGCATGGCAAATTTTTTGTGTTCTGAATTGCCAACGCTGGGTGGATGCGCGTGCGATGAGCGCATTGACGCGGCGACACGCGCGCCGCCAGTGAGTTGGCGCCCGCCCATTTCGCAAGTGCTGATCTCGGTTCCCATCCCCCCTCTCTGTCTCTGTCTGTCTCACTCGCCTGCCCATCGGCCTACCCATCGGCCCACTCGCCTGTGAACCAGCCAACTTCACACTCCCGGAGGCGTCGGATTTCTTGAACGAAGTGGTCTTCGTCGAGTTGCAAAAGGAAGAAGCGGAAAAGCTGGTGGCGGTGTACCGTGAGGAGGGCCGCAAGGCTGCTCCGCCCCCACAGAAACGCTTCGACAATCGTGGTGGGCAGGGCGGCTTCCGGAACCGTGGTGGCGGTGGCAGCGGTGGCTTCAACCGCTTCGATAACCGTAACAGTGGATTCCGCAACTCCACTAGCGGCGGGTTTGGAGGCCAGCGTGGTGGTGGGGGTGGCTATCGTGGAGGCAACAACGCACGTGGTGTTTCCAGTAAGTGGGAGGTTGTGGGATGCACTGCACACCGTTTGAATTGTGAAAGTTGGTGGCTTGAAGATAACGCTTATTTTGTTTGCCCCAGGTCTAGCGGCAGGTATCCTTGTTTTTTCCGCTCATGGGTACACACAATGTGTTGCTAGTGGTTGTCGGTAATGTACATTTCGAAGGGTTTTAGCTCTATCTCTTGGTTATATGTAAGAAAGAAAATACTCCGAAAAGCCTTGGTGAGTCACAAGGCTTTTTAGGAGGATCATGCATTCGAATGTTTAGCCGATTTTCAATGAGTCATGGGTTTTGAATCCAGAGTAACTGGATAAAATGTATCCTTACAAGGGCACTATGCTCAAAGCATTGCGCAGAGGGATTCAATAATGTATTGCTCTCCTGCTCACTCAAGGAATTTGTTGGAGTGCCCTGATCGCCCTTATTTTAACCGTTTGCCATTCCAATTTGTCTGCAAGTTGCTTGAGGCATAGCGCCGATGTTTTTAGAGACATTGTACTCGCCGCAGAGAACCATCGTGACACGACCACACTGCACGATAGCTGGTGCCAAACTGCCACACTTTCCCGCCATGGCCTTGTGGGAGCCTCAGTACCGATAGTTTATTTCCGTTTTTCTGGTGTCGTTTTGATGATGTACACGTACATCATCGGAACGTAAGCGGAAGAAAAAAAATTTTTTTAGTGTCATGGTGTGAAGTTTGTGCATTTTTTGCAGTCCCTTTGTAGTCGTGTAACACTGCACTGGTGATGTGGAAGTGCTTCGTATTCTCATCTTTTTGGTTGCACACAGTGTACTGTTTTTGTTGTGTGTGCGTTCATGTTCATCCATTGTAATGTGTAAATATCTTCCTGTAGATTATGTCCGTGGTGGCTACAACAATCGTGGTGGTAGTGGTGTCGCTGCTGCTGCTGCTGCTGGTGGTGGTGGCTACAACAACCGTGGAGGGTACAACCGCAACCAAGCGGGCACCTACAGCCAAAGCCGCAACGCTGGTGGTTACAAAGGAAGCTATGGCCAGGTGGGCAATGACTTGTTTGCACTATTTACATATACAAATATGTATTTGGTCATAAAGTATCTAATATGGAATTTTGCTCCACTTTCAAATAAATCTACGCTTGAGCACTTTTGGAAACTGTGCAATACATCACTTGCAGTGGGGAATCCTGACAATGCTGAGCAAACTAGTCGATCTTTGAATGGTGAAGGAAAGTTGTTCCACACTGGCGAGGGTTGAAGGGTTTCAGCAGAAGCTATCGCAAATGCAAACAAAAAAAAGATCTATTTTTGTAGATATCATGGACTATTGGAATATTTTATTTGAAGATTTGTGAGGAAAATAAATATATAAATGACATTGCAATATGACTGCCAAACATTCAAAATATAACAACATGAACAAACATGATGCTTTGTGGGAATAGGCAACATTGAAGCCCAGTGTTTGTTGGGAAATTTTAAAACAGCAATGGCTTCTACAGTGCAGGAGCTATTCTGTTCTTGGTTATGGCAATATGTTGAGGAACTAAATGCCATTGTTGGTCTGCTAACCATGGGATTGGCATGGTTGGCTGTGTACGGTGCGAAAGAGGATCAGCATACATACATACATGAGAGGGCTTCAGGAGAGATTTTTCGCAGGTTTACTATTCCTCCATTGAAGGGGGGGGGGTGTGCAGACAGTTGTTTACTTTTTCGTCTTGAGTTTTTGTTGCATGGCCACATCGCACTGCGGCTTGTCTTTTAATTGCACATTTATGAAGGAGATGTGCGCATTGGCCAGTTGATGTTCTGATGCGGTTGATTGCAAACCAGATTCTTTGAGGAAAGTCAGAGACAGGAAGTGTGGTGTTTGCTTCTTGAATTGGATGTTCCACTCTTTACGCCAGTATTCTTCTAGCTCTGGGTGAGATTCTAGGACGGTGACGGCACGTTCCCAGAAGGGGGGGGATCAGGAATTGAGTCGGCGGGAAGGAACATTGTTGAGTTCTCGGTTGATGGGTAGGTTGTCATTGGCAAGAAGACGTGTAATACCCCTGAATGCAGTTTGCATGTCGGTGTGGATGTTTGGTGGAATAATGTTTGCCAGAACAGGGAGCCCCAGGGGATTGGTGTCGGTTTCAGTATTCAGGTTATGATGCACATTCCATTATTTAATTGTGTATAGAGCAGTTTTGTGTATGAGCTCCCGGAGCAGGAGCACAATACTCTGCCACCTAGTAGATGAGTTGAGAGGGCGTCAGTTAGCAGCACTTCAGATGAGGCTCCCCAAGCTCATTGCTGCAGGCTTCTGTTGCAGGGCGAATTTATTGCTTCGGTCTTTTCACATCTCTGTTTTATGTGGGGCTTGAAGGGGGTGGGCCGGCTTTTGTCCATGACAACCCATAGACATCTTGAAGTGAGGTCATCGTGCACTGGGCTACCACAGAAGGGGACACGTCAAGGGTGGCATTTGCTGCACGATTCTTCAAGTGGAAATTGCTTGTAGTTTTGGAACTATTTGGTCAGTCTCCAGAGGTGTTAATATGCCTCCAATAAAGTTAGATCAACTGTTAGAATAATGGCAGTGTATTCGAGGTTTGTCATCTGCGTATATTAACTTACGAGATAATGTACATGGCAGGTCACATCTTTTTTTAAAATAGAGGCCATTCAAATTTCTCTTGTGGTTGTGTTTACCAGCGAGGTGTACAGTGAAGGTGGAGTCGCCGAGTATCGTGTTGATTAGGTGTACAGTAGAATGGCATCTGATGATTTTGACCAATTTCAGCAGCAGCACACAATGATGCCAAATGGTGTCACGGGCAACAGAGAGGTCAATCGTTGCTATCCCAGTTTGCAGTTGACCCTGTAAACTAGTTTCAATTCAGGTGGTGAAGGCAACGATCTGTTATAACGCCTCTACGAAATCCAGCTTATTCTGGAGGCAGTTTGGTGTCGATAATGGGGAAATTTCTGGCAAGCAAGCCACGTTCCATCAGCTTGGAGGTGGAGAATGAGGGATTTTAGCTCGTAGCTGGAGTGCAAGGACTTTCAGGGTGGAGTCATTTAGACAATCTTTTCGAGGTGAATCTGCATTTATTATTACAGAAACAAATTGATCCTGCTACACTGCTTTGGATACATGCAACTTTGGGAATTGTTTAAAACAGTGAAATTTGTTTTCTTTTAACCTCTGTATGTTGACATGATTGCGCTGTCCGTAGGGCTATGGAGCCCAGAGCTATGGGGCTCAGGGCTACGGTGCCCAGAACTACGGCAGCTACGGCGCACAGAATTACGGGGGCTATGGGCAACAGACTGGCTACGGTACCAGCACGGCGCAGGCATACGGCGCCTCCGGCACAGGATATGGCTCACAGTACCAACAACAGCAACAGCAGCAGCAGCAGGTGAGTGGTGCCTGGTGGGCTTTCCGCCCTTGGTCATGTCAAGAAGTTCTGAAATCTAACTTATGACCAACAACTTTACCACCGCTTGCGTCCAGAATACGGAAAGGTCTGAGTGAAAATAAAAAAAACAGACCACCAAATGTTTGCTTAGCAATGCATAACAGGACATTCTTTTTAAATATTCTATCCCTTTTTTATCTTCTGCATTTTTAGTTTTTTCCCATCCCTGTTCAAATGTTTACAAGCCCAGCCAGATGTGAGCAAATGTAATCTGTAGCCATTTTTAAGCTAGACAAAAAGAATATAAAAAATGTGGTATTGAGAAAAAAAACATTCTCCTTATTTGGAACCTTTAATTTGCATATTTAATTGGTTTATGCCCAACATTAATGTCACAATGGACCACAAAGGGAAAAAAGCATACCTTGATGTATTAAAGCACGAATAGAAGTCATTGACTTACTCAAAACATCTGAATGTTGATAGGAATAGCAGATTTACAGCACACTTTTAATTGTTTTTGAAAAATGTTCACATTCGGAAATGTTATGATGCTTCTGAATGTTCACTTGTGCACGTTTAATGTAGCTACTTCTACGTCTTGGACTGGAAATACATTTTATCGTCAGTGTCACGTGATTTTTTTATTAAGCTGAGCAGCAAATGTTTTTTCTTTTGCGATGTGTGCAGCAGTACGCCCAGCAGTGGAACCAGTACTATCAGAACCAGAGCCAGTGGAATCAGTACTACGGCAACTACGGAAACTACAGCAATCCTGGCAGTGGTTCCAGCCAGTGAAAGGGGGGCCACATTGCGTGCTCGAGACCAGGCTGGGGGAAGTTGAGACTCCACTGCAACTTGCTTCTTTCTTCCCCACTTCAGATGGAGCACCGGCAGAGAAAATATCCCCCTCCTGCTGAATTGTGCGAGCCCTTTTTGTAAGCTTGCAAAACAGGTGTGGGATATTTAGCCAGGAAGGTGTTCCATTGTGTGCGTGGTTGATAAGCGAAGGTTTTAAACACTCGGCCCACAGTTTCACACACAACCTTCCCATGCCCGCTTCCCACCTCTTCATCCTACGCTTATTATGGGCCTGACCTGTCCGGATAAATGAAAACCCAGTGTTTTAAATCTGCTAGTGCGTACTTAACAGTTGTCACATTTAACTTCCCAGCCTGTTCACCAATTCGTTGAAAGTTAATGAATTAGCTGACACGTTTTCATCCATGGTGTAACAGAGCTGCCACATTGCTTTTGATAATCTATGATGTATCTACACACAGCTTTTAATTTTTGGGCAGCATTTATTTTACAGTTCCCTCCCTACCCTTTTCCCTCCCCCCAGCCCCCCTGCATTCTTAACAGTTGTGATTTTACCGTGTGCTGTGTCGAAATTATGCATAGTACCCATGTGTTGAAGCATTGTTGGGCCGTAAAAAGTAATATCCCCTGTCTGGTTCTCATTAGGCCCCAGCGTGCATCGATTTTTGCTTTTTTATCATTTGTACTGCTTGTGCGGTTCGTTCATTCACAAACTGTACACCGAAGATAATTGTTAGTGTTGAGAGTAATGAGCCTGCTCTTGTTGATTGGCTTGTGTATTCCGCTTCAGGTAGCTTGTGAATGCTTGTTGGACCTTCTTTGCTAGACAATTCCAATATTTTATTTTTGCACTTTTTTCATGCAAAATGTAACGTGTTGAATTGTGAAAATTCAGTCAAGCTGATGAGAAGAACCCATGTATTGTTTTTTTATGGCCTCAGGCAAAATTCAGTATGCTCTTTGCTGTAATTCTATATTAGCAGCAAGGTTCACACTGCCATTCGACAGTAGAGCAGGTGTAGGTATTTGACTTGGGATACAAGTTGTACACATTGGTTTCCTTTTTTTGCAGAAGGTTTTGTACTTTATACATCTTTATTAAACCTCCAATAAGCCCATTTTTTTTGTTGGTGTGTTTCTTGAATTTCTGTAGCTTGTGTTTGTAGCAAAGGCGAGCGAAACAATGAAGATGGATATCGCAATTACCATTGCACTGATAGAAAAAAAATTGCTCACAGCAGGTTTACACTTTTTGGGCAGCTGACACAGCTTGCACACATCATGTAGATAGCAAAGCAATTCCACCAACAGTTGCTGGTCGTGGGCGCACGGTGGAACTGCGTGTCTGTTGAACCGTTGAATTGAACCACCCCTGCTGTGCCTATGAAATGCATTTTAGAGGGGTCTCCGTGTGGAATTATCGTAGGAACAAAGAATATCCATGTATTGATGACAACCATGTAATAAACAATTTCTGAGAATATTTGAAGAATCCAATGCATTGGTTCGGTCGATTACTCGGGATGTGTGGAGCCAAAAGCTCCGTTCCTCATGATAGCTTGAGGTGATCCTTGAGTCAATAACTGGTCTACAAATTTTTAGATGTCATCTGCTTCAGAGATGAAATGTGCTGTTTATTATGGATTTTGATGTGCTGAATTCAATTATGACAAAACAACTGATTGGCTACTGTTCCCAAGGTATTAAAGTTTTCTCATAAATTGTAAACTTAGGTCTTTTCATGTGTGTATGGTTGCTTTACATGATAACATATCACCTATCCTGTTCATGTAACACTTAAAAAATCAGCAAAAGTGTTGTATAAATCAAATGTATTATGAAACAAAAGGCAAACAACTTATGTAAATATAAGTACATAGGATAGTCATTAGTGTCTACTCGGCGCTTCTTGGCTTGTCTCGTATTCATTAAATGGAGCATCTCTTGTCACTGTCCAGCAATTGTCTGCAAGCATTGATGGGCTCCATTTGCCCTGAGAGTGTTTCTGAGTGCAAAAAATGTATCTTTAGTGACACGTTGCAACCAAGGCTTTTGTATGCCTTGGTTTTCCACCAACTCCCTGTAGTCGTCTGCCTTGTTTCCAAAAGAATGTTGCTACTAACTGGATGGCATTCCATGCCATCTGTTCTTTGCCACGCAGTGCACTCAAATGCATCGTCTTGAAGTTCACGAATCTGAGGACCAACGAAGACACCTTCCTTTATCTTAGCTTCACTTAACCTTGGAAATTTTCCACGGAGATACTTCAAAGCTGCTTGTGTTTTGTCCATAGCTTTGACAAAGTTCTTCATCAGACCCAGCTTGATGTGTAAGGGTGGTAACAAGATGTTCTTTGATCTAACAAGTGGTGGATGCTGAACACTTTTTGTCCCAGGCTCCAATGAGTGTTGGAGTGGCCAATCTATCTTGATGTCGTGGGAAACTCTCGCACGACTATCCCATTCGCAGAGAAAACAGCAGCAGTACTTTGTGTATCCAGTCTGCAGACCAAGCAAGAGAGCAACAACCTTCAAATCGCCACAAAGCTGCCCTGATGTTGGTCAGTTTATGCACCTCAAAAGTTGTTTCATGTCATAGGTTTCCTTCATATGGACTGCATGACCAACTGGAATTGATGGCAAAACATTTCCATTATGCAGCAAAACAGCGTTAAGACTACTCTTCGATGAATCTATGAACAGTCTCTACTCATCTGGATCATGAACGATGTTGAGGGCTGCCATCACACCATCGATGTTGCAGGCTACAAGATCACCTTCCATGAAGAATGGGACAAGATCCTTTTGACAGTCACGAACCATGGAAACCCTAACATCACCTGCCATGAGATTCCAATGCTGCGGTCTGGAGCCCAACAGCTCTGCTTTACTGTTGGCTAGTTCGAAATCCCTGACCAGGGCTTTCAGTTCACCCTGTGTTATGAGATATGGTTCAGAGGGGGAGGATGGGAGAAAATCTGGGTCATGTGACCTTGATGGTTCAGGACCAGAAGTTTAATCCTCGTTCTCTTCCTCGTTTGACTCAAGTGAGTGATTCTGGTGCATCAGGAACCGGCAGTTCTCTGTGGGGTATTGGGCGTGTAGCTGATGGAATGTTTGAATAATGCACAGTCCACTTTTTCTTCTTTGATACTTTTCCCAACTGGAGGCGCCATGCAGAAATAACAATTGCTGATATGACCTGTTGGCTCTTTCCAAATCATTGGCACTGCAAAAGGCATAGATTTCCTCCTGTTCAACCACTGGCAGAGATTTGTTGCACAAGTGTTGCAGCAATTGTGGGTGTCCACATCTTGTCCTGATCTCCAATTTGTCAGCCAAAATAAAGGTGATGTTGCACTTTTGTGATGCAAAAGTCACTTCGCCACAAACACAGCAGAGGTTATCTGCTTTGTACACACAAGTCCGAGGCATCTCTGCTCACTTTGGCTAAACAAAAAGGTGTCCCTTTGCAAAACCAAACACTGACAAATAAGAGCATGATACTGTGATTTCTAGAGTTGATATAAGGCAATTTGTTCAGCAGAGGGATGTAAGCCGAGTTATGATTACATCATCCATGACTTCTAGGAATAACATGATGCAATTCATATAATGTATGATGCAATACCAGATTCAGATTGCATCATTCATTGTTTTGCTCAAAAAGCAAGTACTGTCCAAACCCAGTCATAGATTTATTCATAGATCAAGTCAAGATGTATTTTAGTCATTTCTGGTTTAAATTTAGATCCCTTCCCTTTGTCATGACATCACGGACACCACAATAGTGTGGGTGTAGTACCAGCCCTAGAGGGGCCCGGTGAGCGCTGATGGATAGCGCTCGATGGCACCAGCTTGGCGTGCAGTGCCAGCCCTACAGGATAGGGTGTGGGTGTGCCGGTCGTAAGAAAGGGGTTACTAAAGGCCATGGCACTCTGGTTGACCCGAGAAGACACGTGACCAGTTAAGTCAGCGGTCGGGAATCTATGGCTCGCGAGCCATATATGGCTCTTCCAGTGACGGCATATGGCTCCCAGACAATTTGAGTTGAAAAAAAAAATCAGTTTGGAACTGATTTTAAAATACTTGTGATATTGCTTAATAATACTGTGTCATTTTAAAGTAAACAGAAATTAGTTTTGAAGATAAATTTCAGGGGTCACGCCTGCACGAAGCTCAACCTCACCACGTATGAACCAGGCCATCAGCAAAACCATCCAGCGCCAGAAGTCGCATTAAAAGTAAGACATAAAAATACTATATGGCTCTCAATGAAATATATTTAGAAATATTTGGCTTTTATGGCTCTCCCAGGCAAAAAGGTTCCCGACCCCTGGGTTAAGTCTACAAAGGGGCCCAAGTAGGGGATAGGGGTGGTCACGTGGTTAGCATCCAGATGCTTCCCGAGGATTCTGGAAGGTGTTCGTGGCCAAGGGCGGAGCCGGCCACGCCACAGAGAATATAAGCCGGATCTCCAGAGGGACCGGCGTTGTTGTTCATCCTGAAGAAACCTCCGTCAACGTTCTACGTTCCACCAAGTCTCCAACACGTGGACCTGGACCCGAGCTGTGGTCCAGTCCGTAGTAGCTAGTGACGTAATTAGTGTAGTTAGCCTGGTGGTCACCACCAAAGGTTGTTATTCTCTTAAGGGGAAGTTACCCTGTGTGATGGAGGTAAATAAATGTGTTGACTCCAAGTACACGTCTGCGACTCAGTTGAACTCACTACACCTTTATAACTCACTTATCCTCCGCCATTTCCAAGTCAAGGGTCGTATATACTGACCCAGTAGCATATCTTGAAAACTAGAGCCAATCAATTTTAAGCATAATTTTCATTCTCAGTGACCCAGAATTTGTAAAGTTGGACTACATTTATTTCGGAAGCATTTTGGCTGTAGACCAGGGTAATCAAGTCATGAATACATCGTTAACCCCGTAACCATCAACACTCGGTTGAGGGAGTTGGTTGGAGTGTTAAGCTGCAGGTGCATTTGTTTCACAACCTCTTCGCCATGAAGTGGCGGTGGATGATTTAAGGATGTGCAGGTTCATTTTAATCACGGATAAGAGGATTTTTTTTCTTGTATTCGTTTTTAAAGGTATGCTCGCTCCATTTATTAACTTAAAATGCTGTAGCAGCATTATTATTTCAACGTGCATCTTTCCATGTGTTTTTCATCAATGTGATGCTGTTTGTCAGTGTCCCATGTTTCTCATGTATGACTTGTACCAGTTAATACGCACTTATTGGAAACGTTGCTTTTCAGGCACATTGGTCCATTGCTTTTCATTCCGAAATGGAATTTTCCAAATGCACTCCCCATCAAATGGACTCCTGCTCCAGCCTCAATGATAGCCCAAGATATAAACACTCGTGTTTTGCAGACGAGTGCCCTTGATGAGTTGAACATGGCAAGGCCGTAATTATAATATCTATTGGGGGGGACACATCCACCCCCCAATATTCAAATATGCTCAAAATGTCCCCCCCCAATATATTGCTATAAAATAGATTTCTGTTTATATGATTGTGGTTATGGTTGCACTTTATAAATCCCTAATCTCTGCCATTACATACAATGAAACAAGAAAAGGTAAAAAGAAAAAACAGAGCAATGTAATACAATACACTATTAGACGTAAAAAAAAACCTATCCCATGTGTTAGTGAATTTTTAAAATCTTTTTGGCAGGAAATGAGTTTTCAAATTTAGATTTTTTTTTTCTGGGTTGGGACCCCCAGACCCTCTGGAAGATTTGGTCCCCCCCAATGTTGACTCCATGGCTACGGCCTTGGAGCATGGTAAGGGAGCATACCAAAGTGTCATCTTTGGCATCCAGATCAGAAAGTGAGATTTTAACGATATCGCCTTGTATACAGGAGGTTGTGGGTTTGATCCTGATGCCTGTATCTTTGGAGTTTGAATGTTCTCCCCGTGGCCGCGTGGATTTTTCCCCCGGGTCCTCCGGTTTTTCTTTACATTTAGAATAAAAAAAGGTGCGTTAAGAATATTTGGCTGCTGTAAATTCCACGTGATGAGCAACTTCGTTGAGCTATCATTTGTGGCCAGGTCGCTTCTGGACAAGAGCCACACAGCATAAGCTCAGTGGGCCTTACCAGGTAAAATAAAGGAACGTTGGGTTGCTCGGTCAATGGCCTGCAGGGTCAACGGCGGCGTGGTGTATTCCGCAAATATGCCCGACTGTGAGGGCGGGCACAAGCCGGCGTGAGCAGGTTAAAAGTTGAGTTTTATAAGGGCACCACGGGGTGACCAGCCCCTCCCCACCAAACCCCCCACCCAGCCCCACCCCTCTCACCCCTCCCACCCCCTACCCAGCCCCACCCTCCCCACCCAGCCCCACCCTCCCCACCCAGCCCCTCCCTCCCCACCTTCCCCTCTCCACCCAGCCCCACCCCTCCCCACCCAGCCTCTCCCCACCTTCCCCTCTCCACCCAGCCCCACCCCTCCCACCGCCCACCCAGCCCCACCCTCCCCTCCCCTCCCCACCCAGCCCCACCCTCCCCTCCCTTCCCTGCACGACGGACGGACACAATAATCCCCTGTGTGCTGCGCTACGAAACCGCCGAGCCGAGTTCGATTCCCGCTCACGGGCCAACACCGTCAGTGACGATTGTCTGAACCGGTGCCGGACCTCCTCTAGGTCGACTCAGCCTCAAATGAGTAGTACCTGGTGCTCGCTCACAGCACTTGCCCCTGCAGTCTGCGAAGGCTACACGGGGGATCTTTGTCTTTGGTGTTGCCGGGTACGTAGACACGTGCCGGAGCTCAGTCCCGGCCAGATCTCCTATTTTGACGATCATTTAGAAGGGAAAAATACTGTAACGACGGCCGCGTTACGACTGTGTAACGATCTGTTAATGTTCGACGTTTCAACCGCGAATGGTGACACCACTAAGAGAAGCAAAACATAGACAACACGCCGTTGTAAATCGTAGTCTGGATAAGCGGCTCGTCGACAGTGCGGCACCCCGATTGGCCCAGACGCCCACGTGATGACCGCGGCTCGCGTTTCGATTGGCCAGAGATCCACGTTCGACGAATCGTGAGGCGGTAAACGAGCGCGCTCGCCTATCCGTTGTGCGGAATGTAACGGCGCGTGGACGCGAGTTTTTATCGGCCTTTAGTGAATGAAGGTAAACAAAAAGTCGCTTTAATCAATTACAATGTATAAAAATAAGCTTTAAATACGTGACTACATCAGATGGCCTGTCTATGTAACAAAGTGGCGCGTATCTAGTCGTTACAGAAACGCAGGATGGCAGTGGATTGTATGAAGTATTGCAATGTTGGTTTGTCTGGGCATGTTGTGTGTTCTGTAGTCGCTTCACTGCCACTCTGTACCGCACATCCAGATTGGTTGATCCACTGCTGGATGAAGGCTTTCCCCCTAACCTACGCGGACCGTGTAGGATACGTGACCATACTTCACCACGCTGGTCAGTGCGCGTCTGTGCAAGCGAGTGACATAGAAGTGCAGTACAACAATTGATGTTACTGCCCCTGCCCTCTGCTGCCCTACAGCAACCTGTTTGTGCATTGATGTCGCCCATCTGGTTACTGTAACAATCGTACATGACAACCCCGGCATGATATAGTGCCAAATATAAGGAGGGTACAAACAGGCACAGTCCGCGGTTGACACAGCCCATCATCCTGACGGGGTCGATAAATCAACTGTGTCGAAAATAGCAATTCCCTGGCAGTGTGGAATTTGCAGAACTGGAATCGGGGCCACATACAGAGACTGATATAACTTTGGACAGACACCTTGACTTGACTCAACCCATTATGCGGCTCCCCTAGGTCGACTCAGCCTCAAATGAGTACCTGTCGCGGTGTCGTAAACATCGCCACTGGGGAGACAAAGGCGCCCGGGCGTGATGCTGGCCACCCAATCCATCGTGTGCCGTGCCGGCCTTCATAAGTGCTCGCTAACAGCACTTGCCCCAACAATTTGTTGAGGCTATATGGGGATATTTTTGTCCATCATCTTGCTGATGTCTGGTACTAGTGGGGTCAAGATCAGACTCTGTGGAGGAGGCTCGTGAAGGACGCTGCTGGTGCTGCTACCGGGCAGTTTGGAGGAAGTCGCCTTCCAGCAACAGACGAGGACAGAGGAGCGACGGACGGCTAAAAAACGCAGAAAGTTGGCACATTGGGGAGGCAAAGTTGGTGTATCTGAAAGACATCTCGGTCAACCCGTGGCACCACCTGGGTCTGTTCCGTGACCTCTTGCCAGCGGGCCTTTTAACGCTTCACGTGGCCTCAAAGTGCAGCTAGCATGGCACAGACGTCACCGCCACTTATTGCCCTCTGACATTTTGGCCCATTGTCACCACCTCGTGGGCCGAGACAACCACAGACACTGCCTTTATCCTCATTTTTTGCGTTATGCCTCATATATATTTTATGGAAATGTGCTTGTGCGTGATACAAATGTTAAAATTTTTGTACAATTTTAAATGTGCATAAAATATAAAATCGTTCATACAGGGTGATCCGTTTATAGATACCTGGTGATTTCTATTGACTTTAGCTTTTGAATGGTATAAGCAAATCATATTGGCTACGTTGGAGTAAGTCTATCTGGAGAGTTCATATATATCAAGTGTATTGATACTGTGGGAGATATGCGGAAACTTTGAAATACAATGTTTGCTCTATATTGTACTATTGCTCCTCTCAATTTGTTTTAGTGGAGTATGTATTTTTAGTGGCGTATGAGTATGCATCTTTAAATTGATCAGGAATCATAAGCAATTTCAGTACCGCACTGCGTATATTGTTGTTTGGTGCCTACGGCGGAGAGTTGACCTCAAAATAATTGCCAATTCTGGATTGTTTCAGCCTGTTATCCCACTAGGGCAGTTAAGATGATGAAATTAGTATTGTTTGGACTTCATTTGTGATAGTCTCTATGAATAAACTGAGGTGAGCACCACTCAATGAGCGTTTGAGCACAGATCTTTTGATTTTGTCTTAAACCTGTGCTTTACTGTCATTCCAAACAGCACAATGTTGGAGGAAGACAAGCCCCCAGACCAACAGGACCCTCACAGAAGCATGGATAACCTGACCTCCCATCATATGCAGCAATCTGAAGACACACAGAGCAGCAGCAGCAGCAGAGACACCCCTCTGAGCCCCCATCAGCATTTATCAGAGACGTCCTCTGACACACAACCTCAGGACCAGTCAGAAGCCTCCCCAGACCACACAAGCGCACGGTTAGATACCCCGCTCACAGACGCCAAGGACGATGGTCCCTCGGTCTCTGACTCCGCTGGCCAGCCCGTATCCAAAAGCGATCCACCGCCGCTCATTGTCGGTGTACCACGCGACTCTCTGGAGGCCCTAGACATTCTGGGCGTGGACGTGACACGCATGCTGCAGCGGGTGGCGGCGAGCGGAGCACCGGTCAAGAGCCAGCAGCGCGGGGATCCGGACCTCTCGGCAGAGGACAAGGTGACGCTCCTGCGCGAGCTGTGGGCCGATCAGCCCGCGCGCTTCCTTGAGCGCTACCACGAGGCGCTGAGCGTGCGCGACCTCAGCTGCTTCGAGCATGTGACGGAGGAAGATGCCTACCTGGTGAACTTCTACCTGGAGGCCGTTCGCAAGAGGACTGAGCAGAGGGCCGGCACTGCTATTAGGAATAAGCGGTAACCGTTGATTGGTTCCCTCATTTGTTCACTTGGCTGTGCTGTGTTCTTTTCATTTTTGGTATTAATGGAACCTGGATTTGAACCAAGGTTTTCAGTCATGCCAGTTCAATTACTGTGGTAGTATCCCACAGCCATAAACCACATTGTGAGCATTATAAAAGTGTGATGTCCCCCGTGCCTGCACTGAAAGATGTTTCATCTTGACACTTTCTAAATTCAAATTATAGTGTGTATTTGAAAATGGTGAGTGACAGACAGACAAGTTGTAGTTAGATGGGCTGACAGAGAAGGCTGCCAAAGTTTAGCAGTCAGGATTATGGAAAAAGAGACGGTGCTTGTGAAACAAGCAGGTTGGCAAGGACACAAAATTCAAGCTGCACTGACCATCACATGGACATTTTGTTAACATCAATTATTAAAATGTGTCTCTTTGTAAAAGTGAACAGGCTTATTAGAAGGATAGAAGGTAGGTTATACCAATGCACATTTACAAATGTGGTGAAGTATAGTCCCCCCCCCCACCCATGCTGAACATATTGCCTGAAGAGATGATGGGTGATTGTCAAGAATAATAATGGAGTGGCAGCCAAAGAATGGAACGCACACTCCATCCAAGAGATGGAGTGATGAATGAGTTAATGTGTAGTTGCTAGGTGGATTATTACATTGGTGGATTATGAGAGGTAGTGGTGGCCCGGTTAAGTATACTTGCTGTATTCATTGGGTAATCTGGACAATAGGTAGCAGCAGCATCCGCACCATTCAGCAACTCTCATATACTTTGCCGCTGGCTGCGGGTTTGGCTTTCCCATCAGCCGGCATTCACATTGGCACAGCATGGTAGTTTCCGCTCTACGGCAGGATCATTATAACTCCTGTGGAGTATACCATTCTGTGTCCTGTTGTTTTGTTGTTGTCTATTTATGTCTTTGAATACGGTCGGCTTTATTTTCCAAATCTGGAATCTTTTCTGTTTTTAATGCTTTTATAATTCAACTTGTCAACCGTTTACGTATCATTATTTTAGTACCTTTGGTTGTGGATGAAATCGTCGTGTGAGGAAAGAAAACCGAGATTCTTTAAGAGGTTTGGAGAAAAACAGTTTGAATTTGGAATGCATCTCAATGCAACCACATCTCAAGATGCTACACAGAAGTAGGGGCACACATAATGTGGAAAAATGTGACTGAAAGGACAAAAATGAGGATAGGAAAATGTGTGACAGTGAAGATAAAGAGGGTAACAGCTATATAAAATATCACATTTCATTACACCAGCGCTGTCAAGGAAGATATTTGAATTGAGGAGGCAGTCAGTCCCAGACAACATTTTACAACCAGTGGTAGAGCACAAGCAGCTGAGTTTGTGAAACGCTGCCAGTGAGCGAGTTTGGCTCGATTTTTTAAGTCACCGGCAACATCCACGCTCACTGTGACCCTAAACCCACGGGGAGGTGACGTGCAGCTACAAGTGGTTTTAGGAAGCCACCGGAGCTATGCACTTTTGAATATAGATTAACAACTCGTTTATTTATAACTGCTTGTTGATCTGTTTAGTTTGTTGTCCTTCCTCCGTACCTCCGATTAGCACGGTTGGCTACGTACGGTGCAAAGAAGTTCAACATACATACATACAGACGTACGTTACGGTGAGCAGGTGTCACCAGCTTTCGCTAATTGCGTCATCCCCACGCCGCACCCTGCAGGTTCGCGGCACTGCGCGAGCTCGTGAACGCGGGTGAGTACTTCAGCGAGGAGTGCATGCGCGCGCGCGACCCCCTGCTCTACGAGCAGTGCATTGGCCGCTTCCTGTCTGAGGAGGAAGTGCTGGCACGCCGCAGCATCGCGACCGGCACCCCGGAGTCTCTTGCCGACGTCCTCATCGACGTCCACCAGGAAGTGGAGCTCCGGCGCAGGTGAGGGGTGGTGGTGGTGGCGGCAGCTGAATTGGTGTTGTGCATAAGTACATAATTAGGTTAGTGAGTCGATGGGTGAGTGGGTGTTTTACTTTAGAGGCCACATTGCAGGTGGATGCGTGGACAACTAGGTACTTGACTGCCTAATTTTTGTAAGTAGATGGGTAGATTGGTATATTGTGAAGTTTCAGGGTGAGTAATTTGTTTGTCAGGTAACTAAGTAAATGGGATGGTAAACAGCTGGGCAAATTGATAAGTTGGTCGTTTGTTTTGTAAGTAGATATGTTGGCAAATAATCAGAACGGTTGGTTGGTGAGTGAGTTTATAGGTAGATAGGTAACTACCTGGGTGGGTGATACTCTGACCTTGGTGTGTCCCTACTCGGCGCTCCACAGACTTCAGCAGCAGCAGGATGCGGAGGATGACATGGAGGAGGAGGAAGAGGATAGTGACGATGAAAACGACATGGACCAGAGAGAAGCCAGGCCGAATCAAGGTATGTTCAATCATTAGCATCACTGCGCTCATTCCAAAAGCTCCTTTTATGAGATTGAGCCGCCAACCAGAGGGCAATGAGGTGCCTACACAGGCTATCCGTATCATAGAACACATGCAGCACATACTATCAATCATTTTCCCAGAAAATAATAATTAATAATAAAAAAACATTATGGCTGTACAATAACAATTAAAAAATGATTTATGATGATACAGGGCTGATCGAATCTATTCTCAGGTCAGCTTTTCTCACAGGCCTACAACCAAGTCGCTCTAAATGCACCCAGCCTCGTCAGATCTTGAAAACAAAGCAGGGTTGAGCCGGGATAGCACTTAGATGGGAAATTGCCAAGCAATACCAGGTTTTGTGAGGCAGTGATAAGTAGGAAACTGACACTATTTGGACACATATGCAGGACTAGCTTTACTACCCGGCTTCGCCCGGGACTTGGATTCGCCACGCCCGGCCGCCTTTGTCCCCCCAGTGGCGATGTTCACACACCACACCAGTTACTCGTTTGAGGCTGAGTCGACCTAGGGGAGGTCCAGGACCGGTTCAAATAATCGTCACCGGTGGTGGCCGTGAGCGGGAATCGAACTCAGGTCGCCGGGTTCGTAACGCAGCGCGCGAACCACGATACTACTGCTCCCCTCTCCACACTTGCGCGCGCGTCCATAGGTACACATACACGCGCTTGCTGCAGACACACACAACTTTCAGGGTGCGTACAGCAGTAAACGAATGAAATAATAAAGCAGCAATGCTGCGCGAAGAACGCCTTAGACCTGCCACACATTTGCATGGCACTTTACTCGCGGAGGGTTGGGGGGGGGATGCGTAAGTGGGTGTAACCCGCATGCTTCCGCATGTGGGTTACATGACAGAGATGTGACGTCACAGTTCACTTGCCGTGCAAAATACAAAAGTCTATTTTTATAATTTTGCATGGTGTACAGTCTGGAAAGTACTCACATGGCAAATTTCATGTTTGTTGCATGTCGAGAAGTACGCTAAACATTTTGAACAGACACACATTCACGAATTTCCCTTTTATATATATAGATGAACAACAGCAGGAAAATTAAAAGTGTGTTGTTCGGATGAATGGAAGGAACCGGAGAGAGAGGAAGACTTAACAGAAGACGACATCAGAGATTTGTGCCAGAAAGATGCGGCACTACTTGAGCATATTGGCACGAGACGGAGGGGAGTGGAAACAAACGACGAAATGTGCATTGTACACCTACGGGCGATCTGCCCATGGATCGTGACGATGATGATGATGGCCAGATTTTTGTCAGCTTGGGCTGTAAGATGTCCAGGAGATGGCAGTGCAGCAGTGCGTTGTTAAATCTGCTTTCAGCGTGAGTGTTAACCCCTCACGTGCCTTGGTTTTCTCTGCGGTGCTCCGGTTTCCTCCCATAGTGATGGAATTAGCCAAACATCCCAATGCACACAACACTCCTGAAATGGAATGTTAAGATTCATCGAGGCTGTCCCGGATTAATAAATAAATCAATGATTAGACGTTTCCAGCAAAAATAAATGACAAATCAGTGAAGAAAATGCATTCGCTTTAGTTTTCTTCTAATTTATACGTATACATCACAAAACATAAAATATTAAAACATACACGAGTGGATCATATTTGTGAAAGACATATGTAGTTTGATATTAATGGGATACACATTGTTCGTGTCGTGTTAAGCTTTGATAATGATTTCCCGTGTTGACATGTCCCCTCTGCCCGTGGTCATGCAATATCACACAAACATTACACATTAAACCTTTCAGGCATTCTCCAAGAGAGGCCCTTCACTCTGCTACATCATTCCAAAAACCCTTCGGCATTCGTGCCAATTGATGCAATTTGCCTGCATGTGTTTTGACTGTAATGAATAGTAATAAAGATTGGTACATTATTTACGTGATAAATAATGACTTCCAATAATAGTTACGAGTATGGTTGTGAATTTAAAAATTTCATGCAAAATTATTATGAAAAAAATCAGTCGATCAGTTTGTTTCACAAATGGAAATATCTAACAAGAATAAAAGTCTTGCTCGGTGTACGTGTGTTTCTGTGTCTGTTGGGACATACTCTGCGATGATGGCCACGATGGTGGTGAGATGTTAACTATCTCGCCTTGTATACAGGAGGTCGTGGGCTCGATCCTGACCCTGACGCCTGCTGTATATTTGGAGTTTGCGTGTTATCCCCGTGATCGCATGTTTTTCTTCAGGTCCTTCGGTTTTTCCCTCCACATTTAGAATCAACATGCGTTTAGAGTATTTGGCTGCTATAAGTTTCCACGTGATTAGTCACTTCGTTGAGCTATGATTTGTGATAGCCATGTCGCTTCTAAAAAATACCTGTATAGCTCAGTGGGCCTTACCTGGTATTCTAATGAGTCCCACCCCTGGTACCCTATGATGACTTTTCACTGACCAGTGACACGTGAACGGACCATGCCGTTCATACTTGCCAATCGGTTCAGTCGTCACTGGATTACAATTACGATTTTACTGTGTACGAAATTGGTAATTCATTGATTTAAAAAGAGATTAATAATTTTATAATCGATTCACGACCTGAGTGACGCGTGAGTGACTGTAACCCCCCCCATCCCCCCGCCCTTTGCCATGTGCATGTGTAGGGTTGCCGCACTGGGGCTCGTGTGGACGGTCCCCCACTAGGGAGGAGGGCGCCGTGTCGTTGGAGGAGCGAGCCCTGCTCAAGGAGGAGTTTGTGAGCCGCATGTACCGCCGCTTCCTAGACGGGCATGACCAAGACTTTGATTACAGGTAACCCACCTGTGAGCTGTCACAATTACATTCACGCAGGGACGGTGGTCGTTTGCACGGATAGATTCACCACTGCCGTAAGGACAGAGTTGTATCCATTGGTGGACAGTATCAACCTTAAGTCATATGGCAAGATGTTAACTACCTTGCCTGGTATGCAGGATGGCGTGGGTTCAGTCCTGACCCTGACGCCGGCTGTATATTTGAAGTTTGCGTCTCTCTCTGATCAGCATCACGATGGCTAGGAGATGTTAACTACCTCGCCTGGTATACATGAGGTCGTGGCTTCAATCCCGACCCTGACGCCGGCTGTATATTTGGAGTTTGCGTGTTCTCCCCGTGGTCGCGTGGATTTTTCTCCGGGTCCTTCGGTTTTCCCCTCCACATTTAGAATCAACATCACGCGTTTAGGGTATTTGGCTGCTATAAACTTCACGTGATAAGCCACTTCGTTGAGCTATCATTTGTGGCCAGGTCGCTCCTGAAAAAGAGCTACATAGCTCAGTGGGTCTTACCTGGACAAAAAAAAAATATTTCATCGTTTTTTTATATATATTCCTTACCACCAAAGCCTCAAGAGTCTCAAGATTCACTGAGCCTCTTTATTAGGAGGTGAGTGTTTTAATCGGCACATCATCCTTACAGGCTCAATAAAGTGAGTATTGCTTAGTAAAGAAATCAACAGTAGTCATACTTTGGTGACACTTCTGTTCAGGGCTTCTACCTGATATGAATGACTACTGCCCCATTGCTTGTTTGAGCAGGGAGACAATTGTCTTTGAAGGTTGAGCGGTAAAGCTTAAAACACATTCCTGCGGAGGGAGCTGGTAGGAACGTCGGGTTGCTCGGTCAATGGCCAGAGTCAACGGCGGCGTGGTGTATTCCGCAAATATGGCCGACTGTGAGGGCGGGCACAAGCCGGCGTGAGTAGGTTAAACGTTGAGTTTTATAAGGCCACCACGGGGTGACCAGCCTCTCCCCACCCAGCCCCACCCCTCCCACCCCCCACCCAGCCCCACCCCTTCCACCCCCCACCCAGCCCCACCCTCCCCACCCAACCCCACCCTCCCCACCCAACCCAACCCCACCCCTCCCACCCCCCACCCAGCTCCACCCTCCCCACCCAGCCCCTCCCCACCCTACCCACCCAGCCCCTCCCCACCCTCCCTACCCAGCCCCTCCCGACCCTCCCCACCCAGCCCCTTTCCACTCTCCCCTCCCCACCCTGCCCCACACTCCCCACCCTCCCCTCCCCACCCAGCCCCTCCCTCCCCACCCAGCCCCTCCCTGCACGACGGACGGACACAATAATCCCCTTTGGGCTGGTGTAACCAGGAGGTTCCTACCAGTATTAATTGTAAGCATTGAAGATGCTCAAATCATCAACATAATTTGCAAAAAGTTTTTGACCACGTGCTTTCCACGCTCAAATAATGTGGCGGCGCTCAGCTCCCTGATCAAGATCCAGTGCTGGAAATTACACATTCTCAAGACGGTAGTTACATTCTCCATACGACGGCGGATGATTTACACAAAAGTAATATCGTAGTAGTTTTATTTATCTCCCACTCGCGCTCAGTGGGTGTGAGGAATTAATTTCTACATCACACCGCCGCCGTTACGTAACATTTACGAGACCGCGATTGAAGGTTTAATGCTCATCGGTAATGGCATGTGACCTTGTGCTGCTCGCTCTGCATGTTAGATGTTGGCACTTCTCTCTGCCTTTGCGGGAGGGCGGGCACAGTGGGCACAGAGGGGAAAAAATATACATTGTGACGTAAATGCAGAGAGAAATACGTGCAATTATAAAGATGAACAGCTTGCATGTCTCCTTCTACTCAGATAAATCATGCACCGTATGTACATACGTGCACACACTCATAGAATTATAATAAATTGCTGCTTCACTATATTGAACCAACGACCAAAAGTATAAAATTATAGGTGTGTAATGTTTACTTGAAGAAAAAAAATACACGAGATATACCTTTAAGCATGTTGCGCTGCTTAAAAACTAATAGTGTTATGGGGCCATGTGTTGTTCAAGAGCTCAGATTAAGGCCTAGAGCAGTTCACTGCATATCTAGCTTCCATTATCTACTGAATGGTAACCATTTTAGGCTGAGTCGACCTAGTGGAGGCCAGGGTTGTGGTTCAAATACCACTTGCATGTGCATGTCCCGGAGTCAAACCCATGTCACGTGTATTTTAGTACAGTGCCCTAACCACTACATTATCATATCCAACATTGTGTGCCGTGTATATATATGTAACCAGTGAGAAAGGTTGTTGAATTAGTTTTTTACGTGTATTATTCTTATTCTTGGTTCTTTCGGTAAAGTCACGTAGAAGGGAAATAATGTGAAATCCACACCTGATGATGATTGCTTGTGTTGCAGTCGAAACGTCGTGAGAATTTGATTGTTTTCTTTTGTTATTATTTTATTATTTCCCTTCTACGTGACTTTACCAAAAGAACCAAGAATATGAATCCCTGCAGTCACGAAAGCTTTAAATCAAAATTTAGTGTATTGCTCTGTTGCCAATTTCATTATAGTTTCATTTTTAGCCTAATTGTCATGAAACAGAGGATTCACTCAGACCTCTTACAGCTCATTGAATCTCTCTCTGTGTTAAGAGAGCAGCCCAGAGAGAGATAGGAGTACTGCTGCTCAGATACCTACCACCAACCTCCTTATCTACGGTTATAGGCGTGCTGCTTTCCCCACGTGCCCTGCTACAGAGAAACTCTTGTCGCGTGGCAATTTGTACTTGTTTTTCCTAGAAATGTAATTTTCCCCAAGTTAAGTGAAAAAAAAAACTAATTTACTATATTTTTTTCGTGATAATTGTTTGGTGCACGGTTATACCGCTGACCCGGTTGAGTGCATGAAGTAGTCGCTACACCTGGGAACCCGGTTTAATTACACGGGGCTGAAACCCGGACGCAAACCCAAGCCTCCCAGTGGCGCCGGAACAGCGCTCTGATCCACCGAGCCACCCGGCCACCCCGTCACTGTTTTCCACTGCTTAATTCGAGAGAACGTCTTTTGCTACCCAGTATTGCCTCCTTCCACCACATGAATGAATAAATAAACCACGGGTGGCTGGTTGTGGGTGGCTCTTGCCAGTGAAGTTGTTTGAGGAGTCAGCGGCACATCCTTGAACGACACAAAATATAAACATTTGGGATCGGTGGTCAACTGGGCTCATAATCAGCCCTCTGTGCCCAATAAAATATTAACAGTGGATGTACAACGGTGTGACTGGCCCCACTGTAAGAATGTGTAATGTACACCACTGGCTGGCGTAGTGCCACCGAACCAGGGATGAGCGCTGCCCTCTACTCACTTGAGCAGGGAATTAATCTGTCTTGACTGCCGCTGATTTGGTGAGGGCCAACGCATTGATGTTTGTGACCCGCCCCCTACTGGACATCCGTGAAAAAGAGCTTCGTGGCTCATCAGATTCATCCAGGATAAATAATGATTCTGATTGCGTGATGCAGCTCTGTGGATGACAATGCAGACTACGACAACTTGGATATTGTGGAGCAGGACGAGGAGGACCGCTACTTTGACGAAGACTGACAAGGCGCAGGTGAGCATTTGACCACCAGTCTCGTGTACTTGTGTGTGTGTGTGTGGGCTTGTGTGGGGAACAGTGGTTAAATACACATCACCGTCCCTGTGGCTACAGTGTTAACTGGGTGTAAATTGGATGTATATTTTGAATTGGTGGCTAAATCACCCAGAATACTCCAATCTTGACAGATCCTGGAAGCCACAAGTAGGCTTTGAGCCTAAATAATGCTTGGATGGGTGACCACCTTGCACCAAACGCAGGCTTAGTCGGCATTCTGGGCATTAGAGGGCACAGTGCAGCAAAATACATTGTTGATCTGCACTCCCCTTCCCACCTTCCCTGCCTGATGAATTAGATCCAATATCCATCACAGGGCGTAAGGTGTGGAGAGGCCCTAATCCTGCACTGGATTGACAGACAGGCTGTAACGTGTGACCATACACATGAGAAGAGAGGACACACAGGCACATCAGAGTAAGAGTTTGCTTTATTGTACAAGTACGAAAGGTTTTGCACCAACCCCACTAAGTATGCACGTCTCACCCGAATGCGCAGAGGACCGCCTGGCTCGAAGACCGCGTGACGTGCACACACGGTGCTGCATGAGCTCGGGGTGGCGGCTCCGATCCACGCACGCAGAGTTCCTGTGACGCCTCCAGCAGGCGAGGGCGCCCTGCGTCCTCACGGCACGGGGAAGTTCCGCCACCGTCGCCTATGGTAGCCGCACGTAAGATTGCAGGCACTGCACTGGTAGTGAGTTGCAAGGTTTGAAAATACTTCACCACCATCGCCGGTCAACAAACGCCGCTCAATAAAAGTCACCATCGGGAGGTCGTTCCAGCCCATGCCATTTATGCCAACACACCTTGTTATCGCTTCCTTCTACTAGATCTGGAAGCTGTTGAATAGTTGACACCCGATCTCCAAAGTGTGCACTTAAAGAGTATCCCACCATCTGGAATTAGAACTTTCCCTTTGTTGCTGACCTCCGCCTTGGTAACCTGCCCTCAACCATCTGTGCATGTGCATCACTCACCACAGCATCCTCTTAACGATTACATCTGCAATGCATCTAACACTGCTTCGTTTGAGGATATTGTGATGAATGTATGTTGGTAATTGATGCAATATATTTTTATTATCGTTTTAATGGTTATATATCTGCTACTGGTAAGATATTTCTATCATTGTTTGACATTCTCACCACCACCACACATTGAAAATGTCTCACGTGGCAATCTGACTTCCCTTGGTGCTCTCTTTTGCCCAAACCGATTATCCTGATTATCCTGATTATATATTTTTCATTAATTATGTATCCAGGAAACTCTGTGAAATGTTTAATATCATTTTTTTTCTTAAAGGGCCCTATTCGGAAATGGTTAGCCAATGTATCATTGGGCATCGGTTTATCATTGAGCATCGTTGTTCGACGAAGAGGGGCAACTTGGAAGAAGCCCCGTGCGAGGGTAACGTTCAACAATGAATCTCCATGAAGAGGTCAGCAACCTATTTGAGATACCGCCTCTTTCAGGACACCTTTCAGCCGTGATTGTGGTGATTTCATGACGACAATGACGATGATGATGATGGAGATGGCGAAATATTTTCAATCTGGGGTCAATGCAATCAGCTGGCTATAAATGAACAATGGGAAAACAGTGCCGTTGTGGATTCCCCTCTTAGGGCTATAGCTACATTAAGCTACTGGTAAATATTTCATACAAGTGTAATTATGTTAGATTCCATAAAAAAAATTGTAAAATTGCTGCTTGTAATGCAATCTTAATATCCGTTACACCATGACCGGCCATCGGTTTTGTAGAGTGATTCGTTTACTGTTGTTGACCATCAATTATTTTTTTAAAGAAATTTTTTTTTCCCTTTCTTTCATGAATGTATATTGTTTTAAAATGAAAATTCATGGTGTGTTTATGTACATTTGAGTTTTGCACGGAAATAATAAAATGGTTTGCCATAGGTGAACAGATTTGACTTCGACAGGAATATTGTGATGACTTCAACAATTAAAGCATCAAAACATTGTAATTTTAATCATGTGTTTACTGCTAATAAAAACATATATTTAGAATCTTAAAGCTTTCGTGACTGCAGGAATTCATATTATTTGGGTATTTCGGTAAAGTCACGTAAATAGCTTCAAATTAGTAAAAGTTAAACAAAAAACTACGTTTCGATCACAACACAAGCGATCGTCATCAGGATGACGATTGTTTATTTCGAAACTTTGTAGTTTTTTGTTTCTTTTATTTTTTTTTATTTTAACCTATTTACGTGACTTTACCGAAAGACCCAAATAATTGTATTTAGAATGTTTAAGCTCACAGTATTTCACCTTGCACTTCGCTTTTAAACAAGTTTGCGCTTCATACCAATCGATTGCTAAATTGTTTTACTTTTATTAATTCGTTGATGCATAACTTGTTGAAGTTGGGAGATTCATTGTCTCATTTGTTAACTCTTGAAGTGTATTCCGATTTCAAAATGCAGCTCGACGTGAAATGATACATTGCACAAGATGCGTACCAACACAAACCCGTGCAGCACACACAAAAGATATTAACACATTCGAAAGCTATTTGTACAACATAAATTAAACTTATTGCTGAGTCACACTGACCTGGTTTCATAGGTTGACTGCACTAGAAACTGCAACTTGTTTCTTTTAAGCGCATGTTCTTTTTTTGACAGGGCTTACACATAAACCAAACGACACACAAAGAACAGTTGTTGACTTTTGCTGGCACAGACTAATTAGGACTGGATACCCTTAAGACAACGGAAGAGTGAATTAGGCAGAATCCAGGGATTGGAGTGGTGGGGTAACGCTTGCCCCGCTGCTTCTTCTGCATGCCGCTGATGTATTGTGAAGGGCAACAGCTGTCAATTTGACATTGAGGTGATGGGAGCCAGACAATTGCGTCGGGTGAAGTGGAGAGGCGTTTCCTATCGCACCGATGATGCCTTCTTAGTACTTGTGGATCAGCTATTGAGACGTTATACGTTCCATGGTCTGTTCTGAGTGACCAAAAGTTTGCACGCACCGATTACCCACAACAACAGACCGTCGTTCATCTCACGGGCCATGCAGGATGGAGCTGGACTAGCTAGAATGTTCTGGCGCTGTCCGCCATGCAGAATGCCGTAAGGCAGAGGTGTGGACTCGAGTCATGTGACTTGGACTCGAGTCAGACTCGAGTCATGAATTTGATGACTTCAGACTCGACTTGGACTTGCATAACAATGACTTTGTTCCACCTCTGAGGTGTGGACTCGAGTCATGTGACTTGGACTCGAGTCAGACTCGAGTCATGAATTTGATGACTTCAGACTCGACTTGGACTTGCATAACAATGACTTTGTCCCACCTCTGCCGTAAGGTAGTTTCGCCGTCCTCAGTGAGAGGCTCACACGACAATTCAATAACCACTCCTCGCCGTACACTCCGACCTGGATTCATACAAGGCTAAGGCTGTAAATGCCTTATTATTGAGTCGACTAATAGGGCGGACAGGAGCACGTGCCTGAGGACATCTCAAGTATTCTCAGTGGAATGGAGCACGTGCAGTGAAGGCATCTTTGTTGAAAAATATTATTTCGACGCATTTGCATTCGTGTTCCAAATGATGGATTTCGAAAAGCCATCCATGTTAGCTGTGTCAGTATCAACAAGTATCTGCTGGATGTCATTTGTAAAAGAAATGAAAGCAAAACAATTATACGACAAAAATTGCCACCAATATTTTTCAAAATGTGGTCACAAGTAGAAAGCAGTCCTGCTGGTCTAATATTTGTGTATCTCGTCACCGCTATTTTAGGTCGATGCCGAATGACTTTTAAAGAGATGGAATCCACTTTTAGGCAGCCTTGGATCCTCGAGACGAGCCCTCAGCCTCAATGCAGGCCCGCGGCTATTCTCTCAGCGGTGTCACGGTGTGGCCTCGGTGCAAGGACTTTGTCTAAGAGGCTGCATCCTTTACGCTGGCCTCAGCCGAGACGAGCCCGCCGTGACACTGGCCTTGACCTAAACAACTCCCGGCATCGGCCTGGGCTTGACATTGTAGCTATGCCAGTCTCGATTTTGTGGCTTTCGGCCTTGGCCTTTTGGCTTTCATCGTTCACATTAAATGCTATCGCCTCATTTGGGCCTCGAATCCAAGACTGCCTGAAGGTAAGTTATGGCTTTCGATGCACTTAAGCTGCCACAAATCTATGCGCATTACCCTGTGGCATTCGTTTGGACAGGCAGCTGTGTGAGTCAGAGACTGGGCAGGCTAACTCTTTTTTTAAATCTCGCAGCTCGCCTTTGAAACCAGCAACACAACCGACGTTATATAAATAAGTGTGTAAAGGCAAAGGTCTGTGCTCTTCACGCTGTGCGTCCACCAACTGCTGCAGCCTGACCTCTTCATGAAGGGTTTTAGCAAACCGTTCTACGGTGACTAAAAAAACAATCACAACAGATGAGAGAGTATCGTATCAGAAGTTGCTTCCAGTTTCGGACCCTGCCAATCATGGGACTCCTGGGGGAGGGGGAGCGGAAGAGACACACACAGATACCACGGGGTTCTCGAAAGGTGAAGAGTGCCCTGGAAGGTTCCGTTCAGATCTGTACACCATCATCATCACTACTCCCGCCGTAAATCCAACCGAGTGTGGTGGCACTTGTGTTTAGTCGGTTAAATAATATTTCTTTTTGGATACTGGTTATAAGGGAATCGCGGTGTAAAAAAAATTCTGAACATTTCCCATAAACTGTCCATGTCGCCGGCTTTAGTTCACCGGGTTGTACAAATGGTTTGTATATTTTTGGGTCCACTTTTATACAAAAGGAGGGAGCGAGGCAGCATTTAGCTCCGGTGTGCGCACAGCCTGCAACGGAATAGGGGGTGAGGGAAGTTGTTGGGATGTGAATGCAGTGCACCAGTCACTGCACACGCACGCACACACAGAGTCTGTTACTTAATTCACGTTGGCTCAGTGCCGCCACTCCTTTCTATCCCCACGCGAGGTTCTTTTTTAGAAGAAAAAAAAACCGTAAAAGGAGAATATAAAATTTGATTATATTTTTGGAGCTCGATCACAAAGCCTCCGATCAATAATGCTCTTTACAGTTTGGATTGGGCCCCCTCCCAAAGTTGCACGACACAAAAGGGTTGGGGGGGGGGGGTTAAGGTGTAAAGATAAATACGTTAAGAATCTACGCATGAGTGATGGCAGATATACAAAGGGAACAAAAATGCCACGGGGGGAATCTGCTTTCCCTCCAGCCACGCCGAGAAGATTTTGCTAAAATAGTTAAACTTGGCATCTTGGAAAGGCAATTGGCCATCCGTAACCAGTCCAATGCGTGAGCGTGCCGCAGGTTTTAGTCTGAAGCGTAGCACGCAGCGGAAGGCAACTTGAAAGGGTTTGCCTGCTTAGAGGTAGTTACTGTCTGAGTTTAAGAAAACAACGAAACATCTCATGATTTAAACGGTCGGTGAAGCGCCACTGAGCTGCACGCGGCTCGTTCGGAAGATGGTCCCGGAACGCAATCTTCTGGACCAGCTCGTTAATCGCAGACACATTTGGCCATGACACTGAGACACACACACACACAGTGTGTACGTTGAACTTCTGGGTTATCAGAGACGTCCGTCTGGTGGATTGGCCCTGGTGGGAACAATTGGGTGGCCCACGCGTTCGCCCGACGTAACCCCACCGGGTTTTTATGTTTCCTTGTGGGATCACATCAAAGGCCCCTGCGTGGGTGTGAGGGTGTGGGTGAGCGGTGGTGTCACCTCGGCCTTCGCATCATTAAAATGTTGAGCAAATCACAGCACCTGTGTCTTCACAACACTCGTGAAGATGCGCATTGCGCCCACAAGCTCGACGGCGCTGGGGGAAATGCGGCCGGAATTTTAATTGGTGGTCGAGCACAACCGTACGTGTGCAGTTCTTTTGGAACTGGTGGTTTCGCATCAGGGCTGAAGGCGTTTGTACACGCAATGCGCATCCGCGAGTGTTACACCGGTTTGTCTGCCACGGCCTGTGCTCATTTCTAGATGTTGTACGGAGTTCGTCGGGGGAGTGTCACAGGATGTGAAGAGCGCACTGGGATCTGTCGGAGACGTGCGGAGGCTTTGAATTACAATGTTGCTCTTCGTATAAATTCTACCTATTGTTTCAGATGGGTATATTGAAATGGATCACCCTGTTTAACCCAGACAATAACGTGAGCTTAAGGTCACTGTTGAATTGGACGATGTCCTTGCAGTGTTCTGCCATTATCATCGTACCTGTAGGTTCCCACTGCATCTCGGTCCAGAATTCTGACCGGTCGAGCTTGTGTGTATGTATATATGTTGAACTTCTTTTGCACTTTACGTAGCCAGCCACTGGAGCTGTGCACTTTGAAATCTAGACTGAAAACTCTTTTCTTTAGAACAGTTTTTGTGTGTTAGTTTGTTGTCCTTCCACATACCTCTGATGAGCACGGTTGGCTACGTGCAGTGCGAAAGAAGTTCAACATACATGCATGCGACCGTGCTTATGTAAGGTGCGGGGGAAGGACAACAAACGAAACACAAAAAGCAGTGAAGCAGCTTAGGCGGTGAGTGGGTTAATTTCTGCCAGACCACCCAGCCACCCCTTGACGTATGAGTTAAGACAACGCTCTGCATTTTTGTTTTTACTATTCCTCTGCTTTGCACACAATAGATTCGTATTAAAAGTAGATAAATCCTCCAATTTTAAACATGTAACGATGCATTAAGTATAATCGATTGAAATAATTTCGGTGACGATACGCGCGTCGAATCGTGCGCGTAGGAACAGATTCGTTTCTGTTCGTCAACATTGCATGTGACTGATTCTACCCACTCGTGCTTCTGGAAGGCATTTAAGATTCCAATTCACTCCACAATGATTAGAAATTGAGTCTTTCTTGAAATTCATTGTTGGGGGTTTAATCGTTACATGCCTGTAAAAGGTGTCATAAGCACGCATACTGCACAGGTTTTGCAGTAATCTCTGCAAAACAGATCACAAATTGGCTTTCTTTTGGTGGCAATGGCTGTTTTTAGGAAATATAACAAAAAAAACATCACTCTACATCCCAAGTGGTGAAAGAGGTCCATAACTCAGATGGCACTGGAAAATCGAAGATGATGCCCAGACCTTCTTTGTCTTCCATCTGCGCGGGGAACGCTTTGACTCCGTGGGCTCGGTTCGTCACTGCGTTGCGACTGCCTCCGGTCGCGACTCTGCGACACAAAGACCTCTTGCTGGGGCTCTTCCCTGTGCCCGCGCAAAGCTGACACCGCAGCAGGAGGCTGGCTCCCGCCGTCGCGATGCTGATTTTCAAACACCGGCTCTGGACCTCCAACAGAGGCGCACGCTGCCCCATGCTCGGTTGACCGTTGAGACTCCGACTTCTTTGTTGTGAACGGCAGCGCAGAGCTGGCGTATAACTCACAAAGTCCGGCTTTAAATCGCAGTGAGCCGCGTCCGCAGAGGGAACGCCGTATCCACCGCCCGGACGCAGGTCAAACCCTGACCCTACACCCTTGTCTGGCGATACGAGCGGCTGCTGCCCGATCCTCCCTGGCTGCCGCTTCCCGTTGGGTGCGCGTGGTGATGCCCGGCCTGCGAGTGCACGTGGCCGGCGCCTGCCGCCGCCGACGACGACGCCGACGACGCCGACGGCGGAGGGAACGCGAAGGCCGTGGCGCCGGCGGTCGTGCCGGCGGTGGCGCCGGCGTGCGGCTCGCCGTGGTGCCCCGAGTGCGGCGCCGCCGGCGGCGGGGGCGGCGTGTGGCCGGAGCTCGACTCGGAGCACAGCTGCGAGCGCGAGAGGCTGCTCTGCAGGGCGGCCGGCATAAGCCACTCGCGGGGCAGGAGGCTGCGCAGGAAGGGGATGCAGGAGCTCACGTGCGCCAGGCGGTTGACCCAGCGCGGGATCTCCCTGCCGCACAGGATCTGCACGCGCACGCAGAGGTCCCGCATGGGACCGGTTGTGACGGTGAATGCCATTCGAGGCGCGAGTATCGAACCGCAGCGAACAGACGTTCGCAGTCCGAGCCAGGCCGCCGCCCTGGTTAATGCTGCGGGGGTATTAACAATAAATATGCACCCCGTCTGCTTCACCTCCGATTAGCACGGTTAGCTTACGTACGGTGCGAAATAAGTTCAACATACATTCATACATTCGCAGTGAACATTAAATTTCCCGTGGCATCATTCGCAAAAAGAGTAGGCCGCATGCGTTGGCGGTGTTATGGTCCAAATTTTTAATGTTACAAATTACTTTCGTTGGGTAAAACCGCATTGCAAGGTCGCCGCTTATTGGCAGACTGGACTCGCCTGTAAAACATAGCACCCTCACGATTGCCTTGCGACTTCATAGTGGAGCAAATACCAAGCGCACTTTGCTATTGTTCATTTGAAGGTCGTGAAAATTTCAGTGGATGGTTTTGAATTTGGCCATCATTCCTGCAGAGGTAATGCCAATCATATTGTATTTATCAGCGTGAAGCCACGGGTCAAAGACACGTCCTTTTTGGAGCGTGTGCAGTAAGCAGTGCACCACGGCGCGGAGACGTTCGTTGTTGCACCAGCATCGTGTCGCTCGTAGCCGGACAGGCGCTGCGTTAACCGAGCTCCACGTCGTGACAATGTTTGCGTGCGGGCGATGGTGAACAAGTTGAGACTATCACACTCGCCACGCTGGACACGCCGACTACTCGAACCCGAGATCGCGGCAGTGCCGGCTTGGTGATCCGACTCGGCGATTGGCGCCGTGAGCCACTCGGCCACTTCCACGGGTACCCGCTTTGTACCCACTTTGGATAGCCCCTGTAATGGGAACGTGGAATTTCCAATACTTTTTCCAATACTTGCTCAAGGGCACTAACCAAAGGATCGGTGTTGCAAATGCTCATTTTAGTGGACTCTTTAGATTGTTTATATTTCATGTGAGGTATGAGTGGGAGGGTCGGCTGACAACCTGCAGGCAGGAACACGTGGCCATCTGCTGTCTGGTCTCAAATCACCCCACCCCCTCACCCACCCTCCCCCATATCACAGCAGAAGGCAAACTTGGAAGACCCCCCCACCCCCCGCATATGCTCTCTGTTTTGTGGGTATTTGCTGTCCGATGAATTGGGCCAGTGTAGCATAGGAGGGCACGATGGCCGGTGGTCGAGACTAAAACTAAACAATTTTTTTAAATGTAAATTTACCAAGGCCCACTGAGTTATGCTGTATAGCTCGTTTTTGGAAGCGACCTGGCCACAAATGATAGCTCACGTTTACATTTATAGCAGCCAAATACTCTAAACGCGTGATGTTGATTCTAAATGTGGAGGGAAAAACCGGAGGGCCCGGAGAAAAATCCACGCTACCACAGGGAGAGAGAGAGACACACACAAACTCCAAATATGCAGTCATCAGTGTCGGGATCGAACCCACGACCTCCTGCATGCCAGGCGAAGTAGTTAACATGTCGCCACTGTGGCACCGCACACGTTAGTCGAATCTAATGCTGGAGTGGCAGCCAAAGGATGGGACGCGCCTGGGAGGACATCCACTGCATAGGTGAAAGCAATGAAATCTTCTCTCGTGCAGGAGCTCGGTGATTGGTTACAACACAGGACCACGATGGATCGAGACGGCTTGGGGAGGAAGGCCTTCATCCAGCAGTGGATTGCTCATGGCTAATGATGATGAGAGAGTGCATAACCATCTAAAGTGTCAGCACGTTGTAAACTAAACTGTCGTTTCTCTCGACAAAATACAGTACACACAGAAAAGTTAAACGAACAGCACATCTTTCCCTCAACAAATTTGTCCGATCGGTTCAATATTTTTTGGGAAGCAGCAGCTAAAACATTAATGCGTGGCGGAACTGAGAAGCGTTGCATTTTTAATGACGTTCCCTCTCTCCGCCTTTTCCCGCCCCCGCTTAAATTAACATGCGCTGCTTATAAATCGATTGGGGGGGGGAGCTGAAATAACTCAGATGGGTTTATATAAAGCAGGCTCGCATTACGAATTTACGATTGCAGTTTTGACTTTTCAAGAGGGATGGCTGTGGTCAGCTGTGTTCATCAGTTTAGAGCAGCGACGCCTTCCCCCCAATTGTGAATCACAAATTCGTTGACGTTTCAAACGCCTCCGCCACAGGAAAGATTCACTGCGCCAACGAGTTCCAAGACGTTTTTTTTTCAAGTGGCCGCTGCTTGGGATGGTTTTTGGTGAACGAACCCCCATTTTTGGACGTGGAAGGGAATGGAGCGCCCAGAGTGCGTGGAAAACAAATGGCAGCTACGTACATTGAAACTCTTTCCTGTTCCGATGACGACTGCAAGTCGCAGGACAGGTGTCACCCTTCACCGCCGAATCTCGGAACGCGCGAGCGGCTCAGCGTTAATTTATTTAGAGAGGCGTAGCGTTGTTGTTTTTAAAGACGTTGTACTCACCACAGAGAACTGTAGCGACCCGACCACACTCTACGAAAACTGCTGCCAAACTGTGCCACACGTCCTCCCCGCATGGCCTTTTCCTTCCGATTCCAGAATCGCAAGAAAAACGTACGTACGTACATGTACGTACGTGTTCGTCATCGGAATGGGAAAGGGTTAACAACCTACTTGCTCTACTACTTCATGATTCGCTGTGGCTCTCAACCATGTGGTGACCGACCAACCCCGCCCATTCTCCACTGGCACATCCATGCCGAGCCAGCCCAGCCCAGGATTCCTCACGGTTTTTTTGTCCCTCCCACTGGCTGTTTGACTTACCGAGCAGGAAAACCAAGATGGTGATGCGCTGCTGGTCTCACAAGACACCTCAATCTGGCTCCAGGGGCCAGGCAGGGCCAGGGGTGGGGGGGGGGCTAATGAGACTTTCACCGCACACGACGTCAGCCGGTACAACTCGAACACAGCAACCATCATGAGCTCCATGGGCCACCGTCTACCAAACTCTTGTGTTCAAACCGCCGCGCTGCAGGTCACAGCACTTCTGATGAGTACTTCCCTGCGAAAGAAGTTCAACGTGCATACGTACGTACTTCTCTCACAGCGTATTCCCTTGCACTGCTCGACTTTCACATTCCCTTGCATCGTCGCGTCTCCCAGGTGCTTCACACCTCGCTCGATCCAAGTAACATGCGCACTCTTTACGTATTACTACTGCAACAGCGACGTTTGGTTGCTGGATACTCGGTGTTTGGGCCTTTGGGCAACTGTGCTCAGTATAAATTAATAAATAAACACACATCCGCACCTCGGCCAGGCCGGCGGTAAAGTGGTTGCAGTTCTTGTTGATGAGGTGGTAGGCGTTGCCTTTGAAGTCCTTGCCCAGCTCCTCCACAATCTGGGCGACGTCCTCCTCCGCAAAGTCGGTGGTGCCCAGCATGATCGCCTCCCTGGGGGGTGAGAGGATAGCGGTCGGTGGGCCACGCGTGCGTGACCACGGTACGTGCTGTTGCTTGAATGAGACTGCTAAATCCACACCACTGGATAACCCACCTCCTCTGCTAAATCCACGCCACTGGATAACCCACCCCCTCTGCTAAATCCACACCACTGGATAACCCACCCCTCTGCTAAATCCACGCCACTGGATAACCCACCCCCTCTGCTAAATCCACACCACTGGATAACCCACCCCCTCTGCTAAATCCACGCCACTGGATAACCCACCCCCTCTGCTAAATCCACACCACTGGATAACCCACCCCCTCTGCTAAATCCACGCCACTGGATAACCCACCCCCTCTGCTAAATCCACGCCACTGGATAACCCACCCCCTCTGCTAAATCCACACCACTGGAGAACACACCCTCCCTGCTAAATCCACACCACTGGATAACCCACCCCCTCTGCTAAATCCACGCCACTGGATAACCCACCCCCTCTGCTAAATCCACGCCACTGGATAACCCACCCCCTCTGCTAAATCCACACCACTGGATAACCCGCCTCCTCTGCTAAATCCACACCACTGGAGAACCCACCCCCTCTGCTAAATCCACACCACTGGATAACCCACCCCCTCTGCTAAATCCACACCACTGGATAACCCACCCTCCCTGCTAAATCCACACCACTGGATAACCCACCCCCTCTGCTAAATCCACACCACTGGATAACCCACCCTCCCTGCTAAATCCACACCACTGGATAACCCACCCCCTCTGCTAAATCCACGCCACTGGATAACCCACCCCCTCTGCTAAATCCACGCCACTGGATAACCCACCCCCTCTGCTAAATCCACACCACTGGATAACCCACCCCCTCTGCTAAATCCACACCACTGGATAACCCGCCTCCTCTGCTAAATCCACACCACTGGAGAACCCACCCCCTCTGCTAAATCCACACCACTGGATAACCCACCCCCTCTGCTAAATCCACACCACTGGATAACCCACCCTCCCTGCTAAATCCACACCACTGGATAACCCACCCCCTCTGCTAAATCCACACCACTGGATAACCCACCCTCCCTGCTAAATCCACGCCACTGGATAACCCACCCCCTCTGCTAAATCCACGCCACTGGATAACCCACCCCCTCTGCTAAATCCACGCCACTGGATAACCCACCCCCTCTGCTAAATCCACGCCACTGGATAACCCGCCTCCTCTGCTAAATCCACACCACTGGAGAACCCACCCCCTCTGCTAAATCCACACAACTGGATAACCCACCCCCTCTGCTAAATCCACGCCACTAGATAACCAACCCCCTCTGCTAAATCCACATCACTGGATAACCCACCTCCCTGCTAAATCCACTCCACTGGATAACCCACCCCCTCTGCTAAATCCACGCCACTGGATAACCCACCCCCTCTGCTAAATCCACACCACTGGATAACCCACCCCCTCTGCTAAATCCACGCCACTGGATAACCCACCCCCTCTGCTAAATCCACGCCACTGGATAACCCACCCCCTCTGCTAAATCCACGCCACTGGATAACCCACCCCCTCTGCTAAATCCACACCACTGGATAACCCACCCCCTCTGCTAAATCCACGCCACTGGATAACCCACCCCCTCTGCTAAATCCACACCACTGGATAACCCACCCCCTCTGCTAAATCCACACCACTGGATAACCCACCCCCTCTGCTAAATCCACGCCACTGGATAACCCACCCCCTCTGCTAAATCCACTCCACTGGATAACCCACCCCCTCTGCTAAATCCACGCCACTGGATAACCCACCCCCTCTGCTAAATCCACACCACTGGATAACCCACCCCCTCTGCTAAATCCACGCCACTGGATAACCCACCCCCTCTGCTAAATCCACGCCACTGGATAACCCACCCCCTCTGCTAAATCCACGCCACTGGATAACCCACCCCCTCTGCTAAATCCACGCCACTGGATAACCCACCCCCTCTGCTAAATCCACGCCACTGGATAACCCACCCCCTCTGCTAAATCCACACCACTGGAGAACACACCCTCCCTGCTAAATCCACACCACTGGATAACCCACCCCCTCTGCTAAATCCACGCCACTGGATAACCCACCCTCCCTGCTAAATCCACACCACTGGATAACCCACCCCCTCTGCTAAATCCACGCCACTGGATAACCCACCCCCTCTGCTAAATCCACACCACTGGAGAACACACCCTCCCTGCTAAATCCAAACCACTGGATAACCCACCCCCTCTGCTAAATCCACGCCACTGGATAACCCACCCTCCCTGCTAAATCCACACCACTGGATAACCCACCCCCTCTGCTAAATCCACGCCACTGGATAACCCACCCTCCCTGCTAAATCCACACCACTGGATAACCCACCCCCTCTGCTAAATCCACACCACTGGATAACCCACCCTCCCTGCTAAATCCACGCCACTGGATAACCCACCCCCTCTGCTAAATCCACGCCACTGGATAACCCACCCCCTCTGCTAAATCCACGCCACTGGATAACCCACCCCCTCTGCTAAATCCACACCACTGGATAACCCACCCCCTCTGCTAAATCCACGCCACTGGATAACCCACCCTCCCTGCTAAATCCACGCCACTGGATAACCCACCCCCTCTGCTAAATCCACGCCACTGTATAACCCACCCCCTCTGCTAAATCCACGCCACTGGATAACCCGCCTCCTCTGCTAAATCCACACCACTGGATAACCCACCCCCTCTGCTAAATCCACGCCACTGGATAACCCGCCTCCTCTGCTAAATCCACACCACTGGAGAACCCACCCCCTCTGCTAAATCCACACCACTAGATAACCAACCCCCTCTGCTAAATCCACATCACTGGATAACCCACCTCCCTGCTAAATCCACTCCACTGGATAACCCACCTCCTCTGCTAAATCCACCCCACTTGATAACCCACCCCTCTGCTAAATCCGGCCCTGGTCATGGTGCTTACTGGATTGACCACGTGGCATTGTGTGTAGGAGCGTGGGGAGCTGCTCACTTGAACTTGAACGTCTCCCCCAGCTCTGCGACGTCTCCAGGGACGATCTCGAACACGCCGCTGAACGGGTACGGGTGGCCCCCGTACGCAAACTCTGCACCCACATACGGACACGTCGGGAGTCGAATCGCTAGTGCGGGTGGTGGCCGCGCCGTGCCGTTCCCGCGGTGAAGGACCGCGCCGTTGTTTCATGGACGATTCTAAACCGCGAGAGTTTCACCATAGGGGGGCCATGTCGCCACGTGGTTTTACCCAATTATGGAATTGTCGGGTAATTTTCAAACTCGCCAAATGTTTGTTACCATGATTGCCAGCAGACATGGCCTACTCCTTTAATTTTTGTTTACGAATAACTTCACCGGACATTTTAACGTCCACCGGTGCTGCGGACGGTGCGCACCTTCTGTTGAACGGCCGCCCGGAGGATTAGCCAGCACGGCCGCTGGGCTCGAACCGCGAACTTTACGTGACAAGCTGCAAGCGCGCTCTACCGTTTGGCCGTGTCCATACACCAGCCCAGTCGCACGTGCATTCGCACGGAGGTGACCGGCTGGCTCAGAGGTCAAGAGTGGCATGCCGACACTTCCGCAATCCTGGGTTCGAATTTCAGGGATCGGCGATTACAACCGGGTTCTGAAGTGGACAGTGAGTTGATGGTGTCAGCCCGCTCACCAATGAACTGCACAAAAGAACAGTCACAATTTCATCTCGATTGGTGTCAAATGGTGAGACGTAAAAGACTCCATTCGGAGCTGACACAGGACAGCCCACTGAAGCGGATACCACAGAGCTACGTCTGAGATCCCTTTGAGTGACCTACAGTCCATACAGTAAGGGGCAGCACTTTCCTACCCGCCTTGTCATACGAGGGTAATGTTTGTCGCATAATAATAATAATAAACTTTTATTTTTTATTCTAAGAGCTAGAAATTTAGTCACGATAAAAAATACGGAACCAATTTTGAAAAATGTTTTCCCTTGCAGATACTGATGACTAGGCTGAAACGTAATAACAATAGACTCAAAGTGCTGTACACCAGCAGTAAAAAAACTGCAAATATTCAAATAAAACACTGCCACAGCAGAAAAAAAAATCTATTTCAGAATACAATAGAGCCAAGGATAAACCCAAAATAGAAACTTGGGCAACCATCAACACTTTAACACTTGAGAGCCCGGTTTATTTAGGGGCCGTCCATAAATGACGTCACGCGATTTTGGACGATTTTTGACCACCTCCCCCCCCCCCTAGTCACACGGCGTCACAAAAAGTCAGACCCCCCCTCCTCAAATATGACGTCACAAAGCTCTGCCCTCCCCCCAAAAAAAAACATGCTTCAAATCGCTTTAAACTATTGTCATTGTAGTGCGTATTTAATGCGCCGCTGCACTCTGATGTGACGTCACATTTCTCAACCCCCCCCCCCCCCTTTGTCACACATCGTCACAAATGTCTGACCCCTCTCCCCCCCCCCCTAGGTGTGTGACGTCATTTATGGACGGCCCCTTACGGGCGGCCGGGATCTCTCGGCGGTGCGGCTCAGTGAGTGTGAGACGTCGTCTCTTACCACTTCACAATAGTCTAGGGCAGGGGTCGGCAACCAAAATAACAAGAAGAGCCATTTCTTTCCAATTCGGTACAAAATTCAGTATTTCAAGAGCCGCGATGCATCTGAGTACATACTGTACATATCGTCAAGAAGCAGCCCGTAAAGAGCCGCATGCGGCTCCGGAGCCGTAGGTTGCCGACCCCTGGTCTAGGGGGTAGCGGCACAGGTGCGTGGGTGTCCACTCACCTCGCCCGTACACCTGGATGCCCGAGTGAAAGATGCCGATGCCAATGGTGGAGGTGTACTCGTTCATCCAGTACTGGAGTCGGGGCACACGCACAGCAAGCAGACGCTCCGGTCAACCTCATAGGGCAAAGGGCAGGGCTGGAGAAACCTTTTACATACTGCGTGGCTGAATGCCACCTTGACACATCTTGGGGCGATCCCACATTAGGATGGGGCCGCCGGGGTATTGCAGGGGTGGGGATGTTAACTGCCTCGTCTGGTATGTAGGAGCTCGGGGGTTCGATCCGGACCCTGATGCCCGTATGTGTGGAGTTTGCACGCTCTCCCCATGGTCGCGCGGATATTTCTTCGTGTCCTCCGGTTTTTCCCTCCAAATTTAGAAACACGCATTTCGAATATTTGGCTGCTATGAATTTCCACGCGATAAAGCCACTTCGTTGAGCTATCATTTGTGGCCAGGTCGCGTCTGCATAAGAGCGATATAGCTCAATGGGCTATATAGCTGGTATAATAAACAATAGTTTATAAAAACACACAGCTGAGCCACTTTTGGCAGTGCACAAATTAGAAACACAGAGTGTTGTTACCAGGTCGAATCTATTTCCCCTCTTAGTACCCGATCAGCGCGGCTCAGATGCTTGCAGCGATGGATACATTTCGTTTGCCGACAGTTTCGATGCGGGTGACCTCATGCGGCTGCAGGCCGTGTGAAACGAAGTTCAACCCGGTGGTAGCTTCCGCACCACCGCTACAGAGCACAGGGAAACCACTGCTGTTAGCGAGCTCCTATTAAGACTGACATTACAACAGGATGGGGTGGCATAACCCAGGCCCACGTATAAGCATTCAACTTCGTATTATCCCCTACTTTATTTCAGCTAAGTTTCTTTGCAAAAGGATCAGGCCACGTTCGTATTCCGCTTGACATCGATGTGCGTGACCGCGACAACACTCAACTCGCCGGGACTGTGCCGTGGTGGCATGGTCGGCACGGTCCACTTGCGATCCAGAGGTCGCCGGTTCAATCTCCCGGCGTGGCAGTTGGTGCAATGGGGCAGGTTTCTTGCAAACCTCTGTCCATCCAGCATTAAAAATGTACATTTATGACAAATACAAAGATCCCTCGTGTAGCCTTAACAGACTGTTGGCGGCAAGTGCTGTTCACGAGCAGGCTGGCATGGTTCACGAGGAGGTGGGTGGTCAGCACCACGTCCGGCCGCCTTTGTCTCTCCAGCAGGGATGTTTACACACCACACCAGTAACTAATTTGAGGTTGAGCCGACCTAGGGGAGGCGGCCCAGGACCGGTTGAGATGTCGCAATCGTCTCTGGTGTTGACCGTGCGCGGGAATCGAACTCGGGTCACCGGGTTCGTGGCACAGAACGCTAACCACTGCACGACAGCTTCCCACATTCATACGAGTGCAGCAAACACTTGACATACATTTGTAACATGTACAAATTGGAACACGCAGACATACATAATACACAGTCATACACATGGAAGCACGTACGTGTCTGCTCATGCTGCGTGACAATACCTCAGGATCAGCGTCTATATTTAGTCATCACAAGACGCACGCACACGCAGAATGTACTGCTTTGTGGATGGAGACGATCACCTGGGAATCCACAATCCACGCGCATTAATGCATGCAGGCGAGCAATAGCACGCACGCACAAAATGGATCTTCCCAAACGCAGCAGCGTCCTCCACACAACGAACATCACTTGGCTAAACTCGGAGCGCTCAGGGCGGGAGATTATTGGAGGTTGGTTTACGGAACAAAAGCTTGTAAATATCTATAATGGGCAGCGTAGGGGGAGCGGTGATGACAGATGGAGCGCCTGGCCGATTGTTCCACGGAAGCCCCGCGTCCAGGAATTGATTCGTGGGAATTCGAAGGGAAAAAAAAATGTTGCCGGACATTTACACGACGAACTTGCTCGGTCAAACTGGGGCATCGTAATGAGATTGGCAAAACTCACGCCTGATCCAGTGGCCAGATAGCGTTGATCCGCACCCGGTTCGCTGTGTCGTCTCCTGGATCCTTGCCAGTCGTCCAGATGGGCCAAAGTGCCCGCAAGGAAACACTTGGCATGTGGTAATAGATAGCGATCGTGACCTTGTCATTTTTAGCGTTCAAGTGCTGCGGTTATGGCGGTGCGCTTGCGATCCAAAATCAGACGTTGATATTATCCGAGTGAATTTCCCTACTGAGCTATGCGGCTCTTTTTCAAGGATGATCCGGCCAGCAGACAGACACGGCAGCAAGAGTTCATAAACGCGATATAAAATATCAACAAAAATATAAATAAAGTCATTCGCATATGTACTGTTTCACTTCGCTCTGATCCAGAGGTCGCCGGTTCGATCTCCCGGCACGGCGGTTGAAACAAATGTGCCAGTTTATTATAATCTCCCCCCCCCCCCAATCCTGCCTCTATCCACCCAGCCGGTATAAATGTGCGCACCACAGTTCATCGATTGGCAGGCCGCAGTGTGGTGGGGCAAAGTGTGGGTATTCCCACTCCTGCCAAGACGTCTGTCCCAGCGTGGAGGGGCGGCGCCACACGCCCTGAGCGGGGGGAGCTCTCTATACGAGAGCCGCTCTCGCGTGGAGGCTCTTCCGCCAGCAGGGGCATGAACAGGCCATTGCGGGGCTGCGACTTTGCCGCTTTACCCGTTGTATTTACATCGCGTTAAACGGTCCGTTCTCCTATAACGCCGCACGTTTTCACGACGCGAATCGGGTACAACGCGATTGATGTATTGGGGAACACCTTTTTTTTGTCATGACGTGGATAAGAATTGGATATAGTGCGATCGAGCGAACGTAACTACGTCCCGCGAGTAGGAATAATTGGTGTCACAAGGCATTGGGATGCTGCTGGACAGGGGCGGTTTCTTCATTAGGGCGATTGGGCGACGCACCACCAATGTCATTCAACCACAGAGTCACACTTGCCGTTACTGTGCCTCTGGATATAGTCCAATCAACGTCATGTCACGTTCTGTGGAGTATCGCCTCTTTTTGGGCGATTTCACTCCGGCTGAGAATCGCCCAGAGTGTGCCCATAGACTTACATTCAAAGATGTTTTTTTTTGAACGGCGGGCGCTGCAATGCATTCTCTATGGCTTCCGGGAGGGCTCGCACTAACGTGCTTACGTCATCATACGTAAGCACGTTTCAGTCAACAATATTATTTGTCGCCACCCAGTGGAATCTTTAATAAAAGAACCTGAGTGGATTGTAATAATAGTGAGTATAGAAACAAACAGGATGTATTGTAAGAGTCACTTTATTTTTCATTAATATTAAAGAAGTGAAGTTGCCTTTACATGCTTAAGCTGTTAATTTATCCATTGCATGGGTGAACCTTATCCTTATCAATCATCCAGACATTTGCCCCCCCTGAGAGATTTTGCAGGAGCCGCCACTGCTGCTGGATGCCTCTAGATGCTACCCACGCGCCTCAAGTCTTTGCTCGGCCTGCGTTACGCATGTCACGTGTTATCGCGGACAGTGCTATCAGATTTATTTGAACGCGATTTTTCCATAACACGGTGTTCTTCAGGAGCCGCGTTATACCACCGCGTTACAGGAGAACAGGCTGCATCCCGATTGTGCTACCCGAGCCTCGTCGCTGTGCGCTGTGGCGTTATCGCCAGCCAGCAGCGCGTCATGCAACGTCCGCGAATGGTCCCAGAAGATGACATCATCGTTTACCGACTCCTCCATTTACTCACCTGGCCCTTCTCGACACTGGACACGTGTCAGTCACATGTCAGTCATAGTCTATTTGTGTGAATGTTAGGCTTTGGAGCCGAGATTTTATGAATTCGGTGAAAGCTCGAACAACGTACCGTGTACCGGACACACATTTTGTTTGAGTTCATAAGCTGGATAAAAAAAATTTGCGAGGCCATTAAATCACCACACTGGCGAAACATTTATACTTATGCAGCTCAGTGGCCCTCACCTGGTAAAATAAAAATACTTAAGTTGAATAGTTTTAGTTTAGATGTTTCAGGTGACCACGGGGAGAGAACTCCATATATACAGGTATCAGGGTCGGGATGAAACCCATGAACTCCTGTATACCAGGCGAGGTAGTCAAAATCTCGCCACCGTGGCACCCCACCTAGCCATCACTGGTTGTGAAGGTGGGGTTGGCTCTGGGAGTTGAGGCCTCAGACTTCGAGAGTGGGCAGGCGAGCCATGTGGCATTCCTCAAAATTGGTCCCAAACCAAAAATAAATAGTTTTGGGATTTATAAAATTATTCAAGGATGTCACCACACCGAAACATTAAACATCCCTCCTCTAAAACTCTTTTTTTAATATATAACAGCCTAATTTGTTCTATTATTTTTAAAATTCTCACTTGAAAGACTGCAAATATAGTCACGCGCACAGATGTAAGATGCACGGACAGAATGTCAGATGCATGATGGATGGGTTGTCGGGTTGCGTGCGTGTATTTATAGGATGCAGAGTACAGTGTGTGGTCCTTGCACAATATAGTGGCTTTCACAGTCAGCCGAGCTTTCCTTGCTGCTTTCGCAGATGTCTATCGCAGAATGCAAATCAAAAAACCATCGCTCGTTCCCTCCGGCTGTCAATGCAGTGGCACAAAAAACGATGAGGCCCCAAATCATCCCAGTTAAATGACTTAACTTGACTGATATCTGACAAAATGGCCCATCCGTTTCTATAGTAGACCCATGCTTTTTATTGTCAATTTCATAAAATGGATTTCATTACTGATTTGTCATAAAATTGACACTTGCACAAATGAACGCTGACCTTTTCTTTAACCCCCAAATTTGGTGACATTTTGGATTCCTGCCCAGTTGAGCATCTTGCCCACCCAACCGATGGACGTCACATATGTCACACATGAAGAAACCCGTGGCAATGCACCCATCGCGAATGACCATAGAAAACAAAACAAACCGCAGTATCACAGATTACAGACGAGACGGGTCTCATTGAAACGTCTGCAGCAACATGCCAGCTGCTGTTATTTGTGATTTGTTCACGGGGGGGAAGGGCAGGCGGTGCTTATT